GTTAATAGGTTAACCTATTTAACCTATTTAGATAGATACTTTATTAACTATATAACTTTTATAAATTATATTATTTTTAGCTATATTTTTAGGTATTATATTTATTTTAGTTAAATAATTTTTTATAGTAATTAGGAGAATAATTCTTAAAAAATAATTCTAGAGAATATTATTTTAAATATTAATCGATTTTAATTTTAAAGCTTATAATTATTAAATACTCGTGGATATTTATAAACCCTACTAGAAATCCGCGGGAGGCTATAATTATCTTTATAATTATTTTTTAACTTTTCTTACTATAATTAATAAGATATATTAACTATAATTATTAGATCTATAGTATTCTTTTTTTTATTATTACTAATTAATATAATCTCTTTATAAATCTTTTAAGTCTCTTTTTTTTTATATAATTTCTAATTTATTCTATTCCTAAAGCTCTTAAATAAATATAAGCTATTTTTTCTTAACTTTAAATTTAATAATATATATAAGTATTATTAGATCTTATATAATAGATATATTTAATATTTCTTATTAATAGTAATAAATATTATATATAGAATTAAATAATTACTTAATACTAATATTAATAACTAGGATTAAAAGAAGATTATAGGTAAGGCTTATAAATATAAGAAACTTATATTAATAATCCTTCTAGAACTAATAGAATAGGATTAAGATAATATCTAGATAAAAGGTAGATTATAATAATTAGTATAATATTTAGATAGATTAGAACTAATATCTTTATTAAAACTAGGGTTCTAAGATAGGCCTTAAAACCCTAGTTCTAATAAAAATAGAAAGATAGAAACTTAATAGATTAGAACTAGGGTTTTAAGTAATTATTTAGAACCTTAGTTTTAATAAAGATATATATAGAAATTTACCTTTTTTAATATATTATATTATCTTAGATTAAGAGTTTAAGATAGAAGAATTAACTATTAAAAATATATTAAATTTATTAATTTAATAAGACTATTTTATTTTAGATAGTAATTAAAAACTTAGAATATTACTAATTTAATAATTTAGAAGCTAATCTTTAAGATTTCGTTAATATTAGATATTATAATCTATCTAAAGATAGTCCTAGTCTTTAGTTTAAAAAATTTAACTTTATACTAAAAGACTAAGATAGTATTAATTATATAGATATTACTAAGCTCTTTATTATCTATTATAGAGTAATATTTTTAGAGTTTATTTTTAGCTAATTTAAGGACTTAATATATCTATTATTTCTATCTAATCTTCTTTTTACTAAGCTATCTAATTAATCTCTTAAAATAATTAAATAGCTTATTATAGATAATAAAAATAGTATAAATAGTAATATCCTTTATTTTTAAAAGGACTATAATAAATTAGAATAATAACTAGATAATATTAAAAAGATAATTAATCTAGTATTATTTATCTATATTAATTTTAAGATAAAGATAATTATATTTAGAGTAAAATCGATTAAAGACTAATTATAATTATTTTATATATTAAAATATTAAAAAGATTAAATTCTATCTAGTTTAGATATCTTAAATTAGAACTAATTAAGAGTAATTAGGCTAAAGACTAAAAAAAGACTCCTAATATTAAGGGCTTATATTAATAAAGATTATAAGGTTTCTAATCTAAAATATAAAATAGGTTAGTATTTTAACTAATATATAAGAAGTATAGATATATATTTTTATAAGAGTTATTATAATATCTTGTTTTTATACTTTTTGATAGATATATTAAATATATTCCTTAGATTAAATAGTCTTAATTACCTTATTTTAAAGGTTTACTTTTATCTAGCTAAATAGTTACTTTAAACTTAACTAAATTATATATATAATATATAGAACCTAAATAATTATTATCTTAGAGTTAATATCTAATAATTAAATAGAATCTTAGATACTTAAAATAAAGATAGAGTTATTTAATATATTATTAATTATTACTATAAATATTTAGTCTTTAATCTAATATTTCTAGAGGATATCGAGAAAGATTATACTAAGATTCTATCTAAAATATATATTAGAAATAAGTTTAAAGCTAAATAAAACCTCTTAATAATTCTAATCTATATTAATAAAATAGCTAAAGATAGCTATAAATATTTATTAAAATAGTAATATCTAATAATTAAGATTAATAAAAAGTTTAGTCTTAGATAGAAGCTTCTAAAATAAATCTTTTTATTAATCTTAGATTATTCTTTAGATTTAATATTATATAATTTAATAGAAAGAGAAACTAGGGATAAATAATAATAATTAGATTATTTAAAAAAGGGCTTAGAATTTAGGATATTTAATAATTTAAAAAAGAAGCTATAAAATAATTATTATAATAATTAACTATTATTTCTATAATTTTTAAATAACTAATTAGGCTATTTAAAAAGAGTTCTTAGTCTAAGAAAGATTAGCTTATAAATTAAATAATAGCTATATAATATATTATATATTTTATAAAATATTAGATTATTAAATATTTAGTAATATTTTAGCCTTTTTAGTATATACTCTAATTCTAGTAATATTAGAGATTTATTATCCTATTTTTAGTATAGATTAGATAATCTATAATCTTACTATATTATTTATATAAGAGCTTTAGATCTTTTATTACTAAATATATAATTTAATTAAAATATAATTATATATTAGTCTATTATAGATTTTTCTAGTTTATCTTCTTTATAATATTATAAGAACTATTAATTTAGATATTAAGCTACTAGTTTAAAAATTCTACTTTATTTATATTATTAAAAATTATTTAGGTCTTTTTCCGATTATCGGATTATTTTAGTGTTAGTAATATAATAGGAGAGAGGCTTTACTTAGTTTATTAGTTTTTTAGTAGTTCTAAAAGGGTATTAAGAAGTTAATTAGAATAGAAAATAGATAACTTAAACCTCTTACTCTTAATAAGAGAGAGAGGATATAAAATAGATAACTAAGATATAAAAGAGATATAATAATAGTATATCAAAATAAAGGACTTAAGATATAGAAAAATAATCTAAAATAAATTATTATAGTTTTAGGGGAATATATAGGTCTAATATTTATTTCTTATTAATAGATAGGATTTAGTATTATCCTAGTACTAAATTTTATAACTAATTAAAAGATACTCTACTAATATATATAAAGCTTATTAGATAGTAAGAAATAGATTAATAGATTAGTCTATAGATTAATCTATTAACCTAAATAATTAGGTAAGAGTAATACCCTAAGATTTTTTTATCCCCTAAAAATTTTAATTTAACCAGCTAATCTTTTTATGTAGGTATATTAGAACTAGGGCTATAAATAAACACGTAGATAGATTAAAACCCTAGTTCTAATAGAGATAGAAAGACTACTATAAAAAGATATATATTTTATTATATCTAGTAAAAGAGGGACTATATAACCCTTTTATAACGAGAGACTTGAGATATAGAAAAATAATCTAAAGTAAATTATCGTAGATTTAGGGGAATATATAGATCTAATACTTATTTCTTATTAATAGATAGAATTTAGTACTATCCTAGTACTAAATTTTATAACTAATTAGAATAGACTCTACTAATATATACGAAGTTTATTAGATAGTAAGAAATAGATTAATAGGTTAACCTATAGATTAACCCGTTAACCTAAATAATTAGATAAGAGTAATACCCTAAGATTTTTTTATCCCTAAAAAGTTTTAACCTAATCAGCTAATATTGTTATTTTATATAAATCTAGAAAAAATATTTAAAATAATTCTTTTATATAATTAAGACTATAATATATTTATATATTAATAAAGAAATATTAGATATTAGATTTATATCTATTTTATTATTTCTAATATATATAGTTTATTTATATAAAAAGTAGTAATATTACTATAGACTTTAAATATATATTTTTAGGTTTAATATAAGAAATAATTAACTAATATCTTCTTTTACCTATATCTATCTATTATAAAATATAATTCTTACCTTAAAGTATTAAATTAATAAATTAATATATTATATATTCTAAATATATTATTACTATATAATATTCTTTTTATAAAGAGTTAGAATTATAAGTTATATTAGAACAAAAATAGTATTTAACAATAGTGTATTATTAAAAAAAATAAGCAAATTATCTATCCTAATTAAGAAATTTATACTAAAATAGGTCAAAAATGGGTTAACCCGTTAACCCACGGGTCAACCTATGGGCGGGTCAGGATTTTATTGACCCGACCTATAGGTCATGGGTTTGGGTCATGGGTCAAGATCTTTGACCCATGGGACAGGTCTGTCCATGTCTATTACTGATTTACTTATAAAAAAAGAAATAATCCTATTAGCTGATATTTATCTATTCTAGCGAATTAGGGTTAAAGATTTATCTAATATTATCTAGTAGCTACTACTAAATCCCCGAATTTAGCCTACTACTTTTCTAAAAAGGTAATCTACGTAGATATTAGATAAGAGTAAAAGGGCTAGACTAATCAAAAAAAGGAAGACGCCCCTAAAGTGTTCGAATTACGGCGAAATTAGGTATATATATTAAAGTTACCCTATTACTAAATAGGGTAATCTGTTTTTAGTAGTTAGGATAAGAGGATTATATAATTAGAAAATAGATTAAAAAAGATTATATAAGTCAAAATAAGTATTACATAATATAATAAGATATCAATAGCGAAAATCTTGAGGTGCCCCTATCAATACCCTAATCAGATCAGGCGGCTCCGAGGCGTGCTCAGTTCTACTCAGTAAGCAAAAAGCGGCGAGGGGTGAGCCCTAAAACGGAAAGGGAAGGCCAAGAAGTGGGAGGAGAAATCCGCTACCTAGGTAGGGCACGGCCGATAAGCGTAAGCTCTTATCGGCTTATCGATACGCCGCGGGGGCCGGGGACACAACACCGCCTTCGCGAGCTCTTTTCCAGAGACTCAACTCTTTCCCACCGCACCAGTTTGGAGAGCCAAAAGCCAAGATGGAACAACCCCAGAGTCTTAGGTCTCTCTTTACCTCAGCAAAAGACGACAAGGATGTGCTGGGATCGCGAGGCGACACCAACACCGACTCGTACAAGGACGATGTCCAAGCGACGATCGCCAAGTTCCAAGAATGCCAGCGACAAATTGGCGTTCTGTCATTTTTCAGCTCGAACGAGTCCCTGGATGATGTCTCCACAGGGGATCTACCGTATGGGCATTGCATGAGGAAATGGGGGGTGATTGTTGTGGCTAATCCTTTCGTGGCTAGGTACATGACGCTGGAATACCATCTGGCCGAGCTCATGCAGCGGGCTCATGGCTCGGATCGCGAATCTGTTCTTCGACGGGCGGCTGAGCAGTACGAGAAATTTCTGATGCGCTTGGATGAATATGGGTTACTCTCTGGCGGGGATAAGAAGCTCTGGGAGCAATACATGGCCAGCCCATCATCGTTTATTCTGGCCCCCGTCAATGACGCCGCCGCTCGACGGGAAGTCAAGGTCACGCGATTCAGGGAAGAAAAAGAGCTCAAACAAAAACTCGAGGTTTGCTGCGACTGTCCACACAAGACCACTTTGTTAATATATGCTGACACACGATTGAAAAGTACCTTGCTCGCAATGAGGCTCGGCTGCAAAGTGACGACGAAGACACCCGACGACTTTACCTGGCAGAGCTCCAACTCTATACACACCAGACCTTCCAATCGCTCGATCTCCTGCTACAGGAATTGACGATGCTTTCGGCCATGCGCAACGCCCCTCCCACCCAACTGCCGGCAGATGACCCAAGACAACGGAGTAATTTAGGAGGGTCCCACTACTCAGATCGCCTAGACCCATCCCTGTCACAATTGCTGAATGGCGGGAGAAATGGTCCAATACTGAATAACAAAGGAAAGCCCATGCAGCCATTCACGCTGCTGGACCGCCGCTCGCAACTCCAGCAAGGAGTATTTCGTCCAAGCCATAATCTTCCGACAATGACAATCGACGAGTATCTTGAAGAAGAGAAGAGACGGGGCAATTTCGTTCAGGGGGAGAGCAGTCGGGCATTCAACCGGAAATCGATGAGGATGACCTGGACAAGGCTGATGAGGAAACTATGAAGGCAAGGGCGTGGGATGAATTCACAGAGGCCAATCCTCGGGGAGCAGGAAATACATTAAATCGAGGCTGAGCCGGTGCCGCCGCGATACACCCAAGTCAAAGCCACATTGGCGAATTTGAACAAAAGATCTGTGGTAGAAGGAGTTCATGGATATGTATTTTAAAGCATTCTCGCCAGGTTCGGGCTCGTGGGCAACAAATACCCCGATGGACACATACAAACAAAGGATCTTAGTTTCAACAGGGTATCTGCCTAGTTACAGGGGTAAGAATCTACTCTCAATCTATAGTCAAGTCTGGCGTCTAAACGGAGACATTCTCCTTGGCCACCTTCTCCTGCTGGATGGCCTCGAGAATGGCCCCGGCACCGTCAGCCACCAAGGCCTTGGCCACAGTGACGCCAAAAGCCTCAGCACTTGCTGCGGAGCTGACGTCGGCGTCCAATGTCACTTGGGCACATTCCTTGCCATCCACGCTGACAACAACCGACCGCATCTGCAAATTCTTCGCGCCCTCTGGAGTCCGAACCCATTCAGTCTCGACACCCAACGGAGCACTGCAGCCACCTTCGAGGGTGCGCAACAGACTGCGCTCCGCCAAACAGGCGAGAGTCGTGTCCTGATGGCCGATCTTGCTGAGCATCTCATGCAAGATCTGATCCTCCTTGCGGATCTCAATTCCAAGCGCGCCCTGGCCAACGGCGTAGAGCATACCGCTGTTCTTGGAGTCGAGGTATTGTGTGATGCGGTCCTGCAGCTCAAGACGCAACAGACCAGCCGCGGCCAAGATAATGCAGGTGTACGGGCTGTCCTCGGCATCCAGCTTGGCCAGCCGGGTGCCGATATTCCCCCGGACATCCTGGATCTTCAATTGGGGGTATTTTCGTGCCAGCTGGGCGGTCCGGCGGATGGACGACGTGCCAACGACAGAGCCGGCGGGGATCTCCGCCAGACTCTTGTAGGACAGTCCTTGCTTCACCACCAGAACGTCCCGGTTATCTTCCCGTGGCATCATCGGGCCCAATACGCAGGAGGAGGGGAGGAGGGTGGGGACATCTGCGGGCATTGGGACAATAATTAGCAATTTTTCAATGGTCTTGAAGAAATGTGCAAGAAGAGTCGCCGTCTAACCTTTCAGCGAGTGGACAATCAAATCAACCTGTCCGGCGATCATCAATTCCTCCAATTCCTCCGTCCACAGGTTCTTGGTGGTAAAGTCTCGAAGGGCAATGGTGGTATTGAGGTCACCCGCAGTCTCCTTGGAGAAGATCTTGAAATCATATTCGGGCCATGCCTTCTTCAGGGCTGCTTGAACTTGTTCAGTCTGGAAGAGAGCCAGCTTGGAACTGCGCGTTCCAATTGTGAACGTCTTCTGCGCGGTGGGGGCCGATGCCATTGCGAGGAATTGAAAAGAAAAAAAAGAGGGAGTGAAGATAGTTGATTGAAGCTTGTACGTGTTGGTATGCGATAATATCAAAACACAGAAACACACACACAAGGCGAGAAAGAGGGGAAAGAAGAAACGGCCCCGAGGAAACGAGGGGTTACCCCGGTGCTGGATTCCGTGGAGCACCGATCACGGGACAGTCCAGAGAGACGGGTATTTGGGGGCGTATGGGGGGGTGTGTCCACCAAGATCTCCACGAGTCGAAGAAGAGATATTCATGGCTATAGGAGGGTTCTTCTGTTGTAGATCTGGCCGTAGATATGCATAAACAAGACCCTTTCTGCAGGGGAGCCTCCAATCCTGGGGAATCGGGGATCTGCACAGCTGACGTTATTCGGTGCAGCGGGACCTCGGCTTCGGGACGTGGAGATTATGAGACATGCGACTTCGCTCTTATCGCCCCCCGGACTTCTCTTGCATCCACATTCTCTGGAACTTCTTCCTCCTTTTTACCGCCCGATTCTTTCTGATTCTTTCTTCTCCCCCTTTTCTGCTCTCATCATAATATCTCTGCTTGATTCAGCATCGTGTTTCTGTCCTGATTTGATTCCTTGGATGATCCAAGATGGGTTCCAGTAACGGTAGACCCCCGAAGCTCCCTCTCGTCCCCCTCGCTAAGGGTTCCGTCCTGCTGCCCGGCGTGACTCTCCGAATCTCCGTATCCAACCGCCCTGATCTCGCCAACCTTCTGTCGTCGCTGGTAGACCGACCGAAGCGGGAGGGTAATTCCATCACCTTCGGATGCGTTCCGCTCAACTCGCCATTCTTGGGCCATGACGGCCAGCAGCTCTTGGAAAGCGGGGACTTGGATGAGGATCGCAAGACAGAATACGATGCGATCGATGCGGGACAGGCGCGGAAAGAGGACCTGTTCCACTATGGGACGGTTGGCAAGGTGATCGGGGTCCAACGCCGCGCCTACGCCGAACCTTTCCTTCTGGTTCAAGGAACGCAGCGCTTCACAGTAAAAAAGATTTTGCGAGACCGCCCCTTCTTTGAAGCTGAAGTATATCTTCATGATGAGAGCAGTAAGTCTTCTGTTTGTATGCAACGGACGCCGAGAATATTTTGTCGGCTAATCAATACTCTGCGGCAGCCACCCATCAAGATGATCCCGAAGCCGCCGAACTCTTTCAACAACTGAGGCAGCTCTCACGAGAGCTTCTCACTCTGCTACGCCTCTCCTCGTTGTTGTCGGCCGCCTCGTCTCGTCTATCGCCACTGGTGGCCCGGAAGTTCGAATTGTTCATCTCCAAGACCGAGTTAGCGCAGGCAGGGAAGCTGGCCGATTTCATGGCGGATGTGTCCGACGCAAGTTTCGAGGAGAAGCTGAGGATACTGGCCTCGTTGGATGTCAGAGAGCGCCTGGAGAAGGTGGTTGAGATCCTGAACAGACAGACGCAGCATATCAAGAGCAGCGTTAAGGTGACCTCCATCGGCACAGCCTCCTTCCCGCCCAATTCCAACATGGATATCAGTCAGATTGATCCGCGTGAGCGTGAGCTGTTGGCACGACGCGCTATGGCGGGTCTCTCTGGCCTCACGCCACCGGGGACATCTGGGGGCCGTGGCAACGATAATGAGGAGAAAGAGCCAAATGAGGTGGACGAACTCCAGCAAAAGCTACAGGACGCACAGCTGAGCCCCGACGCCCGGAAAGTTGCGGATAAGGAGCTGAAACGCCTGCGCAAGATGAATCCTGCCAACGCCGAGTACGGTGTGTGTCGCACCTACCTGGAGAACTTGGCAGAGATCCCGTGGGCGAAGGTAACGGAAGATCAGCTGGGCCCGGATACCCTGAAGAGAGCCCGCCAGCAGCTGGATGATGACCACTACGGACTGGAGCGGATCAAGAAGAGACTCCTGGAGTACCTGGCCGTGCTGCGGTTGAAGCAATCGACCAACCAAAACGTCGAGCGCCAAATCTCGGGGCTTTCAAAGGATTTGGATGCCGCTTCGGCCGGGGATGTGGAAAAGGATGTTCCCTTGCTCTCTGAGTCTGACCGGGTCGCATTGGAGACTCGGCTTGAGATCCTGAAATCCAAGCGCATGTCTGACAAGTCGCCGATCCTTCTTCTGGTCGGCCCCCCCGGAACTGGTAAGACTAGTTTGGCGCGGTCAGTGGCTGCCTCCCTGGGTCGCAAATTCCACCGGATCTCCCTTGGTGGCGTCCGAGATGAGGCAGAGATTCGAGGCCACCGACGCACCTACGTTGCGGCTATGCCCGGACTGGTCGTCAACGGACTGAAGAAAGTTGGCGTGGCCAACCCTGTCTTCTTGCTCGACGAGATCGACAAGGTTGGCGGAGCCAACTTCCAGGGCGATCCGTCTGCCGCCATGCTTGAGGTTTTGGATCCCGAGCAGAACCACACCTTCACCGATCACTATATCAACATCCCGATTGATCTAAGCAAGGTACTATTTATCGCCACCGCCAACTCCTTGGATACGATCCCGGCACCTTTGCTTGACCGCATGGAAACAATCTCATTGTCTGGGTACACCACTGTCGAGAAAAGGCATATTGCCAAGCGACACCTGATTCCGAAGCAGGTTCGGGCCAATGGGCTGGGTGAAGGACAGGTCAACCTCTCTGACGAAGTGATTGACAAAACCATCACCTCGTACACCCGTGAGTCTGGCGTCCGCAACTTGGAGCGTGAGCTCGGTTCGATATGCCGTCATAAGGCGGTCCAATTTGCCGATGCCGGCGATGCCAGCCGTCTGGCTGACTACAACCCGGCTGTTACCGTTGAAGATCTGGAAGAGATTTTGGGAATTGAACGGTTCGAGGAGGAGATTGCCGAGAAACACGGCCGTCCTGGCGTGGTCACGGGCCTCGTCGCTTACTCCACCGGTGGCCAGGGCAGCATTCTGTTCATCGAGGTGGCAGACATGCCCGGCAGCGGGCGCGTGCAGCTCACAGGCAAACTCGGCGACGTCCTGAAGGAGTCTGTCGAAGTGGCTCTGACCTGGGTCAAAGCCCACTCTTTCGAACTGGGCCTCACCCACGACCCCAACGAGGATATCATGAAGAACCGCAGCTTGCATGTGCACTGCCCCTCGGGTGCTATCCCCAAGGATGGGCCATCGGCCGGCCTCGCCCACACCGTCGCATTGATCTCCTTGTTCACCAACAAGCCCGTCCCCCCGCAGATCGCCATGACTGGCGAGGTCTCGCTGCGCGGTCGGGTCATGCCTGTAGGTGGCATCAAGGAGAAGCTCATTGGCGCACTGCGTGCCGGCGTCAAGACTGTGCTGTTACCTTACCCCAACCGCAAAGACGTCAAGGACGTCCCGCAGGAAGTCAGTGATGGGCTTGAGATTGTATATGTTCAGTAGGTGTTTTCCTGCAGATGTTGTTTTCAGACCAACCAGCGCTGACTCTTGGTATTTTTGCAGGCATATCTGGGAGGCCCTTCGCCAGATCTGGCCTGATGCCCACTGGCCCGGCCAGCACCACATGAACTTCGTCGAAAGCCGACTGTAGTACGTTCCTTGTCTGTGTTCCCTCACTTGAGGGCCTTTCCCGCCATTTTGTCTATGAGACTCTCGACTCCGATCGTTTCAGCATAGCGTGTTTATTTTAGTTTTCACTGTTCACCGTGACTTGTAATTAACCTGCTCTTTCTCTTTCATATACTTGATTTAGTCATGTGAGATCTAGAATTGCCATCTCAATCTTGATCAACATACAGCCCTTGGTTTGGGGAGAGAGAAAGACTATCTAAGGATGTTAGCTACATATAAATAAGCCATGGAGATAGGGAAGCCCAAGTTTAGCTTCACGCATCGACATCTTTGAAGACGATGCTCTCCCCAACAACAGGCCTATAAAATGAGAGTGGTCTAGAAGCAGAGAAAGTTCCAATAATAATAACAACAAAAAGGGGGGGGGGGAGGAGTAAGTGAACCCCTAAGATTCAATCCTTATATTTACTCGATTATCGTGTTGACTTTTGATTCTTTGTTACCTGATCACCGTTCTTGTACGCCGACGAGTAGATCCTTCTCGAAAAAAAAAGAAAAAGAAAAAGAGAAAGAGATAGAAAGAAAGAAAGATAGACAGAATTAGAAAAAAAAAGAGAGATAAAAAAACCCCCTGATACAGTTCAATCACAAAAGTATTTAGGAGTTTCTTTTTTGATTTTGTCCGAATGGAGAGTCGAACCCCAAACCTTGAGGTGCCTTACGTACCCTCCACCTCCACCCAATGCACGAGAGCTCGACTTCTTCTCGGAGCTCACTCAATCGCAACCATGGCGGGCGTAGGAATTTCGGCCGCTGGCATTCCGCCCAACCCAACGTAAGTAGCCCATGTTTTGACCATTCTGCAAGTCCGTGTGCTAACCTGCCTCCACAGAGTCTACGTAGGCATCCTGTGCCCTCCCCTCTCGGCCCGTGACCTTCAGAATCCTAGCGCTGTCGCGCGCAAGCTGACCGAGTCGCTGTCATACCCTAGGTCCGAAACCTCGAAGAACGAATCAAGATCGATAATCTGAAGGAGGCCCTGGAGGAGATTTTCTCGGAATATGGCAACATCATTGAGATCGTCGCGAAAACCAACCTGAAGGCCAAGGGCCAGGCCTTCATCGTCTTTGACAGCGTCGACTCCGCCGCCCGTGCCATAGACGAAATCAATGGTTTCGAGCTCTTTGAGAAGCCCATGGTGCTGGACTACGCCAAAACGAGAAGCGATGCGACGGTCATGCGGGAAGGCGGCGGGGATGAGCTGGAGGCTCATAAGAGGAGGCGTCTAGCTGAGAAAGGTGCGTGTCTATGGAGCATCCAGTTCTCGACAACCTGCGTACTACAATGCTACGCTACACGAAATGAACGGACGCAATTTATGTCAAGATACTAACCGTGCCTCTCTATTTCCCGACAGAGCGAAAGCAAGCCCAAGACGCCCTCGAAACCCAAAAGAAACTCAAGCGCCCCGCGGCCGCCGCCGAAGCTGCACGCCCGGCCAAGACAACCAAGGGAGCCGGTCTCAAGCCGACCTCCGGCGCCACGACCGCCGTGGTCCCCGACGAATACCTGCCGCCCAACAAGATTCTCTTCCTGCGCGATTTGCCCGACGATACCAGCCAGGAGGGGCTGTCGGCGGTCTTTGGCCGGTTCGAGGGATTCCAGGAGGCCCGGCTGGTGCCCGGTCGCAAGGGAATTGCCTTCGTCGAGTACGAGACCGAGTCCGGGGCCATCAGTGCCAAGGAAGCTACGTCGGGCATGCCTATGGGTGACCAGGGCAAGCCGATTCGCGTCACCTACCAGAGACAGTAACTTTTTTTTCCTGGTTTCTTGGTGTCATTCGCGGACAAAATATCCCTGTTTTTTCTTTTCTGGCGTTTGGAAGGTCTCGTCTCAAACAATTGCTCTGGATTACAGAGAGAGAATACTACGAACATTCTTGCTATTTGTCATGGACTAGGGTTATGTGTAGTTAAATGCATTTCCCGAAGTAATAGAAGAAGCGCCATATGGCAGCATACAAAATGGTACACAACACAGCTAAAATGAGGAGAGGACAAGTTATCTGCGAGAAAGAAAAAGGAAAAAGAAGAGCCTAAAAGATGACGTCCGTGTCTTCCTGCTCTCCCAAAACATCGGGTGCCTCGGGCTCTTCTGGTGTGCCGTTCCGTGGCTTCTCTTCTGCTTGTTGCCTGGCTGCAAGGATCTCGGCGTCTGCGGCAGCAGTGTCTCGCTGCTTCTTGTTGGAAACTTTCTTGAGGCGGTAAAACTCCTCTCGATCAAGCTCGTCGAGCTCAGAGTTGATATCTTTATTGCAGTTAGCCACCCGCCAGTCCAGTAGGGAAAGCAGTACAAACATTTGATAGTGTTCTCGGTTCGAGGGATAATGACATGCTCACTGTAGACTATATGTCAGTAATTGAACTCAGCTTTTTTTTTTTGTTGGAATCGAACTTGGCTGTCTTACATGGCATTTACTGTGTGGTATGAGTTAGTTTATATTTCAACTTGCGCCGTCTCAGGCTAGAGCACTTACCTCTGCGGTTGACAACCTTGATCACCTCATCCAGAATTAAAAAGGCAGTCTGACCAAGTCAGTAAGCAAAATTTAGCACCCATGAGCTCGAGCCTTAATACCTGTAGACTAGCCAACTCCACCAGAGTCTCCACAGCTCGAGCATATGTCTCGCGACAGCGCTGAATCTGCTGTCCTCCCTTCCCAAGACCAGTCAAACCAAAGTCATTGACCCCCTCCTGTGTATAGCTTTCGAATTGAGGCAGCAAAACACCCGACACGTTCTCATGCTTAGCTCGTACACGGAAACGAGCCTGTTTGGCCGACTCTTGGATCTGGTAACCAATATCTCCTCCAACGGCATAGCTCACTTCGGCCAGCGAGAAGGCGGCAATCTGCATGACCCGGCCCATCTTTTGTTTGGCCTCATCGATGCGCCGTGTGATCTCTGGCAGGTATGATTAGCGCTTGCGTAATGCGGGGGGGTGTAAAGATGAGCAGTCAATGCATCGTACCTCGGAATCGTCTGGTAGTAGTCGCAAGGGTCAGTACAAGCTCATAAGATATGGGTTTAATGCCTCGGAAACATACTTTGTCAAGGCTTCACTCTTCCTCTTCAGCAAGCTGTGGCCGGTCTCCGCCCCCTTCAGCTTGCTCTTCATCAACCCCAGCGACTGGCGAGTGGGGAAGACTGGCTCTCGGCCCTGTGAAACTATAGTTAGCACGATACAGCTTCTAGATCCACAGACAACTTACCACGGCACCCGACATGACTGCAGGTCAAAACGTAGTTGATTCAGTGAGTCCAATGAAGAGCGGCCACTGTGATATGACGCCGATAAAGCTCCACCGCCCACTCGATATGGATGCCCCACGTGACCACCCGCCGATCTTGTCTTGCGACTCTTCCGCCTTTGGTTCAACGCGACTTGTGTCTCCCGTTCATCCCACCTCCCATGCTGATCCGTTGACTGTGTGAGATCAGATCCCGCTCAACTGAGTGGCGCAATGCCAGGGACACTCTTGCCCCCGAGATCAAACCGGCAGCACGCACAGATGGACCGATCATCTGCGTCCCGGCCGGATCTCTACCTGATTGTGAGTACTCCTACCCTTTGGTGGCTGGAATGACGCACTGACATAACCTTTCTCTCTCAAAAGGCTGACCAGGACACGGTATATGAGCAAGATCTTCTCCGGGATGCCGGCAGTGTCAAGCCATGGCTCGCCTACATCGAATTTAAGCAGCAGAGTGGCACGCTCTATGAGCAAGCCTTTGTATGTTGTCTTTCGCGTTTCTTAATCCATTGCCTTGAATTCGCTTCTGATGCTCCTTTTAAATCCTTTAGATCATGGAGCGTGCCTGCAGACAATTGCCCCGGTCATACAAGCTATGGAAGATGGTGAGATTTTCTACCCTTACAGCCCATGATGTCTTTAGCTGACTGTAGCAGTACCTGGAGTTTCGAACGAAGCACCTCAATGGCCGGAGTGCAACCGTTTACCGAGCCGAGTTTCAGAAAGTGAATGCCCTCTTCGAGCGAGCGCTTATCCTTCTCAACAAGATGCCTCGCATTTGGGAAATGTACCTCGCCTTTTTACTCCTGCAGCCTTTGGTGACCCAGACCCGGCGGACCTTCGACCGTGCCCTGCGCGCCTTGCCTGTTACCCAGCACAACCGGATCTGGAGACTCTACAAGGGTTTTGCACGCTCTGCTTCTGGCCAGACTGCAGTGAAGATTTGGGCTCGGTATATGCAGATCCACCCTGAGAATGCCGAGGAATATATTGGGCTTCTGATTGAAATGGGACAATACACCGAAGCCGTGAAGAGGTTTATGGAGATCCTCGACAATCCGCGATTCCAGTCCAAGAACGGGAAGAGCCACTTCCAGCTGTGGACCGAGATGGTCGACCTGCTAGTATCCAAGGCCAAGCACATTGAAACCGGCCATCAGGTCGGCATTGATGTGGATGCGATTTTGCGAAGTGGCATCGATCGATTTGCCGACCAAAGAGGAAAGCTGTGGGCTGGTCTGGCAACCTACTGGATCACCAAGGGAAACTTCGAAAAGGCACGGGATGTCTTTGAGGAGGGAATTACTACCGTCATGACAGTCCGTGATTTCACCCTTGTCTTTGACTCCTATGTCGAATTTGAGGAATCTGTCATTGGCAATTTGATGGAAGCCGCAGCTGTCCGCTCCGCGAAGGACAAAGTTGACGAAGAAGCCGATTTTGACCTAGATTTGCGGATGTTGCGGTTTGAGCAGTTGATGGATCGGAGACCCTTCTTGGTCAATGACGTGCTTCTGCGCCAGAACCCCAACAATGTCATTGAATGGGAGAAACGGGTGGCTTTGTGGGGAGATAACAAGCAAGAGGCTGTCCAGACCTACACGGCTGCCATCGCGACGATCAACCCCAAGAAAGCCCACGGAAAGTTCTCGGAGCTTTGGGTCAATTACGCCAAATTCTACGAAAATGGTGGAGACCTGGACACTGCGAGAGTCATATTCGACAAGGCCGTTAAAGTGCCGTTCAAATCTGTGGTCGAGCTGGCCGAGACATGGTGCGAATGGGCAGAAATGGAGCTTCGCAGCGAAAACTTCGACAGGGCTGTTGGCATCATGGCAAAGGCCACCCAAGCACCCAAGAAATCCACTGTGGACTACTTCGACGAGAACCTGTCCCCACAGCAGCGGGTGCACAAGAGCTGGAAGCTGTGGAGCTTCTACGTCGATCTCGTCGAGAGTGTCTCATCCCTGGAAGAGACGAAAAAGGTCTATGAGCGGATCTTTGAGCTGCGCATTGCCACACCTCAGACGGTCGTTAACTTTGCCAATCTCTTGGAAGAGAACAAGTACTTCGAGGATTCTTTCAAGGTATACGAACGGGGCCTTGACCTCTTCAGCTACCCGGTCGCCTTTGAACTCTGGAATTTGTACCTGACAAAGGCGGTTGACCGGAAGATTGGTATTGAGCGACTTCGAGACCTGTTTGAACAGGCCGTGGATGAATGCCCACCCAAGTTCGCCAAGCCACTCTACTTGATGTACGGCAACTTGGAGGAGGAGCGCGGTCTTGCACGCCACGCCATGCGGATCTACGAGCGCGCGACGCGGGCCGTTTCCGACGAGGACCGGTTCGAAATGTTCGAATTCTACATCACCAAATCCGCATCGAACTTTGGCCTCACGTCCACGCGGCCGATCTACGAGCGTGCTATCGCCGCCTTGCCGGACCAAGAAGCGAAGGAGATGTGTCTCAAGTTTGCCGAAATGGAGCGGCGACTCGGCGAGATCGACCGCGCGCGTGCAATTTACGGCCACGCATCTCAATTCTGCGACCCGCGCACGAATGCCGTCTTCTGGCAAAAATGGGAGGCTTTCGAGGTGCAGCACGGAAACGAAGACACCTTCAAGGAGATGCTTCGCATCAAGAGAAGTGTCCAGGCTCAGTACAAGTATGTGGCAATCCTTTTTTTAAACCCACCCACTCAAAAAGCGCTTTTTACTGACTTTCTCCAGTACCGACGTCAATTTCATCGCTTCTCAAGCTATCGCCCGCAGTCAACAGCCTCCCCAGGGGGGTGAGCAAGGCGACGCCGCAGGAGCAGAAGAGGGCCAAGAGCAGGCTGATGTTATGGCTGCGCTGGAGCGCCAGGCTCGGGCCCCTGTCGGATTCGTCGCTGCCAGCACCGGTCCCGAGGGTGGCAATCGCCCTCCGCCTGCAGACGAAGCACCGCCGGCAGCGCCGGCCAACCCCGACGCGATCGACCTTGACGACGAAATGGATGCTGATTAGGAAGGGGAAATATACCGTTCTATCCGACTTGTCGAACATTTTTGTTTGGGTTTGTTTCCATTCCATCCGCCTTAGGTGTTGACTCATTTCCTTCCCCCTTCTCTTCTCCTCTAGTATAAGTATCATGTTGATGGACTACCCGTCATTCTCACCGCATCCCTATGTTTTTTTTTTTTTCTGGTTGACTGCTCTGCCACATCATCTGGCTATTTTTGCCTCTCATTTTCGTTTGTGCCATACCTGTTGCTGCGCGGTGTTGTGTATGTCTACTTTCTCAACTATGTGATATCAAGATATCCGTGGTTGTCGCACTTTCCGCCTCGTAGATCTAAGGTAATCTTAAGTCAATTCTATTAATCTCATCTATCTCTCTGTTGTGGTCATGTTTCCATAGACTCAACCCTTACCAACAACTCGACTATATCTAGAATCCTATCTCTACAAGCCAACATAGAGTCTACTAACCAGCTTCCTGCTAGAAGTTCCTCAACGGGTAGCAGAATATGGCACGGGAAAGTCACCTAACATCCACCAGGTGTCATTTTACCTGACAAAGGAACCATAAGAAGTACACACAGGCTCTAGCCAGCTCATCAGACTATGGCGACTAGACGCTTGATGATCCAACTATATGTACCCACCAGGAAGCATATGAGAAATCTCAAGGCTCTTTTAAGCTATGTATTTATTGCATTACATATGATTCATCAATTCTGGGATCATAGAAGCAGTTGACTACCTTTTTGGATTATCACAAGGCGCCAGAGACTGGTCACGTTTTATCTACATGGAGTTAGGGAAGGGGCCCGCAAAAACGAAGCAAAAAGCAAAGCAGAGAAGTGGGGAAAAAAGAAAAGAAAAAAAGAAGCAGTAAACAAGGTCCAAGACGGTACAATATAGCCCCACCGCTGATCTATGCAGAAATGCAAAAAAAAAGAAGAGGTGAAGGCGGACAAGTAATAGAAAGCACAGGGGGAATCTAGCGGATAACATTAAATCCTATTCCCGGTATAAAGACACCATCTCCCTAGTCAACCGATTGGGTATCGGCGTTGGGCGCTTCGTTTTCCTCCTCGGCGGCAGGAGCAGCGGTGTCGGTGGCATCAGCTGAGCTGTTGTCGGTTTGCGGCGGAGCGGTATCCTCGCTCTTTTTCTCACCGTCGTTGCCAGGCTGTGTCAGGGATGAGAGGCTGGACCCGGGTCGGGACTTTTCAGACTCCTTGGGGGCATCCGGGAAGATTTCGGCGAAGAGATCGGGCATGAAACGACCGAGCCGCTTGCGGGTTTCCATCCACATTTCTTCCTTGCTGGGGTCTTGGGACGGCGGGACGAGATAGCCGCCATCGGCCATGACCAGTAGGATGTTTTTGAGACTTTCCGGGATTGCCTCTTCCTACAGCACAGGAGATCCAAGGTTAGAGGAAATTCACGCTGAGTGTGTATAATGGCATGGTGAACCTAAAACTTACCAGACTGTCGCTTTGGCCGCTGTTCATCATCCGGTCAAGAATGTCCAGGATCTTCAGCCAGAGAGGGAGCATGCCCTCGCGGTTGGGCAGTTGGTCAAGGAAGCGCAAGAATATTTTGCAAACCAACGTTGCAGCTTGGACGCGGGTCTCACTCATTCCCATAGGATCGGAATGGTAGACCTCTGGTTTGAGAAGACGCAAAATAAGCGGAAAAAGGACCTCGTCAAAAATCGTAGCCCATTCTTTGTCGTCGTTCGAGATCAACTCGGCGGATAGCAGGGATCGCTGCAATGTGGAGATGGCATGGTGGCGGATGTCGCGACAAGGGTTGACGCATTGGCCAGTCAGTGATTGGAAGATAGGAGACCAGTAGGCAGCCCACGCTGGGTGTTTGGAAATATGTGAGCAAGTTGTACATCTCAAGAAGGGGAGACTGAAACTAACCTTCGCGTTTCTCGAGATGGGACTGTTTGATGAGTGTTGGGACTCGCCCAGTCAAGTGGTAGACCAGAGCAATAGCCTTGATACCGCGACTTACGGCATGGTTTTCGCTGGAGGTGGGTAAGTATCCTGTCAAGTCAAAAGAAAAACAGCGGGGTGTCATACTGAGGCTTGGGTTGCTTGACACCCTTGGTCCGTCGAACCTGAACATCTCTTTGCCGCTCGTCAATGGATCCAACATGGCCTGCCGTGACAAAGTCATTCGCAAGGCTGACTGTTGACTCGTAGTTGTCACCCGTGATGATTTCGGGCATTGACTCAATGATATCATGGAGCAACTTAAAGACCAGAGGTGCAGTCTCTTCGTGTTGGTGCAGTCTCTGCAAGGTGGACCAGAAGTCTGGGGAAATGGTGATCTCATTTCTCAATCGGCCCGGGTGAGCAATGCACCGCGACAGACCTTTGACCGTGGGCGTAGCAACAGTTTCCAAGGTATCCTGGTCAAAGCCGGAGATGGCATGAAGCACCACAGGGACACGCATGAAGTGTTGGTCCTAGAAGCATGTTAGCTAATGTGACTGGCCGTCATCTTTGGATGACTTACATGACTCAGCCGGAGCAGGTTGAGGAGATAAGAAACAACGCGAGACACAGAGAGTGGGTGAAGATTCTTCGCATCGCGAACCAATGCTTGAAGAGTGGTTGCCAGCGCTTCGCCGAGAGTCTCGAGCGTCTGTTTGTCGCGAAGTGTGAAGACAGTTGCCAATTCCAAGGCAAAGATCATCGAAGGATCGTATTTTGGCTGGTTTGGATCAACCCTGGTGCTTGAAGGTCTTGATGAAGGGGTCGGCCGTTCTGGCTTCACAACAATGACTGCGGGTGCATTCTCTTCAGGGAGATGAGACAGCAAAGCTTCTTGGATCATCTCTAACGAGGACAGAGGAAGAGACCTTGAGGACAGAAGTTAGCATTGTCACTAAAGATTGCAAGCAGAACGGGCCAGTGACTTACTTCATGTTAGTCAAAATCTCGGGTATCGAACATGCCGTGACACAGTCGACAGTGCAAAGAGTGTTGTCAAGCTCTTCATCAGAGGGCTCAGGAGGATCGTCGGCCGCATAGCTTGACAGATAAGATGTAAAGGCAGACAACAGCCCCGAGTCGTTGTTACGCCCATCCCGATCAACAACTTGAGACGGAGGCTGCAGCGGGATCGGAGAAATGTCAAGTTCAGCCGTAAGCTCAGCATCAAACGGCGGAATGAGAGAATTGATGAACAGGTTACTAAGGATGCGGACAATGTACTCCCAACCTTGCTTGACAGTAGACTCATTGCCCAGCAAGACCCGGAACAAAACCACAGTGGCCAGTTGAGCTCGGAAATCTCTTCCAAACTTCACAGCCAACTCGCTCACCATTACACTCTTCTTGCCCGCCTGCACCTCAGTATTAAGTGCAGTGCCCGGAGGGGTGTCGGTCGCTAACGTGCTGATTGATGCAAGAGAGAATATGATGCGATCAAATGCCTCGGTCAGACCATATCGAGCGGCGATTTGGGCACATTGGTCGAAGCCATTCACGACACGAGAGTATACGGCGTCATCAGACGCAGACATGAAGACGTAAGAAAGGGTAGCAATCACCGGTCTCCACGTAGCTTCAAACATTTCCGCATCATAAACGTTGGTCTCGCCAACCACCACTTCTCTAGCAGATGAAGACTTCACCAGTAGCTCTTTCCAGGCATACTCAAATGCATGCTTATTATCATGCTCATCGGGCAGAATGATCTCGTTCTCTTTGATAGAATCATAGATCTCCTGCAAGAACTCATCAGTGAAATCCCCTCCGCCGTTGACACCCCGAAGATTCCTTGCAAAAGCGGGAAAAGACATGCGATTTTGTGACTTCACGTTGGGGTTGTAAAGTTCTGTATTCAACATGATGATGGCGTACGTCAGGATATATACCGCATCTTTGTCGGCAATTCCTTCTGGTTGTGCTTTTTGCATGTAGTGGTCCGAAAACGTCGTCACGATTCGCTCAATGAGCGGCGACTCGCCAGGCAGGCGGAAAGAACTGAGGAGCTCTCTAAGCGCTTCAACCACATTCCTACCAGAGAAGTCAAGGAGATCCACGAATGCACCCAATATCTCCTCGTTATCACGCTTTGATATATAGTCTCCAAGAACTTTCTTGGACAATCGTGCCGTTCCCTTCAAGAACCGGGCAACCAAAACAGGATCTTTTGGGTTTTCGATAATGCCATGGCCGGCAAGGTAGGCAATTCCGGCCTTCGGGTCTTCATTGAACATCTGGGCTCCTTTGACAATGATCTTTTTGGTTCTGCGTTGGCTTCTTAGGCGCTCCAGGGAAGGAAACTCCCCCTGTGTGGGTTCATCATCCAAGCGATCGTAGATAAACTGAATATAGCCCAGGAGAGAGTCAAGGCACAAAGGAGGCACGTTTGTCGTGCTCCATGTCGCAGAGTCCGGAAAGGCGTTTCGAGCGAGTAGGCCGATCATGTCCTCACACAAATCACCTCGATCGACTTCGCAATCGTAGTTGATGAATAGCTCGATCATAAAACTAGGGATCCGTGACAAGACCCCAATACTTTCGACCATCACCTCCCGGGCTTCAGGTTTTCGTGACCCGCCCTCCAGTCCTAGTTTTTGTCGATCCTTGACCGGGACTGGGGTGGACCGGCCACTATTTGTCTGGGACTGTGGCTGTTTTACCAATTTCGGGGCCTGTGGCACACCTTCGTATAGCGATGGATCGATGCCTGTCTCTCGTGGAATTTCCACGCGAGGGTGGAGACAAGCCACCAAGTAGGAAATATAAAGCTCCTGCTGCAGCTTGAGCACAGACCGACATGTTGATAATAGTGTGCCAGCGACTCTGAGAGATGAAGAGAGAATGGCCATATTCTCTGAGCGGACCAACTGGAAAAGATATCGACATAAATCATCCTTGGCCAAAGCAGCCAAGCTAGGATGCCGGGCAATCGAGGGACCTGCTACTTCCAGGGCAACATCGATGATGCGAAGCGCCATCACTCTCATGGGATCTGTGTGTTTGCGGTTATGAGGATCTAAGAGATCGATCAGGACCCGGAACAACTCCCGGATCGAGGGCAAAGAATACGGAGAAGACACCTCCTCGGGGTCATCTTGCGGGTTTGGCGGAGCTGCGGCCGCATCACCGTTACCAGGCTGCTCGGGTGTTCCCTCTCGGCTGGTGCTGTCTCGTCCGGCGGCGGTATCTGAGCTCATCGCAGACAAATGTTGTGAGGTCACTGTATCGCCATTGACTGATGGGTCCATCTTCAAATTGGCTGTGGTGTTCTTTCCGGCATCCTCGTCGACGAATGGGCCCGGCCCTGTGGGCAGATCGTGATCGAGATGCGACAGTCGCAGGAAGATCACTTGGCACATGTTGACCATGGCCATCTCGGCAGATCTCCGCAATACCTCGGACAGACGACCCTGGCAACACATACTCAGACCCGTTTCCATCATCTCACAGACGCTCTCGTCGCCCAGTAGTTCGCCCTCGGGCCGGGACAGCATACCCTCCATCAATTTCAAGATTCGCAACAACACAATCTCGTCGGCCGAAGAGTCGCTTGCTTCGAATCGGCAGTGTGTAATCGCGGCGGACAGTAGTTGCATGGCCATAGGAAGCCGAGGCGAGTCCCGGTTGATGATGTTGTACGAGAAGAACTTGGTGACTGCGATCAAGGCAAGGGAAGTGATGGTGGCGGAGGTCGACGAGGAGCGGATGACTTGCAAGAATGGGTGCAGTAAGGCCGGTGTGTCAAAGGAGCGAATGTCTTTGCAACCTTTCAGGTCACTCCGAAGTCGTGTGAAGGCCGATATTAACGGATTGTCCTGCATACTTTTCCCTTTCTTCCCTCGCAAACCCCATCGATTCGCCAGGGCATCCTCATCGCGGGTAGAAGCGCCGCTTTTGCGCGGGCTAGGAGGAGTAGAGGTATCGCGTTCGTAGACGCGGGACACCCCGTGTCCGCCCAGGATGGCGGAGACGGAGGAGTGCGCCCAGCGGGCATGTTTCCGCATGGACGAGGTGACGGTGATGCATTCAGTGGTCACCAAGGCCACAGGATCAATGGCAATGGGCGGGGGGGGGAGACATGGTGGACTCGAGCACCTGCGAGATGCTGTGGTGTCACAAACACACGAACAAACAGCTGGTCTTCTCGATTCCATGGCTGCTTGCCTGTTCGGGCTTAGCGGTCTCTCCGCTGGCTCACCGCCTCGGCCAAGGGGGCAGTACTGGCCCATACCACAGTGTATGTATTCGAGCCCTTTCATTGGCTTAGAATACTATAGAAGATCTTTACTAAATTTTTAGATAAGAATTTTATCTAAATAAACTACTTATTAGTAATAATACTAGTACTAATTATATAAAATTTAAGAGGAGGCCTCTAATTCTATATTAATTACTATATATTTAACATAATTATAAAAAAAGATCGATATCTTTTATCTCTAATCTATAAAATACTAAACTAAATTAGGAAAATAAGATAGTTTATAAAACTTAATATATTTATAGCTTTCTATAAGTTTTAGATCGTAAAAAGAGAAGAGTAAAAAATAGTCTTTTATATAAGATATAGTCTCTACGAGTAGCTCGTTATACTATTTAGCCTTATAAATATACTATCTTCTAGAAATATATTAATAATATACTCCACGAATTCCTTAATAATTTCTATTTAGCCTATCTTAATAATATATTAATCTATATAAATAGTAGCCTTAAGACCTATCGAGAATATATATAAAAGGTCTTTATAAAGCTCTAGAAAATAGGACTATAACTCGATATTAATAAATACGATTTTAAGTATACTAAGACTAAATATCTTAGGTTTATTATATAAGTAGATAAAGAATCTAGATAGACCTAGAGAGGATTAAGGTAATTAAGGAATAAAAGGCCCTAACAACTATAAAAGGTATTAGAAGTTTCTTTAGATTCGTAAACTTCTATTAATAATTTATTCAAGTATATTTAGAGATTATATAACCTTTTATAGATCTTATATAGAAAAAGAAGTTATTTAACTAGTCTAAGGATTATAACGTAAGCTTTAAAGAGCTTAAGTAATTATTTATAACTAACCTAATCCTTATAATATTTAACCCTTCTTGTATAATAATTATTAAGACTAATTTTTTAGGGTAGATTATAGAGAGGGTTCTCTTATAATATAATAATTAAGATATACTCTACCCCTATATTTATTTCTTAAAAAAGAACGCTTTAATAGAATATAACTATAAGATCTATAATAAGGAACTCCTAGGTATTATATAATACCTCGAAGCCTAAGATACTAAACTCTATTTAGTCTAGAGTAGGTTTATAGTAATTACTAACTATAAAAACCTTAAGTATTTCTTTAGTCTAAGAAAACTTAATAGAATATTATATATAGTAGTCTTTTCTTCTTAGCTAATTTAATTTTATCTTTTAATATCAGAAAAGAAACGAGAACCTTTAAATAGATATATTATCGCGATAGAAATAAGATAATCTATAAGTAACTATTTATATAATCTATCTCCTCTATTTAGTAAAGAAAAGTATTATAGTTAATACTATTCTATTTAGATAGTGGAAGACTAATAAACTAAAATATAAGACTAAAATAATATATATAGTAAGGCTATATAAATAATTTAGAAGGATAGATAGACCTTCTCTCTATTTATAGCTTAAGATCTTAAAAAGGGGGAAAGAAGAGAGAGGGAGAGGGCTACTATTACAGGACCTTCGTACGAAGTCTTATACTATAAAGAAGCTCGACCTAAAGGCCTCGCTAACAGAAACTGACCGCTTCCTAACGAACCCCCAACTCTTACTTAACCCCTTTTTCCGTATACTTCTTAACGAATCCTTCTTGTACTGAGGATGCACCATTAATTGATACAATTTGGTCCACTCCCCAACAGTTAATCTGTCTAGATATTAGCTAGTAAGCTCGTGGTAGACTATAGTGATTTAAATACCTTTAAGCAATAACTTAAAACTATTTTCACTATTACTAAATACTTTAATATAGTACTTCTTTTAGATAAGATAGATATATTTATAAAAAAAGCGTACGTCCTACTATAATAACTATAATTATCTTATGACTGTTTTTCTCCGAAAGTTAGAATATTATTAAAGTATTCTTTTCTTTATAACGAATCGGATAATCTAGTTCGATAAAGCTATTATAAACCGGACCTATATAACTATTAAATACAAGGTTCTAATAAAGAAGTTTCGTAGAGAGGTCTAGAAAAACTTATTATCTAAAGTATAGACTTTTTAAGGATCTACTATAGTTAGTCACGATAAGTTGCAGTTACTAGATAACTTCTCTCTAAATAGATAAGAAGTTAGTTCACTACAGCTCTAGTCAATATTTACTAGCTAACTATTATCAGATCAAGAACCTTCTTTCTATTACGTATATACTTGCTATAGTCGACAAAAAGCTAGTAAGCTATAAATATCTAGAAATAGCTACAGAATCGAATAAGAAACTTTCGGAAAAGTTTGGTCAAGAGAATCGCGTTAAGAGTATATATATCTAGGGCCGCGGGTCTAGTCTTAATAGTCTTCTACAGTAGTATAGTTCAGTACACGACAGTTTCAGGGGTTTTTAGGTTACATAGTGAATAGAAATATTTGGCTTTTCGGCTTTGGCGTGATCGAAAGATCCATTTCCGTGAACCCTGAAACCCTGCTTAAGTCCCTTCAAATAAACTTTATACAACCTTTCAATCGGGGATCATTGTCTCCTAAAATTGGTTTTGATTACCAACTGCATGGTTTTAATCTAGTCTTGGGTTGGCTCGATTATTTGGCTCTGGCTCCTTGGCCTATTTATAGGTGGAAAAGCGTCCAATCATACGTATACTATATCGCGGCAGGAAATCTCATAACACAAATACTATAAACTACCTGCGTAAAACAGGACCCGGATCGGAGATTCCGGAGTGGCGGCGACATACTGACTGCAATTGGCCATGAAAGCACCACCCAGCCAATGGTCCCCTTCGATCGACGCTTACACGCTGAGATGAAGACTCGCATTTTGACCGAAGCTCCGAGCGCTTGCAGGCTCTATAATTAGTCCCCAATCTGCTGAGCCACGACACTCGTAGCGGGGCACCTGAATCTGCCGTTGCGCCATTTTCAGGGAGAGACTTGGCTGAAACATTGTATGCATCGTATGCACTTAAGCCAAAGGATCTTTCTATTGGTACTGACGATGGTCTTACGTTCAGCGAAAGATGTAACGACCGACCTACTTCGAGGGTGGAGCGTGTAAAGACGCGTTCCAAGTAGTTCTCATCGGTGGACCAGTTAGCTGAAGATCTTGTACCGGATTCAATCCTATCTAATATATCTGAAATCTTGTACGGCGTTCGATTTGATGTGTTTATGTATCTAAGGGAAATAGCCATAAGCCCCGGACTTCATCTAGGGTCTTGTTAAGACCTGGTTTAGAAACATAGTAGTCGAACAACACCTTGTTCCGAGACTTTACCTCGGTGAAATCGCGCTTGGGAGGAACCTAGCTATCGTCGTCAGTATCAAGAACTTGCTTGACGAAGCTACGCATTTCGTGCTATTCTTGATAGACTTAAAACTCCTTCGTATATGCTGCGATCTGCTCGTTATTGAAGTTGAGCGGTAGACTTTCTATAAACCTGAGATCCCGCTAACTACGAAAAAGCTCGATCAACGTTTCCCGGAACGGGAGAATTCCCTTATCCCAAGTATCACTACGACGGAATAGTTCCTTTAGTAGCGAGGGGACTTATATCGCTCTCCAGGCTACTCTATCATTCAAAAAGGATACAACCTCATAAGCTTTTGTCCAGATAGCCTTCTCTTTATTATATAATACAATCTCCTTGTCGTCGGCGTCTATATCTTCATAGTCAGGTGGAAGCTAAGGCAAAACCTAGCCCTCTTGGTAATCTTGGGGCGGAGTTAGAAAGACAGGCCATCGGACTTATAGAAATAAGGGATTAATAGAAGTATACTACCAGTCAATAAAGCCAGTAACCGCGGCTAGGTTATCTTCAGCGACAAAGATATTTCCCATATAAAGATCGGTATACCATAGTATAGGTTGGGACTGAGCTAGTAGCTTAGGATTGTTTGCCACCGCTAGCATAACCTTCTTTGCCATATCGAGGGTTATTAAATATTCATCCAAGGGGCTATTCAGGGAGACGTTTAATGATCGATATCCGATTGCTCTCTCCCATTTCATCCCATTTCTTAAAGATCTGGACACCAGGGACCCGCTCCATCACAATATACTCAGCGCCTACCGGGTTGGTTGAATCGGCACTCCATGCTAAGACCTTAGGCACAGGAATAGTGGTATGTGTCCTGACTGAACCGAGAATTTCCATCAAACATGCAGTGACGAGATTTAAATAGGAGATCAACCTTACCGAAGCTCAAGACCGCAACCTCGGATGCTGTGCAGTACATAGGCCTTCCTGCATTCGGACACGGAATTTTGACGATGAATTCCGAGCCATCTGCGGTTGTCACAAGGAGAGCCTTGCTGAACCCACCCTCCATCTTCTCTATCTTCGAAACCTGCAATGGCCCAGCCCCGGGGATGCTTGCGATCACATCACATAACCGGTCAACATCAAAACGAACGTAGCGCTTGGAAAGCTGGCGGTCTTCCTCGGAAAGAAATCGGCCATTTGTGTATTTGAACAGCTCCTCTTTGGAAATGGATTTTCCTAAGGTTTAATCAGCATTGCCGACTCAGGAGCCTTTTAGGCAGGTCGTACCTCGGAACGTAATAGATAGGTGTCTTTTCGATATGTCTGAAATTAGGCTCCTATAAAGAGTTCGAGGCCATAAGGCTTTTCTCAAGGCCTGCATGGCGAGAAATTCTGGTTGTGAGGCGTACCCTGAAGATGGTTTCAAGATGGGCGGCTGGGGACGCGTTCAGTGCCTCGGAAGGAGGCGGCGAAGTTCGGTTATTAAAAAGAGTTATATCTATTTATTTTATTTATATTATATAAAAAGATATAGATAGATCTCTATTATATTATTATATTGTTTAGTTATCAATTAGTTTTAGGATAATACGCGGTTAAAAGTTATTATATAATTTAGTATAATTTATTTATTTAAACCTTAATTTATATCTTGATTTTTATACATATCTATAATCTTTTTATACGTTCTTATACGATAGATTTTTTAAATAATATATATATGTCTACATGTTGGATTATATTTATAAATTTATATTCTGAAATACATTGATTATTAAGTAGTAATATGTTACTTTTATTTATTATTATTTTTAAAACTTGTTTATTAAAGATCTCTTGAAATAATATACTATGTTTTTAGGGTAATTAATTGCCTACTCTTTAGTTTTTATCCTTTAGAACCATTTCTTTATCTATAGTACAGTAGGGTAAATCAAAATTATGTACTATCGATAGACTGTGGGCCGCATAGTATATCAAATTCATACAGTATTATCGCAGTTGAATGATCCGACTAGCCTCCGTTACATCGAAGATCATTCTCATTTCGGGCGTATCCTTTACTCCAATCATCGTCCGACATAAACCATGCTAGAGTCCCATGAAATATTAGCTATACCGTACCAATTAAGTTCTAACGGATTTCATACTTACCCAATATCAATATAAGGAGGTTATCGACATTGTCCTCCACCAGGTTCGGAGCTAGCCTTAGCAGATCGGTTGCACCATCATAACCATAGGCCTTGCCACCTCCAGGGATCTTGTGATCCCGGTCTGTGAAGGTAATAACCAAGTTAGTATGGCGACTTTCTTTCATCCTGGATGATAATAGGCCCTTACAATCGAGCTTGATATGCATCAGCTCATGGAGAAGACTGACGCTAAGAAATTTGTGCCAATAACTTAGGTAACGGAATCTCCGAGACGCACGGCTCCAGTCGTATGTCCGATCGTTGCCGCCGATAGTCAACCCTGTCAAGGTGAAAGCTCTAACATATACCATGATAGAAGTGAACGAAATTGTGTTGGCTGATGTCTTTGACCCAGACGCTTCATCCCCACAAGCCTCTAAATTGTTCGGCCACCACTTTTCTTTACCCGCGCGATCTAGGATTGGATCTATGATATAATTAGCTATATCGATACTTGCTATACAGTTTAATCTTGACACACACAGGATACCAGAAAGATTGAGAAAACTAGGGGTAGACATACCATAATATGCAAAATGTGTCGCCTCCTTTCGCTGCTTCGAATTTGGCCTTTGTATTCTTGACCCATCCTCGAAGAATTACCATCTCTCTAGATGACCATCACCGCAAACGATTTTTGTTGGCTGCTGGTCGCGACGCATTAGATAGGCCCCAAGGGTCTCAAGTCGGGCTAAAGGGTTGTCAAATTAGCCGGGGACAAAAAAAAAAAAGAAAGAAAAAAGTCGAAAACTATTAAGGAATTTACCCAAAACAGTGTTCCAATGGCGCTCCTTGGTAGCAGTAACACGAGTTCTTCCTTGAAGAGCCCAAAAAGCTAGCTTGGTCCTTTTTCTGTCAAACCAGCTGTCTTGGTGTTCGGCAGTGTTGGTCACCAAATATGGGCTTAGGTTGCTCATCTCAAGATCTACGGGCGATATAGTGGTGGAAGTAGGGCTTGGAAATGTGCCTGGTTTTAGTCCGCAAAAGCGGCGAGGGATAAGCCCCAAAATGGAAGGCCTCTGAATTGTTAAAAAGAAAAAATAATTCACAATTACTTGATTTAAATAAGAGGATTCCTGATATTAATATTAACATGAGCAAATTAAATTCAGATAACTGGGAATATTTCTTGGTTCGCGGATCAGTGACTTTGAATGGAGTATCCGTGGATATCTTGCGGATAAACACAGAACACAATACATCACCAATTTTCTTTTGATGCCAACTCGTTTACCAAGACCATTTCGAGGTTGATTTGGTGTCAAAAACAATAAGCATCCGCTGGTTCGACCCATAAGTGCTTTGTTTGTCCCCGCTAAACCGAGAGACTGATCCTGCTGGGAAGAATGATTGATACCTTGGAACAGTCTGAAAAGGATACTAGCGAGTATCATGATCATAATAATATAATAATTCGGTCGAAATCAATAATCAGCCAATACTAGGTATATATGCCAATATATGACCAGTCAGACCTTGCAGCGGTTGGCGATAGCAACGGGACAAACAAAACACTCTATTCTTAGCAGGGCGCTAGTGCCCGCATCTCTCTATCGCGATAATCAACCCACTCTCCCCCCGCGTCAAAACAAACACTCTTTCTCTCTCTCTCTCTTGATCCTTAATCCTTAATCCATTATTCTTATTTTTCTCTCCTTGATTTCTACCTTTTTGCTCTGCTCCTACAGCCACACCCAGCATGAATTGAGTCGGGGTCCTCGTCCCACAGCTTCCATGGAGGGGAACATGAGTGTTGCGATCGCTGTGTCGACCACATAAAGCAAACGGGACTTGTGACGCCTCTACCTTCAACCTCGATTCGAGTTCTCTCCTTAAAATCCCAACCTTCACTTTACTGCGCTTTCCTTCCATCTTGTCGCTCTTTCTGCCCTCGGCGCATTTTCCTTTGTTATCCAAGTTCGGTAGTTGCCCAGACTCACGGTGAACCGCGCGCATTCGCATCAGGCAACGATGGCCACTACCGCAAGTGCGCCCGCGAGTGCCGCGCTGGCGGACCTGCCGCTGGAACAGCTGAGCCTTTACCATGTCGTCGATTCCTGCCTTTCCTCTATCCTTGTCTTCCACGGCCCCGTCGCGACCGCCAATGCTACCGTGAGCAGCTCGCGCATTCAAGCCCATATCTTCACGCCGGCTGGCTTCCAAAGCTACCCTCGAATTACAGTCTCCCCTGCGGCGCCATTGTATGCTGCGGTCAACCACCTACCACGCGAAAAACAAGGCGATGAAGTGTGCCGCGGGCTCGCAGTCAGCATGCTGAAATATTTCGCTGAGCTGTCTGACCCGGTCAAGAATCGATTGATAGATACGGCTCGTACGGGACGACCAGGAGCCAAGGCTCCAAAGATGTTTGATGAGATACACGCAGCAGACTTGGCCAACCGGATGACCAAGGTCGACGACTCAACGGAGATTGTACGGGACACTCGCAGTGCCTACCAGGAGCGCAAGGTTCCTTGGATTGATGTGGATGTGGTGTTTCCGGCTGGTGCGATCCGAGCTACCCAGCGGCGCGGCAGCGCGGACTCGGACATTGAGGATAATCAAAACCTCCAATATGGTCTGTATACACCACTCATACAGGCATTGGGGGACCCAATGTTCTTGCCGACATCGCGATTAAAACGTGCACCCTCACAGCCGACCAACGTAAGTCGATCGCGAGTGTTTGCGCGGAGCCAAAAGGAGGCCCTTCGCCTGACCATGTGCGAACTTGTGGATACCGAGGAGAGATACGTCTCGAAGCTCTACACCCTGGTTCACGAAGTCGCAGATGAGTTCCGACGCAAGGCTCAAGGGAGAGCGCCTTCAAGCACCAGCCCCGACGAGACCGCCCTGACAGCACTGTTTCCACCGTGCCTAAATGAGATCTTGGAAGTCAACCTGGGATTCTTGGATGTCATCCGCCAAGTGCTTGACGAGACAGAAAAAGATGCCATCGCGGATATCAGCCAAGACACTGAGCTTCCTTTATCTAGATCATACCAGAATCTTTCCAAGGATAACCAGGATGCGATTGGTGCTGTTACTTTTGCCAAGGCCCTTCTTGAATGGCTTCCACAGTTCTCACAGCCCTACGCGGATTATATGGGTGCGCATACCGGGTTTACTCAGACGCTGAATTCCTTCATGAAAGACAAAAGTTCCAGTTTCTCGAGGAGAGTCTACGAGACTGGGGAGCAGCGACTGCGATCCCTGCTTATGGAGCCCGTCCAGCGACTTCCTCGGTATAGTCTCTTGATTGATACCATGACCGGGAGCTTGCCCATGGTTCACCCTGCTGTGCGACCTTTGCTGAAAGCACGCGACATTGTCAAGGATATCTGCGCATTGGATAATTCTTCTCCGTCCAGCCATGCCCAGACTCTTCAACGACTGAGAGATCTTGTTGATGGATGGCCAGCCAAGACATTTCCAGAAGGACGCTTGATTACAGCCGTGGATTTCAACGAGGCCGTGCTACCTTACCACCTTGACAACCAGACACCTGGTCCTGGAACGGGGATTCTGCTACTTTACAAAAACTGCCTCGTGCTGCTGGCTAAACCAGCGGAAAGCCGTACCACGGCCCGTGGGTTGTTGGCCGACATCGATAATGCGGCTTCCTCAACCAGTGATATGTCCATGTCCCTACCTCCATCAGAGCTCAGGGTTGCGCAGGTCCTGGAGCTGCACACCGCACGTTATACGCAGTCAACATGCGGCCGAATCCTGTTTATTGTGCCGATGTCCACAAAACCCAAAGATCAGAACAGCGCTACCGATCTGCTTGCATTACAATTGACTGTGATGTATGAAGGGAAAGCGTCTCGGCTGATTGAGGAAATTTCCAAGGCAAAAATCGAAGGTCGATTCTCCGAACAAGAACGAGAAGGTGGTAAATGGACACTTCGGAGCCCTACTGGAATGGCAGGCAATACTGGGATTCTGGCTTGCGTGTGCGAGGAAGGTCAGAGTGCTGCTCTAAAACAGGCCCAGTCTTCACCGATACGGATTGTATTCGATACTCCAAAAGCGGCATGTACTCAGATGCTGAACGGCACTGACCTGGAGGTCGTCGTCTCGATATCTCCTCCAAATGCGGACCAATACAGGATAGATGTTGACTCTGTTATTGGTCCTGCATCCACCGATTTGGTTTCAGTGGATAGCTTTCTCTCAACGCTTTCCAGACGTCGTAAGTATGGATCGTCGGGCATGGTAAATTTCTTGGCTGACATGAAGTATCACAGTCCAAAACTTGCTCTTGCCTTTGCACAGTCCTCGAAACCCGAAACTGACGGAGCCCTTGATTCACTCCAACTTTGAAATACTTCGTTACATTGCGAGTAACTTGATCACACACGTCAAGGCGTCGCGTGGTTTCCGGCCTCCATCACCGACAAAATTGATTTCCAACTTGTTAGGGGGTAGCCGCGATAGTGTCCCGACTATCAAAGCCCCCAGCTCAGCCACGCTTCTGGGTGAATTCCCAAAGATGCCTCCGCCAAGGCCAACCCATTCGAGAGCCAACACGCTCCCTTCCACATTTCCTGGTAAAGAGAAAGATCAAGAAAGAGAAAACGAGGAAACTTCCAATAGAATCTCGGTGGTCGGGGCGCCGGCTGCCAAGGGCCCGGATGGACAGATCGGGTCGCTGGAGCAAACCTTTGCAGCTTATGTGCTGTCTCTACAGTCTCGAAGTGGAAACATCTTGGGGCGCATGCTTCGTGTCAGAGACAATGTAGACCGAGCACCGGTCAATGAGCTTTACAATGTCTTGCTGGAAGATCCCGCAAAGATACAGGCTGCCGCCGAGGTACCGGTCGATACGCTTTTTGTGGCCTTCGAAACCTTCATGGCAAATGCATGGAAGACGAGTATGGGACCTGTTTTGGATTCTTCGTCTTTGCGTTTGCTACAGAGCCAGTTTGACACTATGCTCCCCCGCGACTTTGATGAGCACTTTCGAAAGTTCCTCGCGGACACCAGCCCACAGAATCGCCGTGCGTTGGCCGCCATGATTCGCTTACTGGCCGAGCTGCTAGATGCATCGGGCAATGATGGGGACCGAGGTGCTTTGACCATGGCCTTTGCGGAGGTTCTCACGGAAGAAGGGGATCCTGTGCAACATGTGTCTCTACTGGACCGGCTTGTTGACGACTTTGACGGCCTTTTCGAGGAATACATACCCAGCGGTGCCTCGGTAGAAGGTACATTGAGTTGCGACCAGACCAAGACACCACAAACGAACACTGGCTCTATGAGCTCCAACAACTCTTCGTTCCGCAAACGCTTTGGCTTTGGCTCGCACAAGGAGAGCTCGAAGAATGATGGAGAAAGCAAAGTCGCGTCGATTTTGCGGACCTTGAGCAAGAGGCAAAGCCCGACTGATTCTGAACCCAGCACGCCAAAGGGCTCTCTAATACGCTCTAAATCCACCGACGTGGATGCTCGTTTGGGCCTTCTGCGGCCCTCGTCTCGTGATCGCCCGTTCGGGTTTGCGTCGGAAGAGCAGATTTCGAGACCAGGCACTGGCTATGGGCAGCCACCGTCTCTATCCTCTATCCGCGGGATATCTCAAGATGGCGTGGTGAAGATTCGCAGAAAGCGGAGGAGCTCTCTGTCTGATCTACGGCCTCCCACCGCGTCTTCCGATGCATCGAATGCCTCCCCGACTCATCCACTACGCCCAGTGACACCCTCCAGCCGCCCTGGCGTGGAGGCAACAACCCCGACAAGACAGGCCCGTCCCCAAAGTAGCTACATGGCATCGCCTCCTCAGAGTACATCACCGGATAAAGGTGGTTCACCAGTGCGACTGGGATCGCCAATCCGCAGAACATCGCCTACGCGCCCCTGCACACCAAGCAGGAAAGAGAATATTGATCCCAAAATACCGCAGACAGAGCGAACGACCAAGACTAAAGTCGATCGAGCCGAGTCACCAGCCCAGGAAACAAAGAGACGATCTCGCGCGACCAGTATCCCTTCGCGCACTACGGGTCTTCGAGAGCGTCCCATGATCAATGGCTCGGATGGTAGGCGGCCGCAATCCTCATCCTCGTCCTCGCCGCAGAAATCGCAGAAATTGCGGATGCAAAGTCCACAGAAGGTTGGTCATCCCTAGGTCTTATAAAATTTATTATTGGGCTCCACTAACTATTCAATAGCTTCGTGATCGTGTTCTACACGAGAAAAGATCTCAAGCCATTACGCAGCTGGGGATGCGAGATGAGATGGGATCGCTTGGTGACGAACTGCGTGCCTTGAAGCTTGCGCCAACCCTGCACAAAACAGCGCAGTTGAACGGAGACCACACAAACCCACAGCTATCTCCCGCCACTACCGCTTCCCTCGAAGCCCGCATGCGGAATCTGGAGTCACGGTTTGACCTGCTTACGGGCGAATACAACGGCCGCACATCTGCGATAGAAAGAGACTTGGAGACCTCTTTGATCGTGAGCGAGAAACGCGTGAAGAAGCTCGACGAGCTTTACCGTGAGGCTAGTGCCGAAAATGAAGCGCTTTATGATCGGTTCAACTCGGAGCTCAGCAAGATTGCCAAGGATGTCCGAACGGGCGGCGCTGAAGAAGCGTTACGCTCTCAGTTGACAGATGCGCTGGACGAGGTCGCCCGGGTCAAGAAGGAAAACTTCCGGCTGAGGCGAGAAATCGGCGGCCTCCGCGCGCAGTCGGCTGCAGCCGCGCTTTTGAAAGCAAGTGAGCCATGATGGCTTTTGCGGCGTCCCTCGAGGCCGTCTCAAATACGAAGCATTCGCCCAAGAGTCTTCGGTATGTTATTCATTCCTTTTCAGCCAATATCCGCGGCTGCTATATCCATTCCCTTTTCTTTCTTTGTACTGTGATACCACCGACACATCCTTTCTCTCCTTCGACTGTATTTGCTCTCAATGCTGCAAATTCGGGAATTTTCTACTTTGTCTTCATTTGAAATTCTTGTCACCTGTCATATGGGCCTATACGCACAGATGGCCTTCGATCATGCATGCATAGCTTAGGAGATCAAGTTCGCATGGCTTGTGTTTTTGTCTAGCCTTTGTTGTCATGTACCATAGCTTCTTCAGCCTCTTCAATCGACCAGCCCATCAGGCCCAATGCCTGGGTATCAATCATTTTGTACATGCACTCCCATTTTATCATCCACCACCTGCCCGCAGAATAGATCTCGACTTCGTCAGCGCGGGTATTGTCTACCGAGTCCCCAGTGAGACAAATGCGCATGGTGGGTAGAGCTAAAAATTGCTCGGCCTCTTCCCTAGTATCTGATTCTTGTGCTCCGGTTGCAGGGCTTCTTTCCACCGCCAGTACAGGAACAGAAAAACGGACGGGACCGGGCGCCTCAACCGAAAGCCGTTTTCGCAGTTCCATCAAAAAAGCCGCTGGATGTTTCTTCCGCCCTTTTCTTCCGGGAACTTCGAACCCCGCGCGAATCTTTTGGAGATCGGGCTGCTGGAAGGGCCGTAGTCGAAGGGTGATGCTGCTGCTCTGGGCTTGCCGTTCGTGCCATAGTTGTTCTTGTTGGCTGCGCAGACTTGGAGTAACGGAAAACCGGAACCAGTACCGGTGATCCCACAGAGTCCAGGACGTCCAAGGGCCCGCCATGGGGGTGTCGACTTTTGTCACCGGGGACCGGTTTTTCATGAATGGCTGGCGGGAAAGGAGCCAGATATTGGCAGCTCCTTGCGCATGCTTTGACGTAGATTCTGGCATGCTATGTTCTCTTGCGAGAGGTTGGAACATCACACCTCCCAGAGTGAAAGATTGTTTTTTGCGGGACAGAGGATCATCGTGGCTATTATTGCTTGAGACGAATAGGCGCGGTACAAAGGGCTCGAAGCTGCGCAGTGAGAAATGGTTCCTCGGGAAAGGGGAGACCAATTCTGTAATGCGGCGGAGGGTAAGGGTTTGGATCTGGTGAAGGCGGAAGGCGGGGAGATTGGCTAGTTGGGGATCTGGTGGTGCTGTCGAGGCTGAATCTAGGATCTGGAGGATCACGGTTCCTGTCTTGTGATTGGCATCGAGGATGCGGCATTGGGATTTGAGGAGTTGGTTGGAGAGCTCGTCGGAGGTCTGGAGGAGATCCTGACTCGCGCGAATCAGTGAGAGGATGGAGGTTGGTTGCAGGGCGCGTGGGAAGGCGTTGGAGGCGAGCAGGCTGCGGATGGCATTGCGCGGGGTGAGGGTGGGATCGAAATTTGTTGGGTCGGAGACGTAGGGGATGCAGTTCTCATGGCAGGTGGCGAGCATGTTGGCTTTCGGGAAGGACAGCAGAGGTCGGCAGAGGAGGATGCCGCCTGTGGCGAGAGAGATCTCGGTTGCAAGCGAGGAGGGAGGTGCTTGTTTCTGGGTGGTGGGAGTTTTGCTCTCCGGATCAGAAGAAATTGAGATTCTTCCTTCGTTTTGCCCATTGAACCGCACCTGCACCGGCACCTGCGGAGAGATATTTGCTGCGGGAATTTTCCAGGATGATCCGCTCTCGGAGACCCCAAAGAGACCGTGACACTCCGGGATGCGGGCGACTCGCGGGATTCCCGCGAGTCCGGCACCTCGTGCGCCAGAAGACAGGCGCCAGATAGTAGTCTCGACGTCGTCGTCTTGGTGGTGGCCCATGAGCAGAGTCTCAATGCCGTTCTCACGGCAGGCCAAGCCGAGGGCCTGGAAGCGGAGTCGCCGTGCATGCGTTTCAAAGGCGGATGGCATTGATACTCCTGCATTTTTGCTCGATGACTGATCCTGGCTGCCAGAGACTTGGGGCCAGTCCAGCTCCAGGACCTGGGTTTTGATGCCTGTTAGGGATTGTCAGAACATGCTTTGAGACCCGCCTTACGGGTGATTAAATATATAGATTAAGGAAGAGCCTCAAATGAGAGAATCTTACCTAAGTCAGACAGCCAGCCAGCGACCTTTTTCGCCTCGTGGCTACTCTCTGCGCGGGCGCGATGGTCGACCACGAACGCGGTCACGGAGATGACCCCGGCGACAGCAGACTGTTCCAACTGCCGACACAGATACGCCAGGGCCATGGAATCTGCGCCACCGCTGACGGCGAGTCCTGTGAAAATGAAGGTTAGCCATCGTTTGATAACTCGAACACTGAAAAAGTGTGCTCGGTGCTCAGCAAGACTCACCGAGTCTGCGTGGAAGATCGAACGAGTCATCTCCATTTTTAATTCCATGTTTTCGAGGTTGAATCCCAGTCCTTCGAAATTTGGACCATGACCGGTGAAAATGCTCCCGAAATTGGGAGACAGAGATGGGGAGATGTTTGGCGGCCATGGGATTCCCCTTGGGATTCCTCGAGAATCGCGATGCAATTCAGAGCGTTTGCCAGTTGGTGAAAAAGAAGTTTGGGTCACATGACTTGTCTGTTGTCATTTCTCCCTTTTTTTCTTTGGTAATTCACCTTAGTCGGCGATGCCTCTGAAAACATAAATTTCGTGGCGAGCAAGGTATTCGATGCGCATCCAGATGGAAATGCACTCCCAGCATGTCGTTCAATCACCTAACGAGGACGGCTATTACACCGCAACAATGGTGCTGTGGCGGCTGACTTGATCTACCCAACTCTACTCCGAACTGTCTCATGAAACCAGCTACCAGCTCATCTTGATGATTCTACGTATGACGTGGACTCGTTCTCTCGAAGCATCAGGCCCTCGGTGGTGTTTCCACATGCGGCCTTGTGGTTGCTCTTCAGGCCGCCGGCATCATGCTAAAAATATCCATCACCAATCCCGCAGAGTCCTCGTGGTTTTCCCAACGGCAATTGAACCCTTTCACCTTGCCATTGCGTTCTACGTTGCGTGTTGATGACGTGAACTTGTCAGTGAGCGGCTGCGGGCCTGAAATAGCAACTATAGGGCGCCTAAGTCGAGTCAACATTGATCGACTGAAGAGCACAAGCGAAGAAAAAGTATAAAAGACCCTTTTTGATCCAACCTGGAAGAAGAAAATCTCACAGTTCACTATACTGCCATTTTCCGTTTGAAATATTCTCCTGAATCTCACTACCATCGTCCCACCATGCAGTCCTCTGTTGCTCTCCTCGTCGCGGCCTCTGCCTCTATGGGTGCTGCCTGGAGCATCACCGCATACAGCGACGCCCACTGCACCGATAGCACTGGGTTTCATCTCGGCCAGGAGGGCACTATCGGCTGCGTCGGCATCTCGAGCAACGAGACCATCAAATCCATCGGCGTTACCGATATGTCTAATGACCTGATTTTCCAGGGGTCCAGTGGCTTTTCTTGCAACAACTTCCATCAAACTGGTGGTAATGGCTGCTACACTCAGGGCCAGCATTTCCAGTCGTTCACTGTGAACCAAAAGTAGGTATACTGACTGCTCTTTGTGGGTTTCCCTGGAAACAAACCAGAATTGCTGATGATACGTCGTAGGCTTAGGGATAACTGAAGGTGATTTTGTGAGGATAACCAGAAAGAAGGAAAATGAAGGAAATCCGGAACGATGAGAATGTGTTGACGAGCGGAACATCTTAATGTAAACTAAGATAACCTCGACGTTTACCTTAGGATGGAGAAATACCGATTGCTGCAATGGCGGGGAGTAAACACGCTATTGATACGCCCAACCCGTACTTGGGACTTGATTACCACTAGAACATAGCAGTTCTTTTCCTTTTCCTTCATTCGTGTCATTTATTCAGCACAAGATGGCAATGCTGTCTGTCGATCTTTGAAAGAACATTGTAGAAATAATGCGGCCCGTGACTCCTTGCTTAGTCGGCTCTATCTTCCTGCCATCACTAACTTGCCAGTGGACGTGATCTCGCTCGCACCTTCCAAATTAGCTACCGGGCCTTTCCCTCAGTCTTAGAGAATCCAAGAATTTATGATTCCCAGTACACATCATGCAACTTCCACCTGACATCATCGAAACGGCACGATCCGTCTCCGCATCAATTCCGTGGACTTGTTGAGCCCCACGAGACCAACCTTTTTCATCCCTACCGACCTAGGTCGATTTCTGTCGTTCGACAGGTACCATATTCGGAGAGCCGCGCCTGCACGTCGACATACCGAGCTGACTACCTCTCTCTAGGTCTTGATCATGGACTCCCTCTCTGAGTCCTGCGGCAGTCGGAGTCCTCCTGTACCGGACGCGGAATTTGACACCCACACCGCTGCCCGGCAGAAGATGTTTGCTCGGCTGGATATGTATCAATCACTGAATGACGATGACGATACCATCCATTTCCTGAGGTCTGTCTTCCGATTCCTTCCCATCCAAGGCCAGGTCCACTTGGCCGACGATGCAGATAGCTGCGATGACGACGACCAGCTACGACAACTAGCAAAGCACCTGGATACAGCTTTGCTTAGGCCGATGGTGGCCACAGGTGGAAATACGCCCGCAATCACACCCTCCCCCCGTCCTAGAGTGGAAGACTCTATTGAGGACCTGCTGTCCCATGACTTCGACTCGACGACCCGGCGGCAGGGCAAGTTGCGGCGAGCCTGCCTGCAACGTGATAACCACCAATGCGTAGTGACAAAATTTTGGGACTTCGACTATGATAGCAGGCCCCCCGACGCACATACCGCTGACCTCGAAGCCGCTCACATCATCCCATTTGGCCTGGAGAATTTTCGGGAGGATGAACGACTTCGGCATGCACAAATCTGGCACTGCCTGTACCGCTATTTCCCAACTATCCACGACCTCTTTCACTCCAGCAATGAAGACGTTAATCGCATCGATAATGTGATGATGCTGGCTGCATCCCTGCATCGAGAGTTCGGTCGCTTCTCATTCATCCTGGAGGAGACCGATGTTTCTGGTCGCTACCGCGTGAAAACCTTTTCCCAATTTCGAAACACCTTCCTCCGGCCCCACATGCTCGAGTACGCGATAGTAGCAAGTCACGACCCCCGGTACCCCGCCCCTAACAAGTTTCTACTTGCCGTGCACGCAGCCGTCGGCAACATCCTGCACGCGACTGGGCATGGCGAACTGATCGCGAAGACCATGAAGCACCTCGGAGGTAGTGGCGGCCATGCTCTCGCGAAGGACGGGAGCACTAATGTGGAAGAATTGCTATCTGTAACCGGTCTTTCTTTACTGGCAATTAATCCCAGCCACCGTTCGCCGGCCCGTAAGGAGAAGCATTCTCGTCATGTTGCGTCCAGCCTCCCCGGCACGGAAAATCAACCGCCCAAGCGTCACCGATGAGTGATCGAGTCATCGGGACGAATACCGCAAACCTGCAGAACAAGAAGAAACCATAAAAGCGACATTCTATCCGTCGCTGGATGATTTGCTTTCGGTGGCCGAATGCATTGTTAGGTGGAACCAAGCTCATCACCAAAGAGACCCTGGCTAAATTCAAGAAGGGTGCAAGGTTTGTGAATATTGCTCGAGGCACCCTGGTATTGGGCGCCTCTTCGAGGACCGCCACGGCGACTAGGGCCTGGTAATCGCATTCTCGTCCTTTGCTGGAGCACTGTGCATGTTGTTGTCAGATAGGGATGCAAAGGTCTGATTCAAATGGCCATACTCCACTACATGGGGTTTGGTCGTCGCAGCGAGTTTTCAAGGTGCGGTTGCAAGCTGTCAGCCTCAAGTTAGGTTATCAGAGCAAATCCAACACAGACCATGCAAGACATGCCGCTTTTATGGGGGACTTGGAGACCCGAGGCATGTTACCAGTTCACGTAGATTTAGTCAACGGGTTACTTTCCAGCACGCGTTTCGCATCAAGAGTGCGAGTTCCTGGATTAGGTTTCCCCGTAGCTAGGTCCCACAGATTCCAGGGCGTGAGGCTTATGAGGGCGTCGGCGTAGAGAGTGGCCACGTCAAGATCGTCTGAGAATTTTTCATATGCTGCACCCATCGCATCGGCATACGCCTGATTCTGGGCTGCATACTGCTCCATTTCGGCGAGCTGGTCGCTCCGGAAGCGAGCCTGGATGGCAGCAATGCGCGCCTGCTCAATGGCACTTGCATTTGTCGCGAGTGACTGCGCCTTGCGCGCCGCGTGATACGTACTCTCAACAACGAGCTTCAACCCGGCGCCGAAAAAGTGCCAGGGCTGGTTGTAGTTGGGGCCCGTGGCATAGGCCAGGCCCCAGTATGCCATGGCGCAGGACTCATCGCGTGCGATGGCTTTTTCAAAGCATGCAGCGGATTCCTTATGGTTAAAGGTGTAGGCCCAAGTCAGGCCGCGGTTGAACCAGGTTTGGGCCTCGGGGCTGTTGGTGGTGATCTGGCGCCCGAAGGAGCCGAGATCGTAGGGATACTCGGTCTGGGTGGGAGGGTTTCTCATGGCTTGTCAACAGAACAAAACTGCAGAGGCCAGGAGTGTTGCAAGACTAACTGGGTTTATACCTTCAAGCAGGGCAACTTAGTCTCGGAAATGGCGGATCTTACGGTAGCCCTGCCCCACAGATCTGCAAAGCTGAGTGAGCCCTGTATAGATTTAGCCTTGTATAGTTAAAGATGGGGCTGTCATGACTAGAATCTAGGCTGCCTTGCTGCTTATGGAGGTGGGGGCGAAAGTTCACAGAGTATTTTATATCTAGAGTCACCAGGGGAGGGAATAAGGGAGGATGGTGTAGAAGAAAGACAAGGGAAAGATATAAATCAGAACAGTGCGCAGTTGACCCAGGATACCACAAATTTAAGTCTTTGCCTTGCGGAGTTAAAATAACTATTGATCAACAAGATAATTCTTAGGTAGTGGCTGGGGTTTTGTTTAAACGCAAGACAAAATATCATCTTAGGAATATTATTATTTAGCAGTCGAATGGTCTACGCAGTCTCCTTGGCTAATTCTAGAGCAGCTAAGAATTACCTGTTACAAAATTTCTTTTAGGCACAATTTTCCAAGTTGCAGCATCATTGGTCTAGTGGTAGAATTCGTCGTTGCCATCGACGAGGCCCGTGTTCGATTCACGGATGATGCATTCATTTTTACCCCGGCAAAATTTAATTTTGCTCTTAGTTTTCTGGATTTACTACTATTTTCTTTTAGTGGAAAGAAGATAACTATTCTTTATTTAATTCTGGGGAATATTACCTTACCCACATAACAAAAATGTGCATTTGTTGGGTTGGTGACATTCCTATTTAACCAGCATCAACCCTTCGTCGCATATCCATTCTACTATACTACTCCATGACCCGTTATACGGTATTGCAGGTTTTATCTTACTGTCTGTACTTTATGTTGATCGAATAGTAACTTAGCACAACTACCAAGTCCCACCTCAACCACTCAATAGGACAGCACGCAGACTCTCCACCTGTCCCTTGAGCTGCTTAGGCTGAGCCGACCAGTCCTCATACTTGATAGTTTCCGAGTCCGTAAGCACCAGCAGATAATCCGCAACACTCGACCGAACCTACCACATAACACAAACTGTTAGTATCATGGGAAGCGGAGTGAGAAGAATGGGGTTGAATATACCCGAGGGAAAGGGTGCAACAGCATCCCGGTCAACTTCTTGAGAACATCCACTCGCAGAGGCTCGACCCTGGATAATGCCGCATACAGTTTGACCGCGGCTTCCAGTCGAGCCATATTCGAGGACCTGAAATGTGATCGCTGGGCCAGGACGAATAATTTCCGGAAACTGTTCCAAAAAAAAAAAAATAGCAAATGCCTGTTAGCGATTCTAAGGGTACATCTGGTCAGTGAAGAGGGGGCCACAAACCTAGATTCTGCCTCTGAGGGCGTGGTATTAATGTAGCTATCAATGAGAAAGGCGAGGAACTCGACAGTGGGAATTGCGTAGCGGTCATCTTGCAGGTTGTCACCCAATATGGTTGTCAAGTCTTGCACAAAGGTCGTCAAGATCATGTGTCGCTCGGCTGGTGTAAATGATTCCAGAAACCGAGTCAGAGCCGATCGAGATGCCCGGACGAGACCCTCAGCTCCCGCAACTGCAGAAGTGGCGAGGCCCTGTAGCAGCGGAAGACGCAGCCAGTCGATGCGCTGCAGGGTGAGGAGCTGCATGAAGTACTCTTGCGATGAGACATGGCTGAAATGCTCGTATTTCCTGTTGCAATTAGCACCAGGCCCACATCCAGCAAATGCCGAAACAAAAAGGAATTGATTACCGCTGAAGGGCCGGGAGATCCTCTGCCGACTCCCAGAAACTCTGCAGGCAAAGCCATGCTTGTAATCTGACTTTGTCGAGTTTTTCGGCTGTGAGACGGCACAAACACCCGACCAAGTTTTGGACAAGTGGTGAGCGCGTCGGTGATTTAGAGTCTCCTTGTACGAGGGTGCCTGCAGCTTGGATTGCCTCCAGTCGAATCAACGATCCAACATCACCCCGTCTGTTGGTGGTATAGTCATTCAGATACTCAAGAAAACTATTCGCAAGTGTATCCGTGACCACTATAGCGCTGTTAGTATTAACTGTTGAACATCCTCCCGGGGGAAATATACCTGTATATGGCAAGACGTTGGTGGCCAAACACTTGACCGCAACAACTCGCTTCTCTATAAGCTCCCCTTTCCCGGCACAGCGGAGCAACTCGGTTACAATGTCCTCCCGAAGGCCACCATTTGCATCAAGTCGGTTGAATACAGCACCCAAGGCTGAGATCTGGCCACGACCTGTTGGTAGTCTCCATGAAGTATGGAGATGAGAAAACCAAGCCTGCACAGTTTGGTGCACCTTTTCTTGTGACAAGAGGGGGAATAGCTGTGATAAAGAATCAGAAGAGGCTTCAATAGAAACATCCTCGCTTCGAGATACACTGAGCGAAAGGATTCGAAGTGCCCGATCAAGCAGTGCCTCCGAGGGTCGCACCAATCCCGCTGTGACGGTAGACCGAGACAGCGAAGAGATTAAACGAGAAAATGCTTCTGCGGTCAATTCGGGACGAGAAGTTTGAAGGGTTAAATCGTTATCGGTGGGAGCCAAGGGAGAACCGAAAATCTCCCACAAATTGGCCACTTGGGTAGACACACTCTTCGATTCAGGCGTATCCCTTTGATCTGGGAATTTTTCCCACTGACCGGTAAAGGCATCCGTGGCTGCAGCCATAGAGAGCACGCAGCCGTGTCGCGATTCTACATCACTTCGAGGGATGCTGGAGAGCTTGCGCAGCAGTCGATCCAACACCGTCCCCAAAGATTCGAAACTCCGCTGTGTACTCAAATTTCCAATAGACCGTGCTGCATGTCGCCGGGATTCGGCATCAGGAGATCCAACACCTCTCCAGTGCACCAGAGCCTCCAGGAGCGGACTCCAGTAGATTTGGTCCAGCGATGCCGTGGCTTTGGCAACATCATTCAGTGCGCGGGATCGTCGCGCGACAGCATGATAATCCACGACCTGGACAAGAGGAATGCCTTCGGCAATGGTATTGGGGTGCCGGCCAATCAACTCTTGCAAAGCAGCAGATGCACCGCGCCGAATGTTTCCAGAGGGGTCTATACAGGCTGCACACACTAGTTCCACGGCCAGCTTTTGTAGGACATTAACTTCCTGCTTTCCGGACGACGAGGGGATTACTTGTGGTTGTAAGGCCAGTAGCTCTGCAGTCGTATATTTTCGAGACATGGCCCAGATGCCAAAACAAGCAGCATCCCGCACACCAGTTCCCACAGAGATGCCCGTCGATGACCTCTGCTCAAAGTCAAGACCGGAGACAAGGGACTGCAGAATGTTTGGGAGTTGATAAGTTGGAGGCGCACGCCGGAAAAGAAGATGGGATAAAGTCAGCATTAATCCCTGCCACCGCTGAGCGTCGACGGCACTCAAGTTGCGTTTGAGCGTGTGCGCGCCAATTTTCCGCACCTCGAAGGGAGTCATCAAAGTCCCGTCGTCCTTTTCATAGAGTATGTTTTCTCCCAATGAGCCGATGACAGCCTCAATGACTTCGGTTGCCATTTCTGGCTCCAGCTTGAAAGCGATGATGCTGAGGGCTTTGCTAGCAGCAAATCGCACAGGGGTGTCCTTGTCGGCAAGAGCAACAAGGAAATAATCAATAGCCTCCTCCAGAACCGTAGACAATTGATCATCCGTAATCCGGCCGTCCCCTCGCTCGCTGAGAGACAAAGCCATGGTAGTGATGTTGCGAAGGATCTTGACGATAATCTTTCTGGCCAAGGCGGAAGACTGAATGGTAACAGAAACCTCGGACTCTCCTTGAGAAACGCGGAGAGTTTTTTCGAAGACCGGGATCAGCAAAGGAGCAAAATCCTCCACTTGACCCGATGCGCCCAAGCGGGCAATAAAGGAAAGGACTCCAATGCAAGCATAGACCGAAGGCGATTCAACATTCTCTGCTGGTTGAATAATGGAAAACGCCCAATTTGTCAGCCCAGAAAGCATGCCAAGTGCTTGCATATCCCCGCGGAGAACAAGACGTGCCAACAGCGCCGTGGCAGCCTCACGCTCCTTGCCCGACGCACTGATATAGTGCAACGACACTGACAGAAGGGATTTGGCGACCATCGGAGTCTCGGGACGTAACCAATCTAGCTGCTGCAGATTGGCATAAGGCACAGGGATATCATCCGATGATAACGAAGCCAAGTCAAACGGAGCGAGCAGGAGATGGGAGAGCCAGACTAGCATCATATAGCGTTCTTCCCAGACTAGCCGCCGCGACTCGGACTCGATCAGATGGTCCATGGAATGAGAGGAGTGGTCCACGTCCCACTCGATAAATGCCCGCAGCATCGCCTCAAGATATTTGGGCTCATTGTTCAAGAACCGGCTAATCACCTTGACGCCGCGGACTTTGCAGAATGTATAAAGAAGCCTGCAGATCGCTCTGGGAAGGGGATACACTGATGAATCCTGCGTTGAGCTAGCGACAGAGCCATACTGGTCGCGATGCTTGACCAGAAATGCCAGAAACGCATCCACTAAAGGAGGCAGAAGCTTCTGCAGATGCGGATCCAAGAGTTGGGGCCATTCTTGGAAAGGCTCAAGCTATCATACATGATCAGCGACTGTCTCTGTAAAATTCTATTTGGGTTCAAAAAGATCAGGATTGACTTGTGCAGTCTTACCAGCCCGACTAGCTTCTCCGTTTTGGAGACTTGCACCCACTGGCGTGGGGTGGGGGAGGAGGGGCTTCCATGTTGGGATCGCCACAACAGTGAGGGCAGCTTGGCCGCGAACTCCAAGACAAGATCCCCGGATGCCCGCTGCAGTTTCACCTCCCAGTCCTCGGCTGCGTCCATGGCGGGAGATGGGTGATGCATCAACGTCTTGCCGAGTCGGGAACAGCGTCAACCGTGGGTCGTATCATGTGACTTATATACAAATCAACAAAAGAACAAAGTACAGAACAGCGTAGGATGCTAATAATTTTTACTGAATGACATTGATCATAATTTCATTGTATCCTATTTTTGCTGGATAAAGATCCCCAGACATCAGAGTTGTTCCTACCCCGAGGAAAATAACGCCTCAATCAAAACATCGAGGCGCAAACAAGAAATAAAGATCGGGGGGCGCACAGTTGACGGAGCTAACGGCAAAAAACCGACCGTGGGACTCGTGGCCCGGGGGATAATACCGCTCAGCGAAGACATGTTGGTCCATGTTGATACGGATTCCGCCCTGATGAAGATGAGAGAGACAGAGGACGTCCAGATTCCGCATGTTGGTGCTAATGAACTTGAAGACAAGATGCCACTCTTCTCTATGAGAAAGCATCAGACCCTCCATAGTGAGGTACGACATATTCTGGTGCTTCTCGAGAAACCGGAGCAACGCGGGTACGGTAACAGGAAGATCGACCAAACGACATTTCTGTAGTTGGTGGAAATGAGTTTGGTCCGCGATACTAGTAAAGAGATGATAGTATGTTTGGGGCACGTCCAAACTATCATGGTCGAAGTGGAGGTCCAAATCCTGTAGATTATCGGCCGCGCATTTTAATAGTCTCGTCACGCCGGAGAGGTCGCCGACTCCAAGCGCCTCATCGTCCTCGGACTTCAAGAAGCTCGGCGTCAACAACGAGGCTGTCCTCTCCAACATACTCCGATAGATCCGGCTTTTGGTCCCCATCCCCGTCGAGATACTCAGCGCAAGTCTTTCCAGCAGCAGGCGCATGTCCTTCTTATCGTCGCTGTTCTTGCTGATCTTGCTGATCTTGGCGAAATGCGTAGCAAAATCCTTTGCTGGGATGCTGCAGCGTTTATAGGGGATACTTTCGCGATTCAGATCACGGAAAATGTCCAGTGCTCGGACAGTCGTCGTGCTCTTTACCATCGCAGCCAGTACTAAATAGCAGACATGGGAAGCCCACGGGAAAGTCAGAGGCCAGAAGATCTCGTAGGGACTCCATCTCCTGTCGGGCGAAGTCATAATCCAAGACTGGAGTTTAATCTCGTCCAGCGAAGAGAACTCATTCAGTGCACATACCAGCGTCTCGATGATGAACTCGTTCGAGAGGGCATCGCGAGTCCTTTGCTGTTTCTTCGTCCACGCGAGATCATGTTGGGATATCGGCCACCTCTGGAGCGGGATCATAGTCGGAGGATCTTCTGACACGAATATTATCCCGCAATCGCGACCCTCATAGCTATCTTCTTTGTTGTAATAGAGAACTTCCTTTCCGCTTTGGTCGTAGCTGATCGCTGAGATGGTCAGGTGGCGGACGGCATTTCGGAAAGAAGGATGCAGAGCGCGGGTGAGCAGAGCCATGAGACTCTCTTCTGTTAAATCTGTTTCCACGTGTGAGGCATAGGACAGGAAGCGAGGGCCGAGGCATCGCTCGGCGGCGCATTGATTCATCAGCCGGAGGCTCTTGATGGTGTCAAGATCGAGGTTTTGAAGGATGGTTTCCCAGATCTCGGAGGGCAGGCGACTCCACAACATGACATAGGCAAATAGGGGGTTTCTATTTGAAGTCAACTGGTATATCCATGGAGATGTTGATGGTGGGTTTGTGGCTGCCTCGTGGCAGCCCTGTCCTATTTATATGCCCCACGTGGTCCAAAGGCGCCCTGGTCGAGCATCCGCCTCACTATCCCCTAAGTCAGAGAAATGATTGTGGCAGTGCTCTATTATTTTCTCATGCGACAGACATGATACTGACCATGAAGATGTAAAAATTGAAGATCTCTCTCTTCAAATCCTTGTCATAATCAAGGAGAAAGTAAGCAATATTAAGATGTGATAATATGCTTAATCTTAGTATGGGATTTTCTACAAGCTTACTTGGGTAATCGGCGGTCAACATGCCTGTTCAATGAGGTAAAATCAGGGACAAAGAACAGTCACCATGCGCCTCCCAAGCCCGTCTATAGATATCTGCGGACCCCTGGCGCATGAAACATCAAACACAAAACACCAACACTATTTGAACATAAACAAATATTTTCAAAGAAAAGCAAAGCAAGTAGAAAGAAATCAAAACAAAACAAAGCACATCAGGCTCATCCACGGGTCGTTCAATTCAGTAAGACCATTCAAAGGTCCTCATCGTCGGTCTCCTCATTCAGACCACGGAACCTGGGAGCAGAAGGGGCCAGATCAGAAGCCACCAGCTGGGCCATACATTTCCTGACATGAAGGACAGAGATAGCCACAGCAAAAGAGTTCCACACATCCTGTTCCTCCTCGGAGACATCAAACTGGCCCAGGTAATTCACCTTGACCTCCAGATTCTCCACCCAGACCTTGGACTTCGGATTGGTGTCAAGGGAAATGATGGCAACAATAGGCCCACAGGCAAGGAACCCGACCAGCATCGGCCAATAATTGTTGGCACGGGGGCCACCCAGCGATGCCAGGTGGCGCTTGGCCAGCCGCTCCAGCTTCCGGGCAAGCTTGGAGACGGCTGCGAGCGTGGTCTCGTCCTTTTGTTGCGTGTACACGGCGTGCAGGGGGCTCGTGGCGGGACCGGTTTTGAGGTCGGCGTCGTTGATGGCCCAGCGCAGGTACTTGTTGATGGCCTTTTGGATGACCATTTCGGGCTGGATCTCCAGCAGCTGGCAGTCACGCACGTGGCCGCTGATCTTCAGGAAGTCTTGTAGGGCTCGGAGAGCCGAGAAGTCGGAGTTTTTGTGCGCCTCGAACAGCAGATCTTGATCTGCGTTCTGGCAGTTGTTCTTGTCGCCGTCGGTGGTAAAGAGCGAGACCGGCAGCGTGGGGAAGTCCTTTCGCCAGTGGCCGGGGATCAGCGGCTTGCAGCCGCGCGTGGCCATGTTGAGGAAGAGGTCTCGTTCCTCGCGTCCCAGGTGGGTGTCTTCAGGAATTTGCACGGCCTCGGCTAGACGCTGGGCCTTCTCGCGAGTGAGCTCGTACACCAGCTCGTTCCGCTCTGCTTGCGGAATCACCACATCTCCATCTTCACTGGCATCGGCTCCGGCATCGTGGAAGGTGACCAGTCCGTCGTCTTGTCCCTTGGACTTTCGGGCCTTCTTGCGAGGGGGTGTGAGAGCTGCGGGAGGAGGGTGAGGGTGGAGCCTCGACTTTGTCTGTCACAGAAGCTTTCTTCTTCCGAGACTCGAGCTGAAGTGAAGGCGAGGGCGAGGGCGAGGGCGAGGGCGAGGGCGAGATCTCGGAATCACTTTCTTGTTCCGAGGAGGCGACGTATTCTTCGTCGCTGTCGGGGGTGTGTGGGGATTTGCGCTTCCTCTTGGAGTAAGGCGTCGACTGAAGGCTGCTAATGTCTTCCCGGGGCTGCAACGAGGGCTTGAGGCGGGGAGTATGGGGTTCTTCGGTGGGTTTCTCTTCAGCCGTGCTGCTCTTGACCCGCTTGGAAGGACGAGAGGAATCCTCACTCTCGTCCTTGTCACTCTCTGGTGACTTTCGCTTGTGTTGCATCATCTCGGTGATGACAGCAGACAGAACGGGACTCTCGCCGTTCTTGTCTTCCTCGGTCTTGCTCCGCTTGAAAGCGGGCTTGACTTCCTCGTCCTCGTTGTCATCGGGAGACGGGTGTTTTGATACCCGCCGGGAAGGGCTCGGCGAGGGAGCAGGCTTGACAACAGCCTCCGATTGATCATGGCCCAGATCCATGATCATATCGGGAGAACTGTTCAAGAAAGAGAAAGAAAGAGGGTCGGACGGGCGAGGGGAGGGAGAATCCGGGCGCGATGACTGCGCAGGCTGAGGAGTATGAGGAGGGCCGGTACAGCCCGAGGAGCGGTTGTCGGTAGAGGTGGTGCTGATAGTTGCAGCAGACCAAAACCAAGGAAGAGAGCAAGGGTAAGGTGAGGCCACAGCACGATCGCGGCGAAGAGAGAGGATGGGGGGAGGGAGCCGCACAACCTCAGCCTCAATGGAAGCGACACGGCTTTGTTCGAGGGAGGGCTGCTGGGGCTCCTCAACGTCCAATCCGAGGGTTGCACCGGCCCTGGTCAGCAACGATGGGTGATGGAGCTGTCCCGGAGCAATATCACCCTCGCACATGCCCGCGGCACGGGCAAACACCTCTTCCTGCTGCACGATGTCCAGGTGGTTGGTGTCGACGACACCTCCCACTGGACCTCGACGAGGCCCAACGGTCGAGGCAAAGATTCCTCGAACGCGCCGGAGCATCGTGATAGGTGGACCGGAACAAAGAACAAACAAAGAGAAGGCAGAGAGAAAGAAAGGAGAAAAAGAAGAGAAAGCGGAAGGTTAAAATAGCGAAGGGGGGTGGAAACAAAGAAAAGAGAACAAGGCGAAGTGAATGCAGAGAGAAAATGGTGAAGAGAGAGAAGGATAGTGAGAAAAGATGAGAGAAGAGCACAGGTTTACTGTAGGCACGAAGCGATGAGAGCATCAATAACATCAATAACACCAACCTCAACAATCACAGCGCTGCCTACGGCTGGGAGGATTAGGCTGCTCTACCAAAACACCATCACGCCAGCAGCGTAGAATGTATTAGGTTGTATTTGCACATCACAGATACTCATTCACTCGACATGGCTCCCACACTACTGAGTAGACACTGTAGGACCATGACTAGATAGCGGGCATCATCTTCATCGTTCCTCATTGACCCCCTTTTTAAAAGACACCCTTCATCCATGCTGTCGAGCTCTGTCCCGGACAAGTCGACAGCTCGAGTATCATTCTACCTGGCTCCACTCCACGGTAGTAACACCAGATCGGAGAGCGGCGTCGTGGAACCAGTCGAATAAACCCGGAAGGAAAACACAGGAACAAGCAATTTCGATGCGCAAAAAAACAAGACAGAAAGCAACCAGGAGGCTCGATTATTTCAAGTGAAGTCGGCGAACAGAGCATGCCAGCGAAGGAATCCGAGGTGTCCACACCGGCACTCAACAAAACAGCCATGGGTATGTAGAGCAATTTGAAACAAAAAGCAAGTGCTGCAAAAGGGCTGAGAACATTTCGAGCCCAGAGAACCCGGTCGTGTCGGTATCCATCCCCGATGCACGGAATCAACCACCCTCTGAAGAAAGAACAGGGACAGGCAGAATCGTTGCAATCAAAGGGACCGAGTTCAAGCAAAGTCGGCCGTGTAAGAGAAACCGCGGAACTCTTCCTGCATGGCTTGCGACAGCACTGGACGGGAGGAAAGCGGTCAGTATTGAATTCTTGAATTCAGCCCAATAGCCACATAGGATTTATCCTTACCAGATTGGACAGGCGTCAGAACCGGCGTCACGCTGGTGAATTCCTGGTCGAAGTTGCTGGTATCGGTAGGACTGCTAATAGTGGGGATAAACGGCGGGGGAACCCGCTTGTGGTAAATGTCATCCCAGTTGATGTTGCGGAAGAACGCATGAGACATCACCTCCTGAGCATCGGTAGGCCCGGAACCCAGTCGCAACTCGGGCTCGCGGGTCAGCAGCTTCTGAAGAATAGAAACCGAGTCCCGAGGCATGTGGATGGGGTAGAGAGGCTCGTCAGCAAGAATGGCGTCGTAGATTTCATCTTCATCTTCACCACGGAACGGAGACTGTTGCAGAAGCATCTGGTAAATAAGAACACCAAATGCCCACCAGTCAACAGCCCGGCCATACTTTTCGAGAAGAATCTGCCGAGCCTGTTAGTTCACAAAATTAGAGGAAAATCTTGTTGGGAGACGCATACCTCTGGAGCCATGAATTCCGGTGTACCACAGAATGTTCTGGTCTGAGAGCCATACCACATGTTCTCCTTGCACAGACCATAGTCGGCAATTTTGATGTGGCCATCCAGAGTCAGTAGAATGTTGTCAAGCTTCAAATCACGGTAGATGACACCGTTCTCGTGGAAGTACTTCAGAGCCAAGCAGACCTCTGCCGCATAGAACCTGTAGATACAAAGTCAGTAAATCCGAGAGGGGGTGGGATGGAGGAAATTCAATGGCTCAAGACTTACTGTGCCCTCTTCAAGCCGAACTGGCCGCGTTGAATGTGCAGCATCAGATCACCACCACTAATGTACTCCATGACAAAGTACACACGAGTTTCAGTCTGGAAACAGGCGTGTAGGTTGAGAAGGAACGGGTGACGCTCCTTGTTGGCGATGAGGAACACACGCTTCTCAGACTTGGTGCTCTCCACCTCATCGTTCTCGATGATGAACTCCTTCTTGAGGACCTTGATGGCATACAGCTTCCGGGTACTCTTGGTCTCAGCCAGCATGACCTTTCCGAAGTTACCCTTTCCGAGCACGGCAAGGAAGTTGAAGTGATCAAGCCCAATCCGGGTCTTTGGCTGTGACGGCGGAGGAGCCTGTTCCTTGGCGGCAGGCACGACTTGCTGGGGAATAGGTTGCATGGGCTGCTGTGATGGTGGCATCTGGTAAGGCGCAGGCGAGCTGACCTTGGGCATGGGCTGGGCCGGGGGAGGCTGCTGGAAGTTGGCGTAGACGGAGGGGTCGTAATGGGCGTGGGGAGGTTGCGGGGGTGGCTGCGGCTGCACGGGACGGCTCATTTCGGCTAGAATTTCGAGTATTAATAACTGGGACGGAAATAATCCAGCGTACAGCTGGATGAGAGGACATACTTGGTGTTTGCTGGGGAGTGCGCAACCCAGTGGCCGCGGCGGCCGCGGCGGCGGCAGGTCCCGAGCTGGTGGGGGATTTCGGGGGGATCTGTGGGCGCGGTGCAGCCTGTGCAGCAGTCGTTGGTGACTGTGGAGTCATATAGGAGTTAGTCGCAGCGCTTACCGCTTCGGCCGAGGCTTGTCTGTGCATTGCGCCGTAGGGGCCCTCGGCGGGTTTCTGAGGGTATGAAAGGGCGGCATGGTCTTGAGGGGGTTGCGGCGCACCGCCTGGCCGGAGGGTACGGCCACTGAGACCGGAACTGACAGAGGTAGACTTGTTATGATTCTTGGCGCGGATCAAGGTCTCCAGGATCTGGTTCGCCGCTTCCATCGACATGCCGCAGAAATCAGGCACAAGATGAGTACAGTGAGCGTGGCAGGTAAGGCCACATTCTAAAGAACCAGGAGTAAGTATGATTCGTATCCGATATGGGAAAATGGGATTCATGATGCTTTGCATACCGGTACATCGCTTGGCGTTTTTGCGTCCGAAAGGCAGAAGATACCCGCAGTGGCAGCACCAGTTTGCGGAGATGTTGGAGAAGCCCTCGAAGCGATGAGGGATGCGGTGGTTGATCTTCTCCTCGTCGGGGTCGGTCTCGTAGTTGGCCTTGCTGATACACTTGGTGACCACCTTCTGATAACACTTGCGGTGGCAGGTGTATTTGCAATCCGCACACTGCATTCCGGCAGCATACTTGAGGAACTCTCCACACAGCGCACAGCGCATAATGTTGTAGAACTGTTGCGTGACGAACTTGTGGCCCTGCTTTTCGTGAACCTCCTCCTTCTTCTGCCGCACAGCACCTTGGCGGTTGAGACCAATGTCGAAGGGGCGGCGGTCCTTCAGTTGCTTGGCTATATCCTGTATTAGCGCGCTATGTCTGATTGTTGATCAAATATTTCCTTACCGAAGCTCATGGAGAGATGGATCCGGCCGACTGGCTCCAAGGCAAACCAGGAATCGATCATCACAGACGGCGGAGCATTCGAGCCCTCTCCATGGTGTTGTCCCGAGGCGCCCGGTCGTCCCGATCCGGGGCCATGAGAAGAGCCCATGGGAGAACCTGACTGATCATGTCGCGGCATGCCCGACTTGTCCATCTTATCTGCCGATACCCATCCCGAGGTGTTGAGTTCCGTCTCAATCTTCTTGCGACGCATTTCCTCTGCGATTTCGGAGATGCGCACCCACAGCATACCGATAGGGGTCGGGCGGTCTCCCGATTTGTCGTAAACAGTGAGTTCAATCTCGTTCGCCTTGTCAATATCGATTGAGAATGCTTCGTCCAGCCACTTATCAATCCGAGTGGCCTTTGTCCTCGCCTTGACAGTGTCTTCCACTTTGACAATGACAAATGTCTCGGGGCCGCGAGAGAATCGTGAACTCGCGGCATGGTCAACATCCTTAACGGCGTGGATGCGCATGGTCAAAAGACCGGTCAACGGCTTGCGCAGGTTAGGGCTGCTCAGACTATCATCTGTTGGAACACCAATTAGTCAAGATCAAGCCGGGCATATAACGCCCCCGGGACACACATACCATCTGGGGTTTCGGTCGGCTCGATATCCACATGAAGATCCTCATAGCGCTTCAAAGCCTGCTTCAGCAGCTGGATCTTCTGGTTGCTCTCAATGCGACGGCCCTCGGCATCCGCGCGACTCTTTCGGTCGCCTTCGTCCTGGTACAAACGGACCATCTTCTCGATACCCGCCTTGTATTGTTTCTCGACACTCAACTTGAACTCGAGTTGAGACAGCATAAGTTGAATCTTCGGCCCGAGATACGCGGTGTCATATTTGATCAAATCTGAGACACAGACCCAAGTCAGCCTTCCAAATTTCCCACGCGACATTTGGTCCCTGTTTATTCTCCAACCTCATTCTTGATCGAAAGCAGGAGCAGAGACTATAGCGCAGAAAGTGCACTCCAACAAAAAAGAAACATACCCAGCTTTGTGTAATTGGGCCTAGCCTTTGGGACCGGGGCATAGGGCCGCGGGTCCGGGAATGGAGGGCCCGAGGGCATCGAGCCGGCACCTCGCTGAGCAAGACCCTGGGCATCACCATGTTCGCCCTGCTCGCCAGCAAAGTATCCGAGGTAATCTTTCGGGGGAGGGGTGGGGCCTGGCGGGCGACCTTGCGGATGACGCTGGTCCGTGGGCGAGCCGCCGCCATCCTGCTCGATTCGCCGGATCTGCAGCTCTCGCATCTTCTCCTCCAGGTAGGCAATGTTCTTGCGGCCATCGCGGATGTTGGCATCGACTCGCTGTTGCACTAGGGGGTTATCGGTCGACTGCCGCATATTACTGGCCGCAGCGATCAGGGCCTTTTCCCGCTCGATCTTGCGATAGACCGAAGCAATGATCTCGTCCCCGTCCATGATGGCAGGTCCGAAGAAGCGATGGGGGAAGGCTCAAAAGTCGAGGTGGGAGGGCCAGTCCGGGTGGGATGGGGAGTGTGGGAAGGTGTTTCGCGGGGCTTGTTGACAAGGGGGGTAACCGGGGCGGATAATGCCACTGCGGAAAATGTAAGTCAGGGCCGCACGATTAAGAGAGCCTCGACACAAACCCAGAAATGAATGGAAGAATCAACAGAATATTAAGAAGAGATAAAAAGATAGAAAAGAAAGATAAAGAATGAGGCTCTTAGGAATGTTATTTTTTTTTTCGGATTGTTTGATTAGATCATCGAGACGCTTCTCTCTCTTTTTCTTTCCCACAGTATACACACGCACTGATGATCGATAAGACCAGAGGGGGGTTTTGTGGCAAAAAAAGAAAAACAATATATATAATATACTATAATATAAGATAAAATAAAATCACAGGCGCGAACATGACCTGCATTGACATCTACTGAAAAAGTCGACTCCCTCTCAACCGTGGAAAAGACGTCCTCGAGAAAAAGGAAGACTATCCACAACCACGGATTTGTCCGAAACAAAGAGAACAAGATCCAAAAAAAAATCAAAAAAAATCCACAGGGCTTACCCATCATGATTGGCAGACATTTGGGTCTGAATGTCTCATCCTTGACCACTGCAGGGCTGATGGCACCCTGATGAGTTGAGACCCAGTTGGCTATCGTCACCGCTTCAGATCGAGAAGTGAGAAAGTGAAGTGAAGGGCCAAGTCAGTCCAGCCTGATCTGATCGGCTAATCGTGCGACCGTTCATAGTCCTGGGGGAACCTCCCCTTGCTGCGTACATGGAGGGGGGATCCTCGTTCAACTCGGCCTGAACTGGAAGTGGGACACATCGCACACATTTTTGCTGCGCCTCGATGGTGATTCAAGTCACTCGTGATGTCACCAGTCTCTTAGTGTGGGAATACTCGATAAGTCGATCGCTCGGTAACTCGAGATCTGGCCGAATGTCTGCAGTATACAGGTCTATAGAAAATCCATACCAAGAACTAGGTATAGAATGGGTATAAACTGTTGTATACTCATCTTGCAAATCTATGGAATGCCCTTGAAGATCTATATACAAGCATCTGCGCATACCAGGGTGGTGAAACAAGTAAGGGAACAATGTAGAAAGCAAAGTAGTGGTATTTTGGGCCGAGGTTACTCATTACACCCGGAGTGATCTCGACGTTTCGACGTTGACGCCATTGTCTTGTCGATGTTGGGGGAAAATGACCCAAGATCCACGATGTTTTAGCAGATCCTGACCGACTCGTTTTTGATTTTGTGATTGATTGTGGGGATGATTGGCCGAGAAACAGCGACAATGCCATTCAGGCACCCCCACTCGCATCCGAGAAAGGGAATTGCTGCCCTTTTCTCATGCAATCCATCGGCCCAACAAGAGGAAGAGAGGCCCTGCATGGAGAATGGGCCAAACAATGATGCCCTTACTCCGATCTCTTGGAAATCTTGGGCAGCAGAAGCCAGCTGGTAGCCATTACCCCATACAGCCCAATACAGATCGGGTGCAGGACCATAGTGCCCACTTTTTGCGCGAGAATACCCGTGAAGAAGGGCGACACCGCCCCACCACTGCTCCCCAGAGCGTTGACGATACTCAGGCTAGAAATGTGCATATTCCGCGGGAGCAACTTGGTGAAGACCGCCGTGGCACAGGGGTAAACGGCGCCCAGCAACAAACCCAAGATGGCGACCGTCACGGCTTCTCCGATGACATTGGGGATAAGCCAAGTCAGCAGTTGAAACGCGACGGCCCCGGCAACCATCATGACCACGGAGATCTTCTCACCCAGCTTGGACGCCGGGTGCGTCAACACAAACCGACCGACTGTGATCCCGGCCCAGAAACCGGCGCTTACGTACCCGACGCGTGACGGGTCGCCGTGGCGGTAGCTGATCAGGAACGAGACGACCCAACCAGACACCGAGACCTCGGCACCTTGGTAGGCGAAGATGAAGAGTGCGCCGAGCAGCGTGGTGCGGTCTTGGAGAGACTTGCGCAGCACCTGTGCTCGGGTCATGGGCTCGCCATCCTGGGTGCGGCGCGAAGCAGTCGGCCGCAAGGCCATCTGGGGCTCAACTTCCGATTCGTTCTCGAAGTTGTAGAAAGCCCAGGCCGAATAGGCCAGGTTGGTGATCGACACGGCGAGGGTAATGGTATAGAAGAACGACCAACGAATCCCGGCCGACACCATGGCCGTGGCAAACAGCGGCGCGATCGTACCCCCGATACCATAAGCGCCATGGAAACAGCCCAGGGCCGTGGTGGCATTGGCCAGATTGGCACAATACACATTGTTGAGGGCCAGGCCCAACGCCATGCCGAACCCCATGAAGAAGAAACAGGTCACGACCACGGGGAACGGCGGCTGACAGGTGATGACGATATAGCTGGCTGCCAGAAGGGAGAGAGCAAAGGCATAGCTCTTGGCACGGCCCAGCTTCTGCTCAATGGTATACGTGAGCGGTGCTGCCAGGATGAATCCCAGCGCATTGGTCACGAAGACCAACGAGACAACGGCATAGCCGATGCCATAGTACTTTTCGATGTATGGGATCAAGGCACCAGGCGCACTGTCGTTCATGCCATTACCAAAGTTCATCAGGCAGGCACTCAGAAGGCGCCATTTGGTTTTCCACGAGACGGCCGTACGATCTAGGGCCCATTCCGCGGCCATAACCTCTTCCGTTTCGTTAGGCGTTGGCAGCCGGTTTTCCAGCTCGCTTGGGGTGGGCGAGGACGGGCCCGTAGGAGGCCTTGCCAGGTCATTCAACTCATAGTCAGATGGCGCCTGAGCAGCGCCTTGCTTATCTTTTCGGACAGCAGCTGGTGGACTGGCGACGCGAGAAGAGCTCTCGATCTCCAAGAGAGCGCCGAGACTTGAAGCCATGTTGAGAAGACCGTCTAGGTTTGAAGGAGTATCAGAGGAGAAAAGAAAGATTTCTGCAGAAACAGCGAACCCCCCAAGACCTGGAAACCATTCCCCGCGGGGCGGCAGTTTTCCCCATCGAGCGAATCCGCCTGAGGGGCTGCATTAATCAGTCAATACCAAAGGTCCCTAACTATAGTTAGTCAGCATCTCTGCTCTATAATCGTCACAGTAAGGCTGTCATAATTACCAAGCAATGCCCAGCTTTGCCAGCTTGGAATCTCCATGAACATCCATGGGATGCTGGGAGAGAGAGAGGGGTGAAAATGTGGAGCCGCGATAAGCTCGAAATTTCTCCGACTGCCGTTGACTTGCATTGCCTCGACTCTACTCCCCTCTACTTTTTCCCTCGATCTCTCTTACATATCGCAGTAGTTATAATACTACTCCAATTACTTGACAATGGGTCCACCGCGTCGAAAAGTGCTCGCCACAGCGGAAGAAACCCTGACCCCGCCAGACGATCTCTCGGAGAGCCAGCGGATCGCCCGCGCCATCAAGGCCACCGGCAACAACATCTACCTGGTGGAATTGCCCAGCAAAATGCAGATTTTGGTCGAATTGCCTGCCCGGTTTCGGTCTACCATTTGGATCAAGCGTGGATCGTATGTCGTGGTTGATATACAGGCACAAGACGAGCGGGACAATAAAATTGGTGGGGAGATTGTCAACATCGTGAGGGACGAGAAGGCGTGGAGAAAGGCGCATTTCTGGTATTTTCTTTTCCTTTCGCTTCATGTTTCCTTGAATGTCTCCAATGGCTTATTGTTTGGTGGGCTCGTACTAATCAATATATCTGAACAGGCCAAAGGAATTTCCGAAACAGCCCGTTACTGCAGCCGATTCAGACGTTGAAGACGAGTCTCGCGTGGGGCAGATGCCATCCTCGGATGAGTCGGACGCATGATCAAAGAGATCCAGCCTCGTTGGCGCTATTATTATGGTTCAAGCGCGACGGACATGCCGCCCAAGGACACCGGTGACACATTCAACATGACTTGAACACGAGTCAATGCCTCGATTATTCTTCATTGAGTATGAACCTTGGTGCGGCCACTGTCTATGTCGCCAACCCCATTGAGCCACACGCCAAAGACCTGCACTGCAAGCGACAGCACAACAACCATGGAGCTCGAGTTGGTGCTGGGGAACACATTCCATGCCCATTCCTGCAGTGCCCAAGCGGTATATACAAGAATCGGATGAAGGCCTGCGCGCCAGAGAAGGAATGGGGTAGCCCACGCCAGATAGGCAAAGAACTGATAATGCAAGGACCTGGCGCACAACAAACCAATGGCAAGCGAGCTCAACAGCACAGTCATGATGAATGATCTCGAGAGAGCCATCGACCGCTGCCGTCCCTGGATGATGTCCTGAAGGAAGCGAAGCGCGCTCGTTGTGGAGGGTCTTAGCCATTTTGTGGAGAACACAGCCAACAACAAGACATGCAGCACCAGCAGAGCCAATGAGAACTCCTTCGAGAGAAAGACTTCTTCGCCTAAGAACCGCCAGTTCACGGTCCATTTGAACAGGAATTGCCGGGACAATTCGAACGCCCGAGAAATATACCCCGTAGCATTGGCCTGCAGGAAAGGAGCTGCGAGTAGGACCTGTTGTTTTATATATTAGCCCCCTTGGTCTCAAAAAATCTTCTGAGTGGTCAACAAGAACAAACCTGAATCAGTATAGCCACTGTCCCAAGCGTGACACTCCGCGTCAACCCCAGACCCAGCAACGTGACGACCGCAATTCCCGGCACAAGCAATAGGAGGGTCATTTTAACTGCCACGCCAGTAGACCACACTGCAACACCCGCCGTCCATTTCCGTGTCATGAATAGGTAAATGGCCACCCACATAGCGAACGCCGCGACACCATCATTGAACATGCGCAGCATGAAGATGCTATGAAGCCGCTTGGACAGACTAAGAAGCGGGAAGAGGTATGGAGGAGCACCTGCTTTCCGGTAGCACGCCACGACGACAATCAGGGTGGCTAGGTAGAGCCCCGCGAAAAGGATCTGTCCGAGGAGGATGTCGCGGCCTTCATCGGTGAAGCGGTAGAGGAAGGTGTAGACATAAACATGGGCGGCGGGGTAGACGAGCGGACCGGTCGAGCCCTTGATCTGCGGGTAGTCGCGTTCGCCGGAGATGTATAGCGAGACCTGTTGCATGTATGTCGTCCAGTCAATCTCGGTGTCTGGAGGTTTTCGTAATTAGCGAGCGCGCTGGCCTGGGGCGTCTCTGCAAAACGCGACGACGCGGACTCACAGGAGATCTTCCATATGACGAGGGCACAGAGAATTGCGTCGCCGAGGATTAGCAGCGGTACAATCCATTTTGTATGCCGCGGATTGGTGAGCACGTTGTAGAGGGCTGTCGTGGCCATGGCGAGTTGCGCGCGTGGTTTGTCGGAGGAATCCAAGGTGGCCTAAGGCAGTATCCGCTTGGGTTCAACAGTGCGGATTGGAAATATACTAGACTACGCGAGATACTTTCAATGGATTCAATTTTTGTGTTTTTGTAAGTCTCGAGACAGATTCTCTGTTATACAGTCCACTGCACAATGGCGACAAGTGCCTGGCCCATATTGAGCACCCCAGGTCTGTCTATCCAAACATCTACCACGCTTCAACCCATTCCCTTCCAATGCAAAGTCCATGGTATCATAAAACAAGAGGGGAAAAAAAACATAGTCAAGTGAAAAGAAGGAAGAGAGAGAAAGAGAATTGACGGGCAGATACTATCGATCTCCCTCGGACGGTCCATTGGTCTGGCGCTGCTCAGCGCCACCAGCATTCCGGAAGCCCAGTAGTTCACCCAGAATTCCCTTAGGCTTGGGAACAGGGCATTCGCGGCCAATGTGTGCCAATTTTTCCGCTTCTTCCTCCATCTGGAGGAATGTAGAGACCTCCTCGTCCACAGCGCCGGATGGTGTCGGATGGTTCGGGTGATTGCTTTCCACCTCCCGGTCAACATCCTTGCGCCGTCTCCGACGAACACGTGGTACTTGTTGCCCGTCTGCAGTGATCATCATCTCTGAGTCGGCGAAGGTGCGTCGCGGGGCTGGGCAGGGGAAGACGTGCGGCATGCCGACGACCAGAAGCGATGCCAGCAACGTGCCGGCGAATAACGAGGTGGTCGACCGCGACCGCGGGTGTAGATGGGGCGGCATTATGTTGGAGGGTAAGGAGAGGCAAGGAGCGAAGGCAATGGAAATGGGAGTTGCAGGGATGTTGGCGTGGCCGGCTACTCGAATTTTTTTCAGGCCATCGGAAGACTCGGTATGACGGGTTCGGTAGGAGCAGAACAATTGGATTTCGATAAAGAGGGCGGTCAATTGACTCGAGAAGAGACACCCCGTCTGATCTCCAGGACGTGACGGTCTCGGGGAGAAGCGAAGTTGGAGGAAGCCAGGTTTCGTAGGCTCTGACATCTAATCTTATCTGCCTCCGGCGTGATTGGGCCAGCAGAGAGACAGCACCTTCAACTGTCTCGTCCTCCGCTCCCCCAGTTCCCTTCTTTTCATTTCATCCAGACTATGGCTTCGCAAAGATGATTCTGCTTGGTTGGGAAGGAGACTGCCTTGTTATCTGACCAATTCCTCTGGCGGAATTCTCTTTGAACACCTCATCCCCTTCCTCATCCCCCCTCATCCACGTCTTCAGCACACAACATGAGTGACCTAGACCGGTACGGCAGTTCTTTATTTTGGAGATGTGTCGCCATATCGATGTATTGACTCGATAATTTTCTAGGGCGATTGAGCAGCTACGGGCCTGCCGCCTGATCCCCGAAAGCCAGGTGCGCGAATTGTGCTACAAGGCGCGCGAACTCCTCATCGAAGAAGGCAATGTCGTATCGGTAGACGCACCGGTAACAATCTGCGGCGACATCCATGGGCAATTCCACGATCTGATGGAACTGTTCCGCGTGGGCGGCGACGTTCCCGACACCAACTACCTGTTCATGGGAGATTTTGTCGACCGCGGGTTCTATTCGCTCGAATCTTTTCTCCTCCTCCTTTGTCTAAAAGTGCGATACCCCGATCGCATGACGCTTATCCGAGGCAATCACGAGTCGCGGCAGATTACGACGGTATATGGGTTTTATGATGAATGCATCCGTAAATATGGCAGCGCCAACGTCTGGCGCTATTGCTGCGAAGTGTTTGATTATCTGGCACTGGGAGCCATCGTGCTGGGGGCCAGTTCGGAACTCGAGCCGACCGCGTCCAGCGCAAACGACACGACGCAATCCACCATGCCGATCGATGACGGCGAGCTCGAAACCGAAGTGCTGAATTCGCACGGCGAGGTCACCATGAGCACCTACCGCCCGCGTCTGCGCTCTTCCTCCAACATTTCCACAGACTCCCGCAACATCTCCCCGCCACGCGACATCTCCGCGGCCCCGGGCCAGCCCGGCATGCCGGTTCGGTCCGGGGCCCCGGGAACAGGCGCCAGCGCCGACGGCAACGGCAGCGCGACAACCAGCCGCACCGGCGCGGTGCTCTGCGTGCACGGGGGTCTGTCTCCCGTCATCGACTCCGTCGACAAAATCCGGCTGATCGACCGCAAACAAGAGGTGCCGCACGAAGGCGCCATGTGCGACCTGCTCTGGTCGGACCCGGACGAGATCGAGGGCTGGGGGCTGAGCCCGCGCGGCGCCGGGTTCCTGTTCGGCGGCGATATAGTCAAACAGTTCAATCACATCAACGGCCTGTCGCTGGTTGCGCGCGCCCACCAGCTTGTAATGGAGGGTTACAAGGAGATGTTCGATGGCGGTATCGTCACCGTCTGGTCTGCTCCGAACTACTGCTACCGCTGCGGTAATGTCGCCGCCATCTTGGAGTTGGGCGAGGATACCAGCAGTGGCGGCACCGTCTCCCGCAGCAATGGCGACTACGGCCGAAGTAACGGCATCCTTGGTGGCGACGCCGCCAATCGCGTCGTCAGCCCCGGGAGGAGATACCGCGTCTTTGAGGCTGCCGCGCAGGATACCAGAGGGATGCCTGCGAAGAAGCCCGTGGCTGATTATTTCCTGGTGAGTTAACACTTGATCCATTTTTTCCTTGGTCTTTCTTTCTTGATTGATAGCTAACTTCTCTTCTCTTTCAGTGATACCATCCCAACCATAGTACCCTTCTATCTTCTCATCGATTCCCTCCCTCTTTCTCTCTTTCTCGGCCGCTTTTTCTACCGTCCTTGGCTTTTTTCATGCCATCCTTGGAAGCGCATGTCGGTGTCCTTGATGCTTTGTATCTGCTGCAAAACTAATGATCATCTATGACGACTGTTTGATATTTGCATCTTTGATTTGATTCTCTGTATTTCAATCTCATAGACCTCGCTAGCTTGCTAAGATTGTAACCACTCGACAATCACTGATCACCTTTAGTAAAGATTCAAATAAAAACAAAGCTTCGGGGCATGGATCTACATATGCCCCTCTGTGTTTGAGACACGCAGCGAGATAAAACCAACTCCTGATCAATCAGATCACAAAACCCCCGAATTTCTGGTATCATGGAGACGCAAAACAATAACAAACCGAGATAAGTAATAAAAAGGCCGACGATCAGCCCGACCATGATCTTGAAAAGTCCGAGGTAAAAATATATCTCGAAATAAGCCAAAAAAGTGTTTGTGTATATAGTCCTCAAATCACTCCCACTGGTCTCCATACCCTGACCCTGGCGTGGCGCCGGGATCTGGCGTAGACACAACTTCGGGTATCACAACCGGAACCTGTGGCTGATGTCCAGGACCGGGAGTTGGCCTATGGTGCGGGCCAGTAGACATTGGACTGCTGGCATCGTATGGGAGATGAGAGGGAGGAGGAGGCTGGTTCGGCAAACCGGGCTGCCATGTACCGCTCCAATCCTCTATCCCGATACCCAACACGGCAGCATTGCGCGACCACCAATCCTGGCTCTCTTGGACCAAGACCTCCGTGCCATCGAATCCCGAAATCGGTGATGCAGTCGAGGTTGGGGTTGTTGCTGGGGCGCGCATTGGGGTCCCAGTCGCATCGTACCAAGTTGTATTTGGCTGCGGCGACGAAGACGGACCCGAAGGTACGAGGGCTGGGAATTGGTACCCGACGTGCGAGATGGGACGGAGATATGTCGGTTCTGGTGGGGGGAAATCGGGTCGCTGAAGCTGGGAGCCTAGGGTACGATGGGCGGCTCGCATGGAGGGGAAGGATGTTGGGATGGTGGAGGCGCTGGGGTAGAGGGGGTTCACGGGTGCCCCGGCCATTGCGACCTGATTTGATGGCAGAGGTTCGATGGGCGCAGCCTGTGGAAGATGGCTTGCAGAGGGGGAAAAGCGACTGGGGCTTGTGGTCGAGGGGTTCAGGCTGGTGTTCGTTATTGAAGAGTCATCCGAGGTGGAGGGGGATGTGGCTTGGTCCCAAGAGCCCCAGGAACCCCATTTGGTATGGGTGTGCTCGAATACAGAATTTGCTTCAGCAGGGAGTTCGACCTGCCATTTGTTGGCGGAAATGTCCAGGATGCGTAGGGTTCGCCGGGCACACAGCCAGCTCTCGGCCATTTCTTCGAGGCTTTTGAGGCCGTGGATAATATCTCTCTGGGCAGTCTTGTCTGGGAGATTGAGGAGGTGGATAGTGCAGGCGGTATGGGCAATATAGACAACGATATTGCAGATTTGTTTGAGCCCATAGGTACGCTTGTATATCCGCAAGAGTTTGGAGATGGCTGCAGCGGCCTGCGTGCATATTTTGCGCGGCGAGACATGCAAGGGAAGCGGAGTGCTGGTCTTGTTATACTTCAAAAAAGGGCGGTAGAGGTGGATGAGGAGCAGTTGGTAAAGCATGTGCATGACAAGTACCTGGGGAAGCTTTCCTTCCTTGGGTTCAAACTCCTTGGGCAATTCCTTTTTCCATGCTTCGAGCCGGGTATGGACGTCGCTCAATTTCTTCAGCTCCGACTGTTTTGCCTGCGCCTTTTCCAGTTCTGCTGGATGATAGAAAAACACCAGAAGATCGCTGCTGATTTCGCAGAGCTTTAATATTTGACGAGCGACTGCGCGAGTCCGAGAGGGCTGAGTGTAATCATGGCCCACACCGGAATCCGTATAGGGCGACCACAGCTCCGTTTCCTCCCGGGGCAAGACATCGAATTTGGGCACGCTGGCGTTCACGGAGGATAGTTGAGGTTGACGGCCAAGGTAGTTCGACCAACACCTGCGTCAAGTCAGCAAGCCATAGAGCAAAAGGGGGACACGATGGGAATGCAGACTTGTCAATGAGGTAGCAGCCCCAAAAGGTGATCCGCCGCGCATCCATTTCTTCATCACTGAGACTATGTGTTCCGAGATTCGTGGCGTCAAGATTCAGCCCAAGATCAAAGGCCATGCGGAAACTCAGACCACTATAGACCCAGCCTTTGCCCTCTCGGCCACAACCAGCTTCTCGCACAGACATTAGAGCAAATGCCTGAACCGTACAAAGCTTTGCATTCTCGTGTTCGTCGTGTTCCAAGACCAGTCTCTTCGCCTCTTTGAAGAAATGATTGCCTGCTGTTGCGAGATTCTTGGGATCATCGAAGGCACCTTGCCACGTGCTAAAATGACAGCCAAGAGCCAACATGGCATTGACCAGCAGGGCAGAGCAGTATGGACTGGAGATGCCGCGGATGTAGTCTTGATGAAAGAGGTCTTTGGCAAGAATGGTGAAGAACGGGTAGTGCCACGTGAAGTACATGGTCAAGAGATGGCTGACCAACGAGTCATCATCCGTGACTCGGGTCCATCGCCTCACAGGCTGGGCATCGGGTTCACGATCAAGGGCAGGAGGCTCCGTGAGTGAAGCCGATTCATGCAGTTCCGAGCCCGGTGGGAGAAAAATGAGGTTTGATGTGCCACCGATAAATTTGCGAGAACCATCCAGCAGTAACTCGCTCATCTTGCCCGCCAGTTCCGACTCGAACTGGTCGGGCTGTCCTGTTCTCTCATCGCCGATTGTTTCATGTTTCCTCTCGGCAGCAGAGGCTTGCCCTCTTTCCCGAGCAACAACCGATTCCGCCACCTCTTCGAGATCATCACATGAACGAATTTGGCGCACTAGCTCAAACGCATCGTCTTCCTCATAGTTCAAGATGGCCTGGATCAAGGCCTGCAAGGTTGTGTTACGCGTTCGCAGCGTATCGGTATCTTTCTTATACACACCTTTACGGCGGTGGTCGGAGTTTGGGTCATATACGCCTGGCCAGGTCAGCAGTGGTTCCACGACAATTAAACAGGGAAGCCACGGACAGGGAGTATGGTAAACCGAAGAGCAAGCCGCACAACTGGGTAGGTTTCCATCGCACTGGACCGGAGTCGTCAGCGAAGGCCGCATGGATTAGGGCTTTTGGATTGCAGCATTACCTTAGACTTCCTGCGGCGGCATGCAATGCATGCGGTGCTAACGCATCGTCTCTTGGACGACGAACCACCACTTTCGGTACTCATGGCTTTAGGGGGTTTGTCATTCGAAGGAAGTTTCTCCGCGGGATCTTCTTTTTATGCTCAGTCTCGTGTCCCCTGGTCACTGGTCCACGATGCAATGGCGTTTAGATGCAGTCGATCCATTGTTCCAGGGAAAAGATTTGCTCAATCAGTTGTTCGCACACCGAGAGAGTGCGATAGGCTATCGCCGGTTTGGAGTACTGGACCATGTTAGTCCATTCCCTATCACATCGCGGGGTGGCTTACGAAGGACCATCGATATACCGGCTACTTTTGGATGTACACAGACGGGTTGGCAACCGCGATGTGAGGCTGTAAGAACCACCTCAGGGATTCTCAATGACCCGCAGTGGAGGCGAAGAGAGCTCCAGGTGTGCTGGGCCTAGGTTGATCGGGACTAGGGATTTGCGATGCCCGGACACTCATTGGACGTGGGAGGAGGAAGTTGGTTATCGCGATAAGCAGCTGACTAATTCGTCTTGGCCTCATTTTGCAGGTGTTGAGTTTACATTCTACTTGGGGGAGTGAATCGTTCTTTAGTTACTATTTTGTAAAATCCAACTTATTATGAAGGTCCTGGATGTGTGGCCCCGTTATTTATCATTCCCATGATCAATCTATTATCTGTCAGGTATACAGTATTTGACAGGGTCCTTATCTATCGAATCCTGGACATCATACTCGTGCAATAATGCCCAATCTGCCCAGGCTGGTAACAGCATTACGTGGGCATTTACTCAAGTATTTACTGTAAGTAAATACTTAAATTATTTTATAATTCCAGGCTATCAATAGAAGGAAAACAATCATCTTTTTCACCGCCACGATCGCTTAACGCGGTCCACCGGGCCACGTTGCTGTGGAACTCCGGCGGGCCCTTTATTACTTGGAGATTTCTGCAGACAGTCCCATTTTCAGAATGACGGTCAAGTTGGAGACGCACAATCCCTTTCATCTTATTACTCATATCACATTCTTAAGAGTGATGGTATTTCAAGTCTCTCCAATGTACATGTATCTTACAATGCATAGTTACTGTCCTGTCTGGTTCTGGTGGAGAAGATCAACCTGTTCTTTTCTACAGTATCTGCAGGCACTGTGTTAGAACCAATTTTAACTGGCCTTGTGTGATCTGATGCGATAGTTACTTCATTGGGTATTTAGTCAGGGAAGTATAAATTATTTAGTTTCCGGTATGGGGATTGTGCATGGTATGAGCCCTCATCTTGCAGAGAGTATAGATCTGGATTTGATCTCATGTACCCTACTCTCTCTTTCGAAAGCAAACTTCAATATGACGATAAATCCGATTTGAAGGCATTTCAAGCATCGTAACTAGCTGTTATACACTCTCCCAAGCTAGGACTCTAAACAGACTTCCAGGCTGGCCACTCCAACATCTAACACACCATTTCCCTTACTAGTGTTTCTTCACATCCAGCAGCTTTGCAAATCTCATCTCATTCTTCCCAAAGTCAAAGACAGAGACGGCATTTTTTAAGAACGCCGCCCCAATGATGTTGATTGGCAACCCCGGAATCCCAGCAGTGTCTGAACTGGCAATGGCAGTTATGCAGGTTTTCTCGTCCACCTTGTAAATGATATCAGCGCCCCTGTGGAAGAACGTCTGGTCTCCAATCGTCAACCCGAACTCTGGAGCTTTCGCGTTGCAGTCGACGATGTACATCTTCGACTTCGGATCAAAGACCGCTGGCGGCGAAAAGGCGGCATTGATGGGATTTGCAAGGCCCGCGGGCAGAACGGAAACGGAGTTTCCCACGTCGACAAACGCTTGGAAGGAGGTCGTGTTGGTGGTCCGCTTGTTTGCCGACGCGCCGTAGACTACCCTACTGACCGTCATTGTCCAGTACGAGCGAACTCGCTGGCCCGACGTGTAGTTCAATGGGATTCCCTCGGTGATCTCGACTGGGACCACGGACCATTCGGGACTGTGCTTGACGGGCGGGAGACCACCCAGGGTCAAGTAGCCCCCGAAGCCAGTGGAGGCGTTGGGAGACGTGCGGGCCAGGGCAATACTGAAATAGGGATCAATCAGGCCCTGCTTGTGCATGCTGAAGAGCAGCGGGTCATAAGGCCGGCGGTAATACCAGTATGTGGTATTATCCGAGTGGTTGCCCGGATGGGCCGACGTGATCGATGGGTACGCCAAACCCAGGAGCCCACTGTTGAGCTCATCGCCCATCGGGTTCGAACGGTCTGCAATGCCGACTTTCTGGCCCTTGACCGTGATGCCATTCAGCGTGACATCTTCATGGGCCATCACCCCACTGGCAATCCCTGCCCCGTATTTGATACCAAAGTTCTCGTTCGGCACCTGGCGGTAGGTTTTGGAGACATGGTAGGTGTGGTTGGAGTAGAGACAGTGCTTCTGGGGGATTTCTAAAGAGGTCTTCGGATGGATACATTTGTAGCTGTTTCGCATCACATAGGTGTCGCTGCTCCCGGTATCAACCAGCGCCTGGAAGGTCTGATTGCCAATCGTGATGGGAACATCGAAGACGGTGCCGAACTGGGTTGCCGTGATGGAGGATGTGGTGCCGGGGTTGCGTATCCTCAAAGGGAAAGTCTGGGCCCCGACAAGAGCAAGCCAACTGATAGCACTAAGGAATTGGAAAGGTTTCATGTTGAGTTGAGACAAGAAAGAAAAGGTACTTAGACACATGTTGGACCATGTCCTTTACTTGGGATTTTATATTGCCGTGTTTATTCATAGCTCCCCACCGTGCTAGGTAGATATCCATTCATAGATACTTCCCAGATGAGCCTAGTTTATGCTTAGTTCCTCTTGGCTTGGGGCTTCAAAATATACGAACGGCGCTAATTGCCAATCAACCAATCAACCATTGGCCCCCAACATCTCTCTGCCTCGAGGTGCAGCTGTTAGCTCAATCCCCAGCTTCGTATATCTCTGGGAATTTAGGCAACGCGCCAAGTCTCTGTTTTTCCTGTGGATTTTTCCTAAAGTAGGTTAATGGGTCTATGGTAGTTTAATGAGATAAAGGGATGAACAGGGCAGGATCCTCTGCCAAGTTCAAGTTGTATAAAAATAGCGAAAAGAGAAATTCACAGCCTCGCCAGCATCATCACTGAGAAGCCGGTTATAAATTAAACCATACTCACCTGTACATAAGACGGCATGGTATCAATTCTATCTCAACCCAAGTTCTTCCATTCCCCTTTCCACTTTTCACTATGCCTCCAACTACAACTACGACTACTTCTCCCACAGCTTCCCCCTCTTGTCTCCATGTGTCCCCTGCCAAGAATGGATACTTGCCGCCAGAATCCTGCGATGCAATTCTTTATTACGTGCCATCTTTTGGCGCGGCGATCCTCTTTTGTGTCCTGTACGGCATCACGGCCGTACTCCACCTCGCTCAAGCGATTGTTTACAAGAAGGTAATTTTCCACATGGCTGTCATATAATTTAAATCGAATAGAGAACTAATTTCATTTGCAGGCATACGCATGGGTGATTATCATGGGCGCCGCGTGGGAGCTACTAGCATTCATCTTCCGCACCCTTCAGACCCGCCACCAAAACAGTGATACGTGGGACACGCTCTACATGATATTTTTCCTTCTGGCACCTATATGTAGGTCTCCCCCATCCATTTGATGCCTACAACTATCGATTTTCTGACATCACTGAACCTAGGGATCAACGCCTTCATCTACATGACCCTGGGCCGAATGATCTACTTCTTCCTGCCCCAGAAAGGTCTGGCAGGTATCTCAGCTCCTCGCTACGGAATCTTCTTCGTCACTCTAGACATTGTGGCCTTCCTCGTGCAATGTGCGGGCGCTTTTCTCATGTCCAACAAGGACATAGGCCATAGTCTCATGATGACGGGTCTGCATGTATACATGGGCGGCATCGGCCTGCAGGAGTTCTTTCTGCTGTGTTTCTGGGGACTCGCGATCAAGCTCCACGTGGACATGATTGGAATCGAAAAATCCCAAGAGGTCGATCCAGCCAAGTTCTACCGTGGCGCATATCCCTGGCGCTGGCTCTTTTACTCGACCTATTTTGCCTTGACTATGATCTCGGTAAGTCCATCTTGTTACCCTGTTACCCTGTTACCCTGTCGGAGAATTGCAATGCTAATTTATATCTGTTATATAGATCCGTATCTTTTTCCGCCTTGGCCAGTATTCTCAAGGCTTCAATGCGTCCAACCCTGTCCTTAGTCATGAAGCTTATGAGTATGTCTTGGATGCCACGCCGATGTTTTTGACTCTGGCCATTTTGAATGTCTTCCACCCCGGCCGGATTTTGCAAGGGCCGGATTCTGCATTCCCGAAGCTCAGTCGCAAGGAAAAGAAGTTCCAGAAGGAACAGAAGAAGCAGCAGAAGAAGGAAGAAAAGGCACAGAAGAAGGCTTTGGCATGGTCGAGTGACAAAGATGGGTCCGATTCTGAAGGCCTCGATCTGGAGGATGGCAATATGCCGAGATTGCAGTCTGTTTGAGTGACTGAGATCGATGAGAAATGATGAATCGGGTCAAAATAATGATCTTTGATTTATTTGATTTATGATAGTGTTTATTAGATTTATGATAGAGAGACGACGCTTTCCGAGTTATTCTTTCGCATCATCTGTAATATTCGCGATGCTTCATCCAATCCGCCCGCATCCACGATGCCGGAACCAATATCCTCTAGTTTCGTCTCCATGATTGACTCTTCACCGTATACCCCTTGCTCAGGGAGAACATCGTGAATAATAGATGTAGCAGTCTTGCTGTTCCAGAGACCATCCACCGTAGGGAGTGAAGGATCCTGCAGCAGAGACAGTGCTGTCTGCAAGGTTTGCCGATTCTGGGTCTTCATGCAGATATAATACAAAATAGCAATGAGTTGAGTCGATAGCGTGAAGACTCTGATCGGCGAGGATGGTGTTGTTCTGGCCACAGAGACAAAGGCCAAGGTACACGAGAGAGCGCGGTCAATTCGGCTTTCCATCCCCACGTCTGCGAGCTCGGGGGCATGCTCTAACAAAACGCTGTGGAACATCAATCCATGGATCTGCAGAAGCAGGCAATGTTGTCGCTGGGTACTAGAGTGCTGTGGGTCATTGAACATCTCGATATGTTTCGCCAGCTTTTCTATCGCATCATCGAACTTATGAAATTGCGTGTGGAGGTTCATCCTCTCAACCTGGACGTCAGGTAGGAGTTCGCTCCATGCAGTCTCCTTATACTCGACATATGCAATGATATGGTGCATAGTCCAGTTTTGTAGTATAGTCAGTGATTCTTCAGCATGAGTTGTGCTCATCAGCATATCTGGTATAACCGATATGAGGCTAACGGGCTCAATTGGCGAAACAAGTCTCAATACCGGGACTCGTGCGCTGTCAAAGGTGCTGGCCTGGACATCAAGGCGCGAGAAAGCAGCGGTCAAGTGCCCAATGATCCCATCCGGTGTGGCGACGAGAGCTGGATAGTCTCTGCGAGCACGTTGCAAGAGGGCTAGGCCTTGATTGAGATGCCATGTGGCCTGCGTTGTGTCGCCGATCAGACACTCAAACACGTAGAAAATAAGACAGCAGATGAGGGCGACCTCGGGCGAGGCCTGCGGCGTGTTGAGATATCTCTGAAGCTGTCGATGGCATTTGGATATCGCCTCGATACTCCGTGGAGACACCTGTTGATCGGTAGCGGAAGCGCGCAAGTGGCCCTGGTATAACGAACTTAGGGAAACAAGGGCACTGCGGATGACAGGTTGATGGTGGCATCGCTGAAGGACCAACTGCGTCCACAGTGTGGGATCCGAAAACCCGGAAATGCTCTGTGCGACCTCGGCACAGTAGAAATGAAGCAACTGGCGATCAGTCTGGCTGCCCGGTACTTTGAACGGGATACTATACGCCGTGATAGCTCCTGCAGGGGTTTTGCTTAGGGACTCGGAATAGCCGCCACAGCGCCGGTTTGAGCGAGTGCAGCGGAGGCACTCGGGTTTCTGCTCGTCGCACTTGATCCGGCGAGTTCTGTTCCTGGTCAGCCTGCATCGATCCTATCCACCCCTGATCTGTGGTGGAGACACTTACTTGCAGGTACTACAGCCTGACCGGACCTTTGGGGTACTTAGTCGCAATGCCTTGGACTTCTGCATGGTGAGTATACGAGAGCGAGGGGGGATTGCCAGTGTGCGTCGGGCAATCGTTGGAAGCCACCTGGTCAGCATCCTTCATCCTGAGTGGGGTCTGAGATGACACGCAAAATCAGGTGTCCTAGACCTTGCCATTATGGGCAGTCCCTAGTGAGCCATCATAGATCAATAGAATAATGATCGTCGCATAGTTTATTTATTCCACCTGAATCAGTTGATTTAGTAGAAGGAAAAAGCCGTGACGAACAAAGCAAAAGGTGACATATCGCGTACATCTCATGTTATTGTGGTATGGTCACGCCAATACGCCCCAAATCGGTGGACCCTGTAATCATCGTAATTTTTAGTAATCTGGTAATTTACCAGTGTCTCGTGATGCCCAACGCCTTATCGCCCCGGCTGAGATCAACGGGGCTGTTATCTTCTTTCGCTTCTGCTTCTTCTTCTTCTACTCTTCTTTTCCTCATTCCTCTTCGCCCACACACTTACAGCACTTCGCCCTTCATTCTCCTCTCCCTACGACCCATTTTCGACCCCTACTCTCGATTATCGGTCCACAATCCCCTTATCAGGTCGTTGCCCTTAACCAGCGCCCCTATCGGTTCTTGCATCACCGCCCCTCCAATCGGATTGGTTGCTGGTTCTCTCCCGTCTGGATTCTGCGGCGGGAGAGTTTCTCTGCCCACTATTCTCCGGGACATCAATGTATCTCGCTCAAACGCTCGACCAGAGTGCCTCGTCGGGCTTCGGTTTGGCTGGAAAACGTGAATGTGTGACGACACTGCGGCAAAATGATGGTCCCAAGAGCCTTTCTCTTTAGCTCGGTCCCACCCCAGCGGGCGATGCAGCCATATGGAACAAAAGGACACGAGATGCGGCCAGACCGTTCTGGAGTGCGTATCCCCGGCGTGGGTACCGACACCTGTGGCACGAACACGACTCCGGTTGTCATCCCCCCCAAACGTGGATCACGCACCTCAGTGCGCCGAGACAGTCGTTCCCGAAACCCTTCCAAGACGTCAGGATCCTCTCGCCGGTCATCGTCTACCTCCTCGAGCGACCGCCCGATGCCGATGTCAGTTGCGTCAATGCTGGATGCTACAGCCATCCCTGTGCCCCGACGGAATTGGAACACACGACGACCGCGCAAGTTTCCTCGTCGAAGCCATGCGGAGGACTTCAGCCGGATGATGCAGGAAGGAATTTGGTCCAAGGAAGACCACCTCATGGACGGCGCGGGCAACTCGCCTCTTGATATCCTCCTCAGTCCTCCAGACACCGAGACTCAGACCACGGGCAATGATTCGGAGCAAGAGCCTCCCTGCTCCATGCGCTCAGTATCCAGTGATTCGATGCCATCGCTGGAGCAAGATCTTGAGTCGTCATCCAGTCTTCCCCAACCGTCCACTCCCGCCAGTCAAAAAAGCCCGTTAGAGAAACGACTACGGTACTCGCATCCGGAGGACTGTGCGTTCGACCACCCACTGCTGGACACGGACATTGAGGACGGCGAATTCACCGACGTCAAGCACCAGGACCCTGTGGCGGTTGAATCGATGCCTGCAAAGCGGTCCGCCTCATTCCGATCGTTCCCGCGCCTTGGGTCTACTTTCAAGTCCAACCTCACAGCATCCCTACGAGCCATCAAATCGGCCGCACAGTCGGTGTCAAATTTTGCCACGCCGTCTGTGCAGCCCGAGGACTTTCTCACGCGGTCGCTTTTTGCCATTACCCCAGAGTTGACCGACGACCGTCGGCCTCCGCCGATGCAGGACCCGCCCTCCCCGGCGCTGCGACGCTATTTGAACCCGACCCCGATCTCTCCGGCCGAAATGTACGTTTACCATGACCACCCCCACGACACACCCGAATCCTCCCGTGTCTGCGCGGTCTCGATCCAGATGCAGACGTACCGCCGAACCAACGGCCGGGGACACCGACGGAATAATTTCCACGTCGTTGCCTCCGAGGGTCGAGATCACCAATTTTACACCTTCGACCCGGAGATGCCGCCCATGTCGCGTCAGCGTGAACCTCGCGAGAACAGTAACTTCCTCCGCATGGTGGTCCTGGAGATGAACATGCGCCGTAGCGGCAAGCTTCGCGAGGATATTCCCACCCGTGCTCGCATCTGGCTCCCACCGCGCCGCAGCAACCCACATCGTCTGTCAGGCGACTATGAGGACGACGAGGACAACGACACTGTTCCCTCCCGCTGGGTCGGTGTCTCGGCGTAGAGAAACAATCATGCATATTACCGGATTTGTTCCCTTTTCTTTCCCTATTTTGCTCTTTCTTTTTCTTTCTTTCTTTTTTTTTTTTCATTGCTCTATACAAGCGAGGCGCTGGACTAGGATACAAGTGTCCTGGCCGACACGGATTTCTTTTTTTTTTTTTTCTTTCTTTCTTTTGTTGCATACCCTCTTCAACGATCTTACTCTTCTCTAACAGCAGAGATCCAATCAACTGGACTTGAAAACACTTCAAAACAACCCTAACCGAAGTATCGGTATTACTGCGTAGATGCATACAGGCCAAATAGTAAGAGTCGTGATATCATCCTGCAGCATCACCCCCGCGCCAGATCTTCGATGTCATCATGATTGTCATCGGATCTCGCTGCTTGGCACAGGTGTTAGCCGATACATCTTACCTCCGTGTCTTTGTTAGATTGTGAAGAAGGAGACGGTATTGCAATTGTTATCATTGGACGATTGGACTGGTTTTACGCTATCTGATGATGTTGTCTCATGCTGATTTGATGTTTTTTTTCTATGGTCATCTCGCTTTGTTCTTGTGTCTGACATCGGCACGAGCGAATGGGTGGTGAGTACGTAGACTATGACTAGTCCAGCCCTGAGTACAAGTAATGCCTTGGGTACTATAGAGGGAAAAGAATAGCGTAATGTATGTAATATCTTCGGCTATGATTGTTGCATTTCTTTGTTCTCGGCAGAATACGTGGGGGAACCGGACTTGGTTCGTTGCTGGTTCATCTGGGGGGTGGGGAGAGAGGATCTGCGTGTACTCTACAAGGGGGCCTAACCATGGACTTTTGGGCGGACAGGTGTCTTTTGGGCTGCGGCTGAGTTTATCTATTTTATCTATGAATGGTATCAGATGAGATTTATTCAATGTTGTGCTACTTAGCGCTGTCATCGAACCTGGAATCCTATAACAACCAATGTTAGAAAAAGAATAGTAGAAGTAATCAGAAATGAAAATAGGAGAATATTTCAATAATATAAGGGAAAGAGAGATTGACTTACTCTCCTCGTCCAGCAGCGTCCCATTGTCCCAACTTTCCTCCAACCACCCCAGCCCAACCAGATATGGCACCTTTTTCCCCAGCCTCGCAGCCAGCGATCCTCGCAGAGAAGAGATATCTGCTGATGACACAGACTCCGAGTTGACAACAACATGTGTCAAAATTGAACTGTTCAGCGAGGTAGCAATCTGCGCGCCTGCGAATCGAGCGGTGTTGCGAGCTAGACGTAGACGAGGATCTTCCATGCTCGCCGCATCGTAGCCGGATATGTCCCCTTCGTCGCAGTGTGTTTTTCGGGGCTTTGATGGCGAGGGGAAGAACAGTGTTAGGCCGCGGAATAGCCAGCCACAGGGCGCAGTGTAGCCCGCGTCGATTTTCTCTTGGATATGGGCTTCGACCTTTTGCGCTGCATGGGCATCGAGGGATTGGTTTGTTGGTTCCTGTTTCTGTTCCATCTGCTTGAGGATCTAATTTCCAATGGGTCAGTTTCTCATAGGATATGCTTTGCTTGTGATGTTTTTAGTCGATTATCACGCACGTCTTTGAGCTCGTCAACTGTCGTATCACGGGCATAGCTGTCCATGAACAGATCAACGTTCCCAGTAATTTCATCTTTCTTGTCTTCCATCACGAAGAACATGTGTCTATTGAAAAATGTGAGGGGATATTAGCGCCCTCCCTGCGTTCATTGCAATAAGCTTGAAGACGTACCTGGGTTCAAACGGGAGAAGAAAGTCAGGTAATCCTGCATCCTTCGTGTTCTGCGAGACGCAGTCAAGGAGCCATGACGGACGGATGATATTCGACTGGCCGCTCTTTTGTAACGAAGCTACCTTTACCGTTCCTGCAAGGAATGTCAGTTTCTGGCGCTGTTTCAAAGTTCTATCGCAACACATACTTCGTTCGGCGACGCAGATAGTATCCGGGGCGGCAGTGTTGGTCTGGTAGATTTTGCCGCCATTGGCTTTCACCAGCTGTTCGAGCTCAGTCTTTGATCGCTTCTCTGGCATAGTAGACTCGGTCAAAACGACTGATTCAGACGCTGTTAGCAAGCACTTGAAAGATGGGTGTTTGACCCAACCACGCACAAAAGTTCAGCTCATCAAACACATGGCCCGAAGGTCCCAGATACTGTGTACTGTCCTTCTCCTCATACCCGGCAATAGTCAGCGGCTTCTTAGTAGTTCTCTTGACTCGCTTCCTCCGAGAGTTATCCACGGAGAACTCTTTATCGCGGTGCTCCTGCTCCGCATTCGACTTGAGATCCAAGAACTCCTGGACCGAAAGAGCACACTCCCAGTTCTTGTCCTTGCGCAGCTTCTTAAAGCGAGGAAAGCGCAAGGTCAGTCCCATGCGGAACTGGTCGCTGACAGACACAGACGCGGCTTTCACGCAAAGCACGACCGAATCAGAGGGTTTGATCCACATATCGGGACGCTCGTGCTGGGCATCGCCCCCAGCTAGCTCGACAACTGCAGTCGGCGGTCGTTTTGCATCCCACTCTTTCCACTTACCGTCCGTGTGATGTCGAATTTCCTGGTAATCAGCCGCAGTAAATCCTCCGCCGACTTTACAGAAGGACCAGCATTTCATAGACTTCTCGCCCTGAGAAAAATGGGCATCGTCAACTCTGAGGCCACACAGGAAACTCGACAATGCGCCTCCTCGACGACCAGAACCAAAATATCCGCCGACAACGACGACATCTAGAGACTCGCCGAACTCGGTCATGTACTCTGGCTTGACTTTCATCCAGTCGTCGTGACGCTCGTTTAGTCGGTAAGGAGAGCGCGGGTTTTTCAGCACAAGACCTTCTGAAGCCTCGGCAACCACCTTGCGCAAGGATGTCTCAACTTCCGTAGTAGTGGTGGCTTCTTCGTACGGGTGGATTTCGAAGCGGCGATGAACCGGGCGGATAGTCTTCTGCAGGGCATTGCGGCGATCACGGAGAGTGTATTTGGTTAGGTCGCGCCCGTTGAGGTAGAGCATATCAAACACGCGGAACAAAGGTCGAGGCCCATTCGAAAAGGGATTACGCTGTTCTGCCAGAGCCGCAGTCTTCAGCGTGCCGAAAGGAACGGGAGCATCTTGCTCGGGATCCCAGGTAATCATCTCGCCATCCAAAATGAGGCTCTGTACGCCGTCCACAAAGGCATCCTTAAGATGCCTTGTCAGAGCACCGTTCTCGTCCTCAATGCCGTTTCCATAGAGATATGTATACTCCTTGGCTTTGCGTGACCAAAACCCAAATCTCCGGCTACCAGGTACCGACTCGTCGGGCGCCATATGAAGCTGCATGCGCTCTCCGTCCAGCTTCTCTTCAATCCAAAACACACGATCCTCCTCGGTTGGTCGCATGCGCGCAACCATCTTGTCGAACGAATGCATCTGGAACTGAGCCAGCTGCGGCTGGAAACATTGCATTAAAGAAATCCCGCGATCCTCGGCCTCGAGCCGGATATTGGGATCGTGCAGCTCCCAGCACACACGGCGCAAGCTGCTGGAGATGCTGTACAGGTTCTCAGCGTCGGGGTGCCACACATCAAAAAACGTGCGCTCCGTAGCCCCGACCTTCATCTGGCGCAGGATGATGCGAATAAGCCACATGAGCTCTTCGGGGTTCATGCGTCGATAGAATTCCGCGAGAATCGGCAGCTGCTGGTCCTCCTTCGAGGCCGCAGAGAGCTTGTCCAGTTTGTCGTTGACCTCGGCGATGGTCATATCACCGGGCTCGGTGCGCATGGGACGCTTGGACAGGACATCGTAACACCGGCCGGCAAAGTCGCCAGCCATGCGCGTGGCAGCGGTCTGGCCCGGCAGCTTCCAATTCAGTAGATTGTACCCGTCCTCCGACTCTTTGTTGATTTTCATGATCTTTACTAGCATCTTTCCAATGACCTTCTCCTTGATTCCGTACATGGGTCGGTCCCGGTCTTTATCAGGCAGAATGAGTCGGAAGGCCGGGTAGATGTCGTCGCCGACTTCTTTGCGCCATCGCGAGATGAATCGTTCGATGACATCACGCCGGCGCTCGAACGGATTGAGGCTCGCGGAGTCTTTGCCTTGCGGCCCAACTTTTCGACGGGCCGGTGCTGGCCCCGTGGGTTTCTTTTTGATCTCGCTCAGGGGGTTGAATAGGCCGAGGTATAGCTCGTGGAAGGCAAGTGTCGGGGCGCGGTTATGCGGGCGGTTGGGGTACCTGGTTGTTTGCAGATCAGCAACGAGTTGTAGCTGTCGTGGTGGGATGGTTACTTCTCGTCCAGGTCTTTCTCTGGTAAAACATTCTGAGAAGCCTCAGGAGGTACTATCTCATCGGAATCCATGGAAAGCGCGTGGTTCCAGTGGCAGAGGATCTCAGAGAGAAATGCGCTTCCCCGGATGTTTTTAGGCAGCGATAAGATAAGTGACATCAGCCTCAAAGAACAGGCCAACTGGTGAGCTCTATACATCTATAACATCCGCGAATAGGCAGTATGGATCTGACAATTTCTTACAAATATTTCAAAAAAATAAATAACCTTAATTCAAATGGGGCTTAATTCGGTTGGTAGTTCCTATCGCTAGAATATCAACATCGAGACAATAAACCCTCGTGCTCCAAATCAGCCAGACGGGTCAGAATCGCAATGAATCTCTTCGAGATGCCCCAAGCCGTCAAGCTCGAAAGTGTCTCGCATCCAATCTTTAGGATCTTCTTTGGACCCTCACGTGCACTGATGTCCCCGACTCCAGTGACATTCCCCCTCATGGCATGGCCTTCCTGAACAAAAAGCTGCACAAGCTCGTCATCACATGGGCGGTCGAGATGAACGAAGCTCGGTTCAGGCAATGCCTCCCGCTGTGCGATATGCGTTCCAGATTCATTGGGCGCGTGAGATTGGCAAGACCCATATGCCCAGAGCGTCAAAACCGCCAGAAAGACGGCGACAGGTTCATAAAATGCATTCGTCGAGTAGTGCCGCACATGCCAGAGGGTTGTGCCAGCATGGATAATCGAGAGACGGGCTTTGTACTGGTCGTGCTTGGTCCAGCGCCAGATATATTGCCATTCGATCGACTGGTGGAGCTTACTCCAGCGCAGCTTCCCCGTGGCCAGGGATGTCGCCAACGAGCGGATTTCGCGAAACGGGACGAAGAGGATAAGCCGTGCAGCATGGAGATGGAGAACTGTTGGATGCTCAAACCCTGCCGCTTTGGCTCCGGTGCTATTGGCGATCCAGTGGAGAATATCCAGGCAATCGCACGCGCTATTCCGCCACTTGGAATAGGACGGAATGCCAGGAAGCCACACGGAGCCCGTGTGGATGGTAGCCTCGCGAGATTGGTTTTTGGCCGTTGGGTTCCAAAAAGACAAGGGGCGGCGGGAATAGTCCCCGACTTCCCACATTCGATGATAGAGGGCGTGGATGAGCAGAATGTGGCCGAACTCTCCGATTCCCGTGACAAGCTTCTTCTCAATATATAGTATGTGTACGGCATCGTACAGAGATTCGTTCACTGTCAGAGTTAGGGCGTGATTGAGAAGGATGGAGAACAGGGCATAATACCGGGTGAATTCTCCCACAATTGCTTCCAACTCTCTGCAGTGTTCGCCTGCCACAAACTCTCATGGGTAGGCAGAGGCGCTTGTCCATCGTCAAGTGACAGGGTTGGCCGGTCATCGAAGTAATATGCAATTGTACAATCCAGAAGCTACATCATTACAGTCAGTAAATCTTCATCTATTTGTCTTCCTAAGAGAGAGCATACCCAGATACAGTATCCAGTTCGTCTCCGGACTTCATCTTGAATCCAATTAATCCACAGTACCTCCTGCGAGCTCTCGTCAGATTCCATTAAAGGGTCCTGTGATGATACTAGCAGCTTGTCGCGGTCCATGAGCGTTAATAAGTCTCTGAAAGTACTCAGGGCAGAGATTCTGGCCCGTTCGCGTCCACTATGAAGGAGGCCAATGCAATTAAACAGCATGGCCTGCAAAATCTCGAGAGGGGCCTTTCCGGATCGAAACTTTTCTTTCTATTGAGCATGTCAGTGCCAGTCATCAGAGAACCATAGAGAGCAGTGCTCTTGCCTCGATGTATATAGCTCGTCGAATCATTTCATGAAATGCAGCTGTGCACTGGTATGTTTCGCCAATATCTGCACCGTGACATCCCATCGTCACAATAGACAACGTCAAAAGCCAGTGACATGCATTCGGATCGAATGTGGAGAGGTGGAAGATCGGATATACAGCCTGAAAGCGATCAAAATAGAGGGCAATGAAATGGCCGCATTCTGTGGCAGAGGGGAAATTCTCTGTTTTAAACTTTTCGAAAAATGGGTTGTCATTGCAACATAGCAGAAGAAACTGACGATGGAGTTTATCATGGGTCGAGGTTTCCAGCTGGCGGGTGAAGCCAGCCACTTCGGAAATGTTTTCGATGTGCATTTCCCGGATAATGGGAAAGCCAAATCTGCTTTCGTGCTCTTCGTCAAGGATCTGCCTGGCAACATCAACCGGCTCCGTTAATGAAGCCGATGAAGGTTGTTTCTTTGTATACTTGGGGAGACGAGCACCAGCACCATCGACGTAATGGTGGGCTGAGCGTTTGGCAGAATGAATTGAATCGGAACAAGACGATGCCTCACTCGTCCCATGAGAATTGTGGCGAGGGCTTCCTTTGTCCGTTCTTGAAGAGACACTTTCGGGTGCTTGGGGTATATCCTGGGGAACCAAGGGGCTGATTTCCTCAGAATGAATCGTCGGGGGTTACCATGCCGAGCGATCCATGGAGGCATCTGACAATAAAGACTGATCATATCGCGATTGGGTCTGGTCACTGGGTGCAAACAAGTCGTTAGGGAGCCAGTTGGTTATCGAAAGCATCGACTGATCGAAAAGGGTAGGATTAAGTCCCAAGGACCTTTCCGGATTGTCCGCCATGGCCATTTCGAGGTCAACATTCGAGGTCGTCATAGAGTCGAGATCAGGTATTGATTCCGAGAATTGCTTGAGGATATTGGGGGTCGAACCTTGACCGAATGGTTGGTGTCCATCTCCATTATCGTAGCCGTCGAAAAAAAGGGTTGTCTCATCCAATGCTTGGTCGGCGTGGGACAAGTGTAAGTCAGGATTGGAAATATCCAGACCAGAGCTTTGAATATCTGACGATAATTTGAATTGACCACTCAAATCTGCTCGCACAGGTTTCAGATGAGTGTCGCTAGCTTGCGAAGGGCGTCGAGTCTGCAGGCCAGTTTCCTGGGTCTCGGCAGATGCAAGACTTCGTAAGCCTTCTTCCCGAGCCCTGGCCTTGGAGCGCCTCTCTGTAGGATACTGGCATTCGAGGGAGCGAGCGCCACACCGTCCACACGGCATGCCACCGCTACATCGCACTCTAGCCGCTGCACAGCTGAAACATGCCCGAAACGTCTTGACGGTGATCCGGTGGCTGCGGTCTTTCCCGCCTTCACCTCCCGGTGCATGGTGACTGACCTCGTGGCGATGAAGTGTGTCACTGACACCGATGAACCATCCATCCGTGTCAGTCCGTCACTTTCAAATCATGGGTGAAACAGGGCCATACGTCCTCGAGAAATGTCGACCGCATTGGATGCACTCGAACGGCTTCTCCTTCGTGTGACTCCGCAGATACCGTTTTAGATGCTCCGGTCGACGGAAAGTGCTGCGACAAACTGAACATTGAACCTGACCAGGGGTCTCTGGAGCTTGTTCCTGATCTCCACTCTTAATGCTTGTGTCTGTTCGAGCATCAGCCCAGGCCCCAGTCCGACCAAATCCCGACTGAGCTCACCATGAGCTGCATTCTCTTTCTCTGAGAGCATGGCGCCTCCAGACAGGGTGTTTCAGAGAAGATGACATCTTGCAGGCCATTAATTCCAGGTGAGGGGAGAAATCCACGGGGGAGAACAGAGCGAGCTGCGATTGGCTTTGATTTGGACCGAGTTAAATGCCCGGGCTTCGGTTAATTTCTGGCGAGTGATTGTTGCCGATTCTACGGTGTTTCTTTTTGTGTAGAATATAACCGGACTGGTGAACAAGCTATCAAGTTCGGAGATATTGAGGAAACACCGCATGTTCATCAGCTTGGGAGCATTCTACGTCACTCGTAGACTGTATACAGTACACTCGGTCTAATGCCTCCCGACACACGGTAAATATGAGTGAATGTCTCAGCTTATGTGTTGGCGTATGTTTATAAGCTCAGAAATGAGCTGTCGCTAGTTCTGAAAGACTCAGGTATAATAAAAATATAAAATCAAATTCTATAAATATGCGAGGCCAGGAATATCTTGTCCCTTCGAAGTATACAGCGAGATGGAAGTATTTCGATGGAATCCAATTTATACTCGTTTCAATCTGGAAAAATTCTTTGAATTAAAGATTATTTATTTATTTGTTTGTTTGTTTCATTATTTTGCCATTCTATTCATGAGAGAGCATGAGTTATACGATGTAAATCTCCGAGTACTTCTAACCAACTGTCGGGCTTTGGAAACACGTCAAAGCTGAGCTCGTGTGCACGGCCACGGTGGATACTTCGTCAGCTTCCCAGCCTCAGGAAAATCACCAACGCCTTCGATTCGACTTGGGTCACCCGTTGAGGTCTGTGCCTATACTGAACTTTTGTTTTCGCGGAGATTGATTCCATGAATGGCGATCCCGCCAATTCCGCGAACCAGCGGGTGGCTTCCCATGCGTTCCGCAACGACTCCGCGCTGCAAGGCGCCACCATCGCCTTCAACGACCGCACCCCGAAAGGTCCACCACCCCATGTAAAGAGAAAACCGACCGCTGCGGCGGCAGCAGCAATCGCAAGCACCGCCAACTGTCATGCCGGACGCGATCGCTCCGAGACAGGATCAGAGGTCGGCCCAGAAGTGGGCTCCGTGAAGGACAAGATTGGGAGATTGACGGGCAATTCGCTTTCCCCCCAGGCCGGATACCGAGTACACGAGGACGGAACTCGGTCTCATCGGCATCGTCAGGCCTGGAGCAGATCGCTGCCCGCCTTGCTGTGACGAGGTCCCCGTCGAGGGCCTCTGACACGTCCTCGACGGCCGCCAGACTCGGCGCAATACGAAGTGCGAGCAGAATGCAGTCACAACCCCCGACCGAAGAACGGCGCGAGGTGCGCTCGCCTATCCCGATACGACCGATACACAACAGGCCCAGCCCCATGGATAGTCTGCTTCGGGATGATAAAACCGGCTCGGATCGCGACATTCCCACCTACACGCGCTCCCCATCTCAGCGATCCAGAGCTTCCGAAAGTTACCGTGATAATCGATTTCCAAGTCCCCAACCCTCCGTTCGCTCTCAGCGCTCTCAGCAATCATGGGCACCGTCCGAGGAGCCGAAACCCAAGCTTCCTCCGCGATCGACTCCCTCGCAAGGGTCATTACGAAAACATGCATTCAGTGGAACGCCGTTGCGTCCCTCGACCCCAAGTCTGGCATCGGTCTCGGGGCAATCGCACAACAGCAGCTCCAGCGCTGTGGACGAGTTCAATGGCATGAGCGAGGAAGCACTCTCTAATGCAATTGTCGCCTCTTCCCTCGCATCCACCCGGGCCTCTCCGGCGTCCAAGGTGCCACCGCCACCACCTCCACAGCGTCGGCGAACGCGGTCACTCCTACACTTACCCTATTCACCCAAAAGCGATCTGTCGAGAACGCCAAGCCCGCCCAAGGGAATGCCCCAGACGCTACGCGGCATGCCGAAACATGAAGACGCCGACGCACATCGGCGTCATAAGATGCATCTTCTCCACAAACATCCCCACAAGCACCACGAGGGAGACCGGAAACGATGGCGACGAGAAGTTACCGAGAAGGAGCGCAAGCGCTACGAGGGCGTGTGGGCATCCAACAAAGGGATTCTTGTTCCTCGGTCTATGGGTAGCATCAGATCACCGGTCCCTGCGTCAGACATGGTCCTTAACCTAGTAGCGCGGGAGATCTGGACCCGCAGCCGCCTGCCATCCGCGGTGTTGGAGCAGGTGTGGGATCTAGTTGATCACCAAAACATCGGGCTTCTGACCAAAGAAGAATTCGTGGTTGGAATGTGGTTGATCGACCAGCAGTTGAAAGGTCACAAACTGCCGGTCAAGGTACCGGACAGTGTCTGGGATAGCGTGCGGCATGTCGCGGGCATTAGGCTCCCCCTAGCCGGGAACAAGGGCGGGACCCACGCGTAATGCTGATGAATGCTGGATCCATTGGGACCAAAATCATAATCATGATCATGATCATGATCTCTACGAGTCTTTTGATCTGTCTGTATATATTATAGAAACCTTTGTGGAAAAGGGTGTAGGAGTGTTTATATTGAGAGGTCTATATAGCTCGGTTTACCTGCCCTCTCTAAGACTATGAGCCTCAACGTGCAATGTTCCAACGAACTGAAGATCATCCACATGCTTCGGGAGGGGGGGAGGATCTGAAACTAGGAGCAAGGAACCACACGCAATGTAAATCCACATTGAATAACATTAAATAAACTTAAATAAAATCGAAAATGAAGAAAATGAAAACCCCGATTCGGGGAACCACGTGATGAGATCCCCGATACCGTCACAAACGGTAGATGGCCATAAATTACCATAAATTACCACCTTCACCATCCGCCGTCTCCCTCTCCCCGACCCTCACCACTGTACTCCCGCTGTTCCCCCGGATCGGGGATTCCTCAGGGCTGTTCACTGAATCATTTCTTTTTCATTCTTGTTCCATGGAATGCATGGGATCCATGAGGACATGCTTGTCTGACAAATTCCCAATCGGGAGGGATCGTTTTCTGACCGAAAGCAAATCCCGAGCCGTGGAGGATCGGGATTTGGATCGATCTCCAAGGTCATTATCTAACGCTCACTGTTTCTATATCCAGATCTCCCTTCTGACCTCTCTTCCCTACCATTTGTCACTCCAAGCCCAGCTTGGCTCGCAGCATGCGCCATCTGGACTGGTGAGGTTGGAGGAGAAGAAGAAAAAAAAAGGCGTGTGTTCCGGCCTGGTGGTACTTGTAGATTGCGGAGATCGTCCCCATGCGGAACTGCCGTGTGATTCGCCATGGACGACGCTTTTCACGATTATCATGCCTCCATGGCTCCTCGGCCGGTTCGCAAGAAATTCGCTAAACCGCCGGTAAAAGTTGCTTGTCTGCCTTGGTAAGCTGGTCTTGTTTCTTTCTTGATTTCTTTCACCTTTTCTTTTGAGTGTTTTTTTTATTTCGCTGGGTTGATGGTTTAACAATGACAGTCGGGCTTCGAGAACACGATGTGGTGGGCAAGAGCCCTGTTCGAACGTATGTTATATGTTGATGATACCCGCCTTTTCTTCTATTTTTTTTTCCAATTCACGATGTGATCCATCCCCGGATTTGGTTTGAGGCTCACTAAACATCCATTCATCTGGACTTAGTGTGTCAGCAAAGGCAGGAAATGTTCCTATCTGCCCAGCAAAAGAGGCGGGCCCCGGAAGAAAAGACAAAAGTCGTCTCCCTCTCCCGAATCCGACGAAAAGCAGCAAGATGATGTCCACTATGAGGCGGTGCCATCCGCTTCGGGGTTTGAAGAACGTACGTTTTCCCCTCCCTGGTCCCATGTTGACTCAAGTGGGCTCACTGAATCATGGCACAGAACCGGGGATGTTCAGCCAAATCGATGTGCTATCCCTGCCCGGAGCTGGTCTGCGGCATTTGGATTTCCAATCCGACGTTCCGTCCATGTTCCAGGGCTTCTATACTGGCGACGCGAGTCAGTCGCACGTTCAGATGGAGCCGATAGCGTCGCCCTTGAGTAACACTCCTCAATCCTTTGTCAGAAGCTATGGCAGCGAACCAGAAATGTATGTCTTGCGTCTATCCTGATTTCTGTGTGTCCCTGCTAATGCTATATCAAGATTGAACGCCTATTATGATTTTATTCATCATTATTTTCCTATTCTGCCGCCTCGGGCCTCGCCCCCATGCCGGGATCGTCCCTTGCAGTACTCGGTCTCCTGCTCCAGTTCGCCATCAGAGGAAGCTCTGATGATGTATCGGCCTCGCTCTCCACTGAGTCTGGCAATATCCGCCGTTCTAGCGTTGATCCCGCACCCAAGTGATCCGGATCCGTCGTCGTCAGCATCCGTTTTTCAACGCCGGACGTATGCGCATTCTCTTGCACAGCTTGCCAATTCGACTATCGAGACAGAATGTGATCTGGAAATGTCATCTACTGACCCCGGCCGGGCATTATCAGCTGCGCGGCCTTTTGTTAGCCGGGAGCGATTCCATCCTCAGACCCCGGTGGATTTGGAGTGTCTCTTGGCTTTGCTGGTCCTTTCGGTTTATGAGTATTCTCAGCGAGGAAATTTGCTCAAGATGAGGTATCGTGCCGGACAAGCTTTGTCCATTGCTCTGGACAAATCGCTACATTCCCAAGTCGGGAACGATGAGTTTTCGGAGGCTCGGCGACGAGCGTGGTGGATGACAGTATGATGCCCCACGCTGCATGCCATGAGCCTATATCTAACCCGCCGCTAGTATTATTGTGTGATCCAAGGGTCTATTGTGAGCACAACGGTAGGTGCAATCGTTCCTGTGACTGGGCTCAAGTCTAATGAAGGACTAGCCACCTGCTATCGTCATCAATGATCCTCAGTTTACGACTCCGTACCCGTCATTCTCATCCGATGCCGAGGTTTGTCTTCGTGTTCCCTACCTGTTTATTTTCTTTCTATTGGCCCACCGGCATTTGCATCAAATGGTCCACTAACGTCCTCTCCAGGGTTGGTCTATCTTGATACAAGCCCAGCAAGTGCTCGTATCTGCAACTCAATTCATTGACGACCTGAACAAGTGTCTATCGTCACAGTCAAGCATGCACTACCTGTTTGAACGGATGCAGCAGCTCGATTCCTGGACCAATTCTGTTCTCTCGCAGGCAGATCTGCCCCCTATCACCACTCACGAATCAGAGTTTGGCGACCACCACGAAACCCTCACAGCGCAAAGCATCCGCGCAATATCCCGAATAAAACTGTCCAGGTATGACTACATCCGGGCTTTATGTGCCCAACATCTCACTAACACAACTACCCAGCGCGCAAATCAAGACCCATCGTTTCCGAGCCTTCTCGGATATTCCGATCTTCATTAAAAGGCACTGCGACCTGACGGCTGCAAATCCAAGCAACCAAGCCCCCGATCCTAGCGCCAACCCCGCGACCACTGCCAAGGCGATTACGAGCCTGTCATGTTCCTGCAGCAACCTGGAACCCTTCCAGCGCGCCTCTTCCACCGAATACATGACCCCCTCCGACTCGTCGACCTCATCCGACATCCACCCGTACGTCCCACAGTATCCACAGTATCCGCAGTACCCCTTCACCGCCGGGTTCCCTTACAGCCCGCAGCACTCGGCCAAAGTGTGTCTGCGGGCCGCGCTCGTCATCTCGCGCATGTTCCAGAGTCTGCCCATTCCACAGCCGCTCCCGGATACCCGGCAGCACACATCATCGCAACACCCGGGCCGCCCGTTACCTCGGACTATGCCATCATTTGCGTGCTGTCTGATGCAGAGCAGCTATGCCATGTTTATGATCTTCTACAAGGCCCGGGTCGCCAAGCAGCTCTCGCCCGAATCGGATAATGACCAGGCCAGAGACTCGACGGATTGCCTGGTCGAAGAGCTGCGTCAGGGCCTGCAGCGGATTATTACGACGGTGTCCAATTACTCGCTTGCTTTTGAGGCGTTGGATGGGATGAGAGGTGAGCTATCCTTTTCCTCTCTCTCTTGTCCTTCGTTTGGTTGCCTTGCCATTGCTAACAATCCACTCCAGACGAAATCGAAGGTGCATATCAAACGGCGTTCCCTTCGGTATCCGGTTAAAGCGAGGTTTTCTTTCTTTCAGAATAGTAACTCGGCATTTACATTGATTTCCTTCTTATGACCTTTTCCTTTCTCCATCAACGAGTGGCTGGCTTTCTTTCCTAGTTCTTCTTTCTATCTTTCTAAAGAGGTAATTACTTTAACGAGCTTGATAATTAATATTATATCCTCCTTCTGAGATAAGGATTGTCTCGGTGGGTTATATGCAATGAGACACTAACAATGAACAGTAAATTCCATTCCGTGATAGATCCATGGAATGTTCCTCTGGTTGCATAATATCCTCCGGAAGAATGGCAAGCATGTGTGTATTTCAAATAATCAACCACGTCGTAAACCCCGGTCTCGACCAAGAGAGCCAAAAGAAAGTACACCCGGAACTCCATTGAAATTCCACAAGCTAAAAAGGCATGCCCCAGAAAAGACCAGAAAGAAAGAGGACGGAAGCTAAAGCTTCGATCGAATACCCTCAAGCCGGAACTTGACATCCTTCAAGACCTTACTAAGAGGCTTCCAATCATCGAATTGGCGAAGCAACTCCATAGTTTCGTCGTGCAGCTCACGGCGCACATACTCCTCCTCGAGAAGACCGCGCATGGCGAACGGAAGAATATACGGGTTCGGAGCGGTAGAGGGGCTGGCCCGTTTGATGTTGAGGGTGGCGTCGGGGACCGACGATGTTTCGAGGGCGAATTCGATAGCCATGCTGCAAAGAGAGTGAGAAAAGGAACCAATGTTAGTGTGAAATCTGAGAGTTGGGAGGCGAGAGTTGAAGCAAGACGTACTGGTATACAGCTTCGTCATCGTATAGACGTGAATGCCCTTCTCCTGTGTAGAGGCTGCCTGCCAGTGGCTGGCTGAGTTCGCGAATGAGACCGTGGTCTGAAATGCCAAGGTTTCGGAGTTTGAGAGCAAAGCCAACGAGGTGGGAGAGGCTAGATTGAGGGGATTAGTTTTGGGGTTCCAGAAACCAGTTATCATGCTGGGAGTGTACTTACAAACTCGGGGCATGAACTCTGCCGTCTACAAAGACGGCTCGGTAGATGTATGGGTGGGCTATGGGCGAGTAGAGAGAAGACTGGTGAGGAAGATTAGCAACAGTTTTCAAGAGAGATAGAAAGCAAGCAATAAAAATAAAGTGACGTACCTCCAAAGAGACGAGCTGATCATCTATGCTTCCGATATAAGAGATGCGAACTCCAAAATCAAGAGCGCAACGCAACGCTGCCTCATAGTCTCGTGAGACTTTGCTGAAAGGCAGGGCGAACTCAAAGAGCTCTCCGGCAGATCCACTAATCCATCGAGACCGATAATCCGAGAATGGGCCCAGGTTCACGCCGGCCATAGCACAAATCCCCACTCTTCCGACGCTCAGACAGCCGAACGAGATCAGCTTCGCAACTAGCATGATCGCCACCGGCACGCCCTGACTGTGGCATGCGACCATGATAAAATCCGCTTTGCGAATCTCCTCCATCCAGTTTAATAGTAACTTCCAAAGCAAATCGACGCGATCCGCAATGCGGCCTTCGCCTTCTAGCGCGATCTTCTCAATGGCACATGAGTAGCCATGAGCTTCGGTCCATTTTCGAATAGCATCTGCTGCCATGCTAGAAAATCGGATCGAGGTTCCCGTGGGCTGTCCGAGCACGCTCCGGATCAGCGGGGCTGGGAAATACCCATGTACACCGATGGCCAGAGCGCGTTTGATGTGAGGTGGGTCTTTGACCCTGCAAACATGCTGATGCTCTGGTCCTTTGCTATAATGAAGAAGTCTACCAAGAGACTTCAAGAGTGAGGGCGACTCCTCCAACGTATAGATATCTCTGAAATGCGGTAGCACCTGGTTGGGCAAGATTCTCTGTAACTGTTTTGAGGCGGTAGCATCGGCCGGTCGAGGCTCAAGGGGTGGTGATGGTGTTGAAGTAGCTTCGATTGTAGATACAGATCCGTATTTGAGAGGAAAACCTTTTGGTGGCTTGCCTTTCATGCTCCCTTTCTTGCTGATATTCACATTCGCTTCTGGGTCAGGCTCAAGTGACACTGGCCGTGACGGCGTTTTTGATGCCAGGGACGCTTCGACGGCTTCGGCCTCCTGGTTCTTGTCTGGTGTGGCATCCTTGGAGGCATCTTTGGACCAAAACGACCAACCAGAAGATTTCGTGGTGCCGACAGGCGTCTGGGACACACTGGGTGTATCGGCGGGCTCATCAGGCTGGTCTTTGGGTGCCATACTTTCGTTGCTGGTTTCAGGGACGTGTGGTTCTACCGATGACACGGTTGTCGGTTTCACGATGGACTGATCTGGCTGTTTGATTGATGTGTTCGAACCATACCACATCTGGAGCCACGACCGCTTCTGGGGAGTTGAATTATTTCCCGCAATATCCTTATTAGCCTCTGATTCTTGTTTTTGACCTTGTATTTGTTGTTCCTCCTGCTCTGTCGAGTCCTTCACGGCCACAGCCGGCTGGGGGATGACTTGCGTCGTAGCTGGATCCTCGACTGATGGTCTTGCTTCTGTCTCAACAGCAGATGGGGCATTTGCAGCGTCTTTGTCCGCAGTATTCGACCTATGGAGCCATGAAAACCACCCGTTTGGCTGTTCGGGGGCCACTGCATGTCCCGCATGTGGTGTGGCAGGTTCGGTGGCAGCGCCAGGGGTAGGCTCCTGTTCCTTGGCCGATTCTTCCAGAGGTTTGCTGACACCCTCGCAGGGCGCTTCTTTGCAGGGCGTTTTTGATCCTTCGGCTACGGGGTTGTCGAGTTTGTCGACAGCTGTTGTAGAGGCCGAACCATCCGACGCAATGTTAACCCGAGTCGTCGTCACGTCGGCGGGCAGAGACCGGGTTGAGGCACCCGCCTTGCGAGTGAGCTGAATCGAGGGATTTTGGTTTTGTCTTGGGGTGTCAAGAAGAGAGGTCGATGACTTCGTCACATTGGAAGCTACGTTTTTCGCGACCGAGATGCTCTCACGGGCAACCTCGGTAACTGGGGCCGCTTTGGACACTCGCGAGACAGCCGACCAGGACCCGGGATACCAGCTCTGAATCAGAACAACAATTAACTATTAGCTCAACTGCTAGCATGCAAGAATATCTCAATCGCCAGGACTTACGGCACTGCGCCCCCGCGACTCAGAGCCCGAACAATCTCGGGTATCATTCCTCGTCACTGCGGGGGTCGAGTCCGCGCCGGACGGGCTGGGCTTGACTCTCTTGCGAGATCCCTTGGGCGTCATGGAAGAAAAAAAAGCATCAGGTCTATCGTAAGCAGAATCAAGACCGAGCGAGTCCTAAAGAAGTCAACATGTCCAGGCGCCACGAACGACCAGTGATATCACGTCACATGTCGCAGGCACCGCCTGTCGGCCTCAGGCCGCATAATCAAAGGCGGTGAGTGAAACCTCAACTTTTTTTTTCCCGCCGCGTCTCTGCTCGAGGTATACACGGTCTTTGCTTCGTCGCCATTGTATCTACGGGGACTTTTTTGGGTCTTTGAGACCACCCGTAATCCAAAATGGCGATCCAGAAAAAGGTATGTGATACTCTTAGCATTTCTCCGTCCCATGTGCTGATTTCTCGAAGCACGGAAAAGGTCGGTTGGACAAGTGGTACCGCCTTGCGAAAGAGAAGGGTTACCGAGCCAGAGCTGCGTTCAAGTTGGTTCAGCTGAACAAGAAGTATGGGTTCTTGGAGAAAAGCAGGGTTCTGCTGGATCTGTGTGCCGCGCCCGGTGTAAGTATCGCTTCTGGAACTGTCGCCCTCAGCGAATCTTGATATCTAACAATCGTATAGTCATGGTGTCAAGTGGCTGCGGAGTGCATGCCAACGCAGAGTCTCATTGTTGGTGTCGATCTTGCTCCGATTAAACCAATACCTCGTGTCATCACCTTCCAGAGCGATATCACCACCGAGAAGTGCCGCGCTACGATCCGTGGTCACCTCAAACACTGGAAAGCAGACACAGTGCTTCATGACGGTGCACCCAATGTCGGTACGGCATGGATTCAGGACGCTTTCTCCCAGGCAGAGCTGGTATTGCAGTCGTTGAAGCTGGCTACCGAGTTTTTGGCCGAGGGCGGATCATTTGTCACCAAGGTCTTCCGATCCAAGGATTACAACCCTTTGCTGTGGGTGTTTAAGCAACTGTTCTCGTCAGTTGAGGCGACGAAGCCTCCTTCTTCCCGAAATGTGTCAGCGGAAATTTTCGTCGTCTGCCGCGGTTTCAAGGCCCCCAAGCGCATCGATCCCAAATTTCTCGACCCCAAGCACGTCTTTGCGGAGTTGGCCGACCCGACCCCGAACAACGAAGCAAAGGTTTTCAACCCTGAAAAGAAGAAGCGAAAGAGAGAGGGTTACGAGGAGGGAGACTATACCCAGTTTAAGGAAATCCCTGTGACGGAATTCGTCAATACTACGGACCCCATCGCCATCCTGGGTAGCTACAACAAGCTCAGTTTCCAGCAACCTCCGGGAGGGGATCTTGCCTTGTCTACTCTGGACCGTCTGGAGGACACTACCGACGAAATCCGCACATGCTGCGAAGATCTCAAACTTCTTGGCAAGAAGGAATTTCGTAACTTGCTCCGATGGCGCCTCAAGGTCCGGGAGAAATTTGGGCTCATTGTCAAAAAGAAGCAGCCACAGGGTGCCGAGAGTGAAGAAGTGGCTGAAATCGCCCCGATGGATGACGAACTGGCTATACAGGAAGAACTTATGCGTTTGCGGGAGAAGGAAACTACCCAGAGCAAGAAAGAGAGGCGCAAGGAGAATGAAAAGAAACGAAAAGAGATCGTTCGGATGCAGATGCACATGACCACTCCCATGGATATTGGCATGGAGCAAATCGGCCCGGGAGGCGAAGATTCTACCTTCTCGTTAAAACGTGTCGACCGGGCAAATGCCCGGGATGCCGTCGTCAATGCTCGCGAAGTTCCAGTGGAGAGTGAGAGTGAGGATGACTCAGGGTCCGATGAGGAAGAAAGTGACGAGGAAGGTGACCAACTCGAAAGAGAGCTGGACTCGATGTACGAGATGTATCAGGAGCGCAAAGAGGACAAGGATTCGAAATTACGTGCCAAGAAGGCCCGCAAGGACTACGAGACCGAAGAGTGGGAAGGATTCTCTGATGAGAACAAAAACAGCGATGACGAGGACGAGGATGATGGCGCTGAAACTGCTGTCATGGCAGAGAGGGCACCTCACTCTGGAAATCTCTCAAACAACGCTGCAATGTTCTTTGACCAGGACATTTTTCAAGGTCTAGGAGGCGAGGAAGACGAGGAAGAGGATGAAGAAGAGGAAGAGAACGAGGAGCCTGGCGATGAAGATGAGGACGAGGACGAGGACGAAGAGGATGTTGCGGCCATCCCTGCACCCAAACAAAACAACAAGAAGGATGCAAAGAAGGAATCAGAATGGGCCGACGACTCATCAGATGGGGAGCCAGAGGAGCCCCAAGATCCACGCAAGGCGAATGGCCAGCTTGGTAAGTAGGCCGCTGAAAGATGGTCAGGCACTTGGGACTAACATTCACTTTCAGACATCGACATCATTACTGCCGAAGCCATGGCTCTCGCTCAACAAATGGCTACTGGCGAAAAGAAATCCCAAGATGTGGTCGACGACGGCTATAATCGATTTGCGTTCCGCGATGTGGACGGTATGCCGGAATGGTTCCTTGACGACGAGAACAAACACAGCAAGCCCAACCGCCCGATCACCAAGGCCGCGGCCGCGGCCATTCAAGAGAAGATGCGTGCCATTAATGCACGCCCGATCAAGAAGGTGATGGAGGCCAAGGGACGCAAGAAGTTCAAGGCGGCGCAGAAACTGGAACGGCTGCGCAAGAAGTCGGCACTCCTGGCCGATGACGAGACTCTCAGTGAGCGAGACAAGTCTCAGGCCATCACGAAGTTGATGAACAAGGCGACCAAGAAAAAGCCCAAGCAGCAGGTCAAGCTGGTGGTAGCCAAGGGCGCCAACCGAGGTATCTCGGGTCGGCCTCGCGGCGTCAAGGGCAAATACAAGATCGTGGATTCGCGCATGAAGAAGGATATTCGAGCCGAGAAGAGACTGGCAAAGAAGAAGCAAAAATAGGAGTACATAGGCCTGTGATCAATACCCATTTACATACTTTGGCATTGTCAGTATTCCTTCCATACACACTTACATCCATACGACTAGCAGAGAGCCATAGAAGGTAACATCTTTAGTGGCTATTGCTATACAGACTATGCGCTAAAAAGCGTAGAAACCGCGCAGATTGTTAATAGAAATGATAATCAACGTTGGCCCCCAGCAGGCTGGTGGGAGTGGCGTATAGATGAGAAGGAGCATGTGCCAAGAGTGGCGCTTATCGATTCCCGCGCAACTCTTCCTCCTTTTTTCCCCCAGTCTTCTTGCTGTTTGTTCTTCCTCTCATTCTCTGCTTCTCATATATTTTTTTTATTCAAGTGCATACATTATTCTTGTTTCTTTGCATTGTTTTTCTTGTTTATACGCATTCTTACCCTCCATGGGGTTTTTTGACCACCTCCAAAAAGGAGGGGCCTTCTCCCTGCAGCCTAAAACGACCCAGGTGCGCAAGGTCGTGCAGACTCGACCGGCTACGCCAAAACCAGCACAGACCCCCGACTCCCGATCGCGAGTAGCGCCCTCAGAGAATCAGAAGGCGCGCGCATCGAAAGCCCAGTCCGCCTCACGCGACGCCGATGCTCGCCCCGCCAAACGACTGAATACCCCGTCTCGTATTCGCAAGAGGCCGACGCCCGAGCAGCGACTCTCGAGTGACGATGATGTTAGTGACAGCGACACGTCTTTTGAAGTGCGCAAGCGCGCGAGGACCAGCGCCAGTGCGGAACCCGATCCCGAGCGACGGCTGCGCTCGGTAAAGGCGTTTTCGGAGGAAGGAACTCGGCCATTCAAGATGGTGCATGCTGCCGACATCACGTCGGGTCAAAAAGCGGGCAAGTTCAAGCCAGCTTTTGGGGCCGAGGGCAAGTCCACGGAGATTCTCCTACAATACCCCAGTGCCTCGCAGAAAGAAAGGTATGCCGTTTCACTTGAAGAAGAGGAGGGAAAACTTTTCTGGGTGAGAGAACCACATACTTATGTGCTATTCAAATAGATACGACTCCGTGGTCCCCCGCGATAACGACGACTTCCGTCCCATTGACGACATTGTTCAAGTCATCGAGACGGTCTCCCACAACTATATTCCTGAAGACGAGGCGGATGAATTCAACAATGAGACGAGTGGAATAAGGCGCCGGTTGCGCAGGGCTTTGGCGGTTACCTCCGAGACCCAATTTCGCAATGCTGTGACCGATTACAACAAAGCGATTGACCGGCTGAGTACAAGTGGCACCCCTAGCCAAGCGTCTGGACGCAACACAACGCATGGGATTGCCATGGGTGGAGCGGATTCTCACTCAAATATATGCGCGCACTGTATCTCCTCGAGTCGAATCTCTCCGGCAGTACGAGAATGGCACGGACAATGTCTACGGAGAACTCCTCCCTCGCTTCGTCAGCAACATCTTCAAAGAAACCAAGCTGAAGTCGGGCCAGGTCTTTGTTGACCTAGGCTCTGGTGTAGGCAACGTCGTGCTTCAGGCAGCGCTCGAGATTGGCTGTGAAAGCTGGGGTTGCGAGATGATGTCCAACGCCTGTGATTTGGCGGATCTACAACAGGCCGAGTTCAAGGCGCGATGCCGACTCTGGGGTCTCGCCCCGGGAAAGACGCACCTTGCTCGCGGCGACTTCCTCGAGCAGGAAAGCATCATCAATGTCCTGAAGCGGGCAGACGTGGTTCTCATCAACAACCAGGCGTTCACCCCACAACTCAACAACGAGTTGATCAACCACTTCTTGGACATGAAAGAAGGCTGCCAGATCGTGTCGCTCAAGTCGTTCGTGCCTGCCGGCCACAAGATCCAGTCGCGCAACCTCAACTCGCCCATCAACCTCCTTAAGGTACAGCAAAAGAATTATTGGTCCAACAGCGTCAGCTGGACCGATGTTGGCGGCACCTATTTCATTGCCACCAAGGACAGTTCCCGGCTCAAGGCATTCATGGAGAACACCTTGTAAAGCCCGTCGGGTCCTTGGTTTTTATCACCGATCAGGCTTTTCCCCAGCACCGTGTATATTGTGTCTGCTTTTGGATTGTTGTAGATTTCTTGTTTTTTCTCTTCTCCTGGATATATCCCACCTCCTGATCTGTATATGATACCATGTTCTCACCTGTATAAAGCTTTCGTTCAATTCATCTTGTTCTTGTATGAATGGCATTTCATATATCTGCCAACAATTAAGAAAACTTCGAGGCATCATTCATGGCATCTGCCTCCTGGCCCATCCTTGCCATCCAGCGATCTACCAGCTCCTTGTTCTCCCGTTGAAGCCGACTTGATCGTTCCTCGGCCATGTTGAGTTGGAGATTTAGTGTTGCCATCTCATCTTGGAAATCCTGTTTGATCCCGATCGCATCAGTTATCTCCGAGAAGTTCAAAGGTCATTTCCAAAGAATGATTCAACATCAAGTCACCCGATTAATGGATGTAGAGCCTGCATACCTCTAGTAGTTTAGCCTTCCCCCGCAGCTCCTCATCCCGATCTTTCAGGCGCAACTTGAGCTGCACCCTTTCGCTCTCCAAAGCACTCACCCGCCGGCCATCCAGGGTATTTTTCTTGCGGAGCTTTTCCACTTCCCCTTTGACCTGGTTCAACCGATCGTGCAGTTCTGCACGGGACCGCTGTGCCTCAGACAGGTCGGCTCGAGTGGCGTTCAGAAGATCGGTCGGAGAGGTCTCCGTCTCGGGTTGGAGGGGTTTCTGGGACGCCGTCACCAAAGACGATGACACACTGCGCTGAGCTTTTCTTGAACCAGCTCTGTGACCGCTAGAAAGATCAGCAGCTGGTGTGGACGTTGCTAGTTTGCCGGTGCGATCTGCAAGCCGGGCATCTGGCATGATCAATGATGTCAGTCATCACCTTCCCCATCCACCCCTGGAACTCATCAGGACATACAGGCGTCGTAGAGGATGACATGAGCCTTTTCTTTTTGATCCCGAGCTGCCAGGGCAGCCAAGTAGTCATCCCTCCAGTGGGCCATGAACCTTTGCAGGGGAAAGTAGATGCGACGCAATCGTTATCTATCAGCCACCGCCCCCCTCGACCGCCCGGGCCTCATGCATCATCGAGCTGCAACCCAACTCCAACTCCTCCACTCTTCAATCTCCGCACTCAGTCACGCCTCTTGGTTTTTCTTTCTTCTTTCTTCTTTCGTTCATATTATATCTGGCCATCTATACCCCTTTTCATCTCTGGGGCTCCGAAACACATCGTTGCCATGGCATCACGAAAGAAGGTTCTCCTCAAGGTACGATCTCCGCAGCTCCTGTGTGACAGACCTCCCTCCTCGACATAGCTCTTTTCATGCTAACCTGGTCCTTGTTGCGTTTTAGGTGATTATTCTTGGCGACAGTGGCGTGGGAAAAACCAGTTTGATGAACCAATATGTCGGTCTCCGTCTCGCCCCCCAACCACCACCCTCCTAGTCCAGCATCATGCCACCATATTGGGTTGCCCGTCTATCGTTGCTAACAACCCATTTGTGGTGGATAGGTCAACAAGAAATTCAGTGGAAGCTACAAGGCCACCATCGGAGCCGATTTCCTCACCAAAGAAGTGCTTGTCGATGACCGTCTGGTGACGATGCAAGTAAGGCTTGCGTTGATAGGAATTCGACAATGTGGTCAATGTCTCGCTGACAAGTCACGCCTAGATCTGGGATACGGCGGGTCAAGAACGGTTTCAGTCGCTGGGGGTCGCCTTCTATCGGGGAGCCGATTGCTGTGTCCTGGTCTATGATGTGAACAACTCCAAGAGTTTCGAAGCCCTTGACAGTTGGCGCGATGAGTTCTTGATCCAGGCGAGCCCGAGAGATCCAGAGAGTTTCCCATTTGTGAGTGGCCGACATTCCCGAACTCCATGATTATCATTCTGGGTGGGTATACTAACGGTGATCAGGTGGTCATTGGCAACAAGATCGACGTGGAAGAGAGCAAGCGAGTGATCTCGTCGAAACGAGCCATGACATTCTGCCAATCCAAAGGCAACATTCCGTACTTCGAGACCAGTGCCAAGGAAGCGGTCAACGTGGAGCAGGCGTTTGAAGGTGCGTGTGGAGTTGAGAATCTGCCTACCTTTCTCGATATACCCTTGCAGGTTGCAGGTTGCGTGCATACTAACTCTCCCTAGTCATTGCTCGGAGCGCGCTCGCTCAGGAAGAGGCAGAGGAGTTCAGCGGGGAATTCAGTGACCCGATCAACATCCATCTGGACAATGAGCGCGATGGCTGTGCCTGTTGATACCCTTTCCCGATACTGATACTCATGATATTCAAGCGACCGGTTTTTCCTTTGTTTTCTTTGTATTCCGCCTTGATTCCCAGGGTCTCGTCTTTGTGTTCAGATTGTAGAAGATGGATTTGCTTTGGCCTGTAGATGTTTTCGCCTAGTGGGATCGGGTGCTTTCTGACATCCTTGGATTGCTTGTTTCCTTGGGGGGTCCTGCAATACTATGTTATGCTATTCGACCGGCTATGCTGCTAGTATCGAACAATATTGCTAGAATTATTTCCATATAAAACCAACCTCCTCTACCTGTAGGTACATGCGCGTGTCGATCAATCGCGCCGCATCATGGCGTTATCGGCTCGAATGCTTGGCACTCTACTCCGCACTGGACATGTCTCGCGGATGACCTTCAAGTCCTTGCATTGCTCCCATGTTCCGCCCTTCTTTACCCTCGGTGTCCGCAGGTCGAACACACCTGCGATAACCTCCGAGTTTCTCTTCCTTCCCATTGTTTAACCCACCTCATCCGCTCTTTGATCCCGCGACCATGACCTCTGTCGCCTCCAAACCGCAGGGCCGTCGACAAGCCGGACTAGCTCGACGGACCATCGGAGTCGGGCTGCTCCTGGTCGTGGTGGTGCTGTGGACAGCCTCAAATTTCCTCGGAAGTGTACGTCCCAACATGCGCGCTCATGTGGAGATTCTGAGGGCCGCGCACTCCCTCACTCATGGCGGATCTGTGTGCTAATCGCCGATATTCCTCTAGACCATCTTCGCCGACAACACCTACGCCAAGCCCTTCTTCGTGACCTATTTCAATACCTCGATTTTTATCCTCCCGCTTTTTACCATCCTCGGCCGTCGCATCTGGAGCCTTTGGCGCGCCGACAAACTCTCCCAGATCACCTCGTTTCGCAGTTTCCTGCGACACCTCGACTCGCATGATTCCTGCGCCGAGGAGCACCAGCATATGCTGCCCCGTGAAAGCTTTGATGAGGCCCGTGGCGGCGTCGATCCATCAGCCAAACTGGGTTTGCGGGCGACGGCCAAGTTGAGCTTCGAATTTTGTCTACTTTGGGTATGGGCTGCGCGAAATTCTCAGTGATGACATGGATTCTTGAGCTAATGAACCGCAGTTTATTGTATGTGATCTATTTCTCATTTCTCTTCTGTGGACAGCTTGGTTTGGTCCAAACATCTGACACTCCATACTCGTGCAGGCGAATTACTTTGCCATGGCGTGTCTCCAGTTCACCACGGTAGGAAGCACAACCATCTTAACCTCGACCAGCGGTAAGAAATCACACTAGCTTTAATCCCCGACTTGTGTGGTGTCCCCATACTTATCTCATCAATGACTAGGCGTTTGGACCCTGATTTTCGGCGCCATGCTTGGCGTCGAGAAATTCACTCCCCGAAAACTGCTTGGCGTAGTCGCCTCCCTCGTGGGAATCTTTCTAATCTCGCGCATGGATATCTCCGAGCCCGACCCAGCCACCGCCCCGGGTGCGGACGGTCACAAGGGCTCATTTCCTCACAAGACGCCTGCGGAGATCGCCCTGGGCGACGCCATGGCGGCATTTAGCTCTATCATGTACGGCGTCTACACGATTGTGATGAAGAAACAAGTCGGCGACGAGTCCCGCGTCAACATGCAGTTGTTCTTTGGGCTCGTCGGGTTCTTTAATCTTGTGCTCCTGTGGCCTGGGTTTGTGGTGTTGCATTTCACGGGGGTAGAGCCGTTCGCGCTGCCGAGCACAACTCGGGTGTGGACGATTATTTTAGTATGCCTTTTTCTTCTATCCTGCCGTTGCAATTCCCGACTTTGTTTCCCGCAGCTAACTTTTCTCCTACCAGGTCAACGCCCTCTCATCATTCCTCTCCGACATCGCCTGGGCCTACGCCATGCTCCTCACCACACCACTGGTCGTGACAATCGGGCTCAGTTTGACTATTCCGCTGTCCCTCGTCGGCCAAATCTTCCTACAAGGGCAATATGCTTCCGCTCTGTACTGGGTCGGCGCTGCCATTGTCTTCTTGTCGTTCCTGATCGTCAATCACGAAAGCAAGTCTACAGACACCAATGCTACTCCCTCACCTGGAGTGGGCCGATCCTCGGACGAGTATGAAAGAGTCCCTCACGAGGAAATAGGGTAGCTCTATAGTCCCGCAGTTTATGGCGTTGGGATGAGGGAGGGTTGGCGTCGCATTTTCCAAGGCGCATTTTTAGCATCGTCGTTCTTTTATTCTCCGGTATCACCACTTCATTTCTGTGTCTCCGTACCAGTTTTCATGCGTCTGTCATCTGGTGTTTGATTTAGCGAGCCATTTCGGATAGATCTGCATACGCAATTTCGGGTTTCATCGCAACCTTGTTGGTGTATTCTGTATCACTGTTCTCTACGTAGAACGATATCTCAAATGGGTATGTGGAGCTGTTTGCTTTGAGTTAGGGTTAAGGTTGGCGCATGGAGCCAGGCACACCCCAGGAGTACCTAGGACATCGTAGCTGAAAGATGAGGCAAGCAAAGAATAAACCCACTACAGAAACATATTTCAAGTATAAATCATCGCTGTCATCTCAATATCTTTTTGAACAGAAGGACCGTAGGAACCTGCTCTCATGCAATCATGGAACATACACAGCATAAGAAAAAAAAAATGCATCGGAGCTTTCAGCACGAGAACCCACAGTCGCAATCCATATACAAGTCCCGATCATACGGACCACAGCTCCCCTTACAGTTCTTGCCATCCCGCGTATGCCAGCTATCGCCCGCATAGTTGAAATACACATGGTCTTCATCATCCTTGGGAGCAGTAGCGTGAACGATATAGGGCAGCAAGCCCTGAACGGGGACATCCTTGTTAGCGTAAGAGACTGGTAAGCAATAACATTTTGCTCTGCATCCTTGACAGTGAGCTCGAGACTGTAGTGCTTGCCGGGGTTGAAGTTCCAATCGAGATCGGGCTTGTACGCGCGAACATGCAGCCCACACCAGCCGCCCTTGTATTCCTTGCCGAAGCGACTCGTCTGGATATTACCATTGCCGTCAAACCCCTTGTAGGCCTGCTGCAGCGGGCTGGTCTGCCAGTCCTGGTGCGGAGGCTTGGCGACGGATACCTTGGTGGGATCGCCGCCGTGGAAGAGACACTGCCTCTACGCTGTCAGTCGGGACAGACCCGCCGGCAATTGGTTTGAGAACCTCAGCATAGGCTGCGCCGAAGACACAGAGGAATGTGAGGAGATGTCGCATGGCTGCTGGATAATATAGATCCCCCAGGATACGAGAGACAAGAAAAAAAAAGCATAGTCCCAGAATCTTCAAGGGACCAGCTATCATCCTCATCGATATATGTACGTCTTCGCATCGTTGAAGCGTTGGCCCCCAGCAAAAAGCCTAGGAGCCAAGCCTGCCCAATGGCTTCCCGAAGACAAGCTCTCGAGCTCATAGATCTCATGTATGCACTAGTCAAGGATGGCGTCTCGCTAGCTTGGGTCCCTGCAGTGCTCATTTAGCTCCGTCGGAAGGAACAAGCAAGAGCACAGAGTTGCAACCCCAGGATCCTGAGGGTGGCATGCTCCCCATGGGGTTGAGAGGGGCATGAGGGGTGGAAGTGACAAGACAAAGCGAATGAAACATGCAATGTTGGAGGATCCGGTCGAGGATTCTATTTAGCCTCGTCGCGTGACAGACTTGACGGGCACGGCCCTTGGCTTAATGTGGTTTCAGACGGTTCCATGGCCTTCTTCAATAATTCTCTCTTCCACGCTGTTGTTCCATTGAATATGGATCATTCCAAAATGCCCCTCTTTGTTTTCTTTCTGTTGGCCTTGACTCTCACGGGCTCAACCGTCGCTGTGAGCGCTCCCGCCTCTCCCTATGTGACGCCGGGGGTCTCGTTTAATCCCACTGTGGCAGCCTCAGAGGTCCCCAGGCAGATGGCAAACGTATACCAGCTACCCCTGCGACCGCTGGATTCTTCAGTTGCTCCATGGGGTGCCAATGTCAGCAAGGTAGACAACGACAGGGAACTCCAAGATGACGGCGTCTACCGGCTGTCTATTAACGACCACAGATCCTTCCCCAAACCCCACCAACCGAGTTCCACGGGGTTGGTTTAATTTTCCAACTCTGAGCTCAATCTGACCGACGATCTCTACAACTCCGCATATCCATTACTCGCCAACGGAGATATCTTGAACCTGGGACCCAACTCAGTCCTTGCCAACGCTGGAGACCATGCATCTCTGCCAGCTTGGCAGACACTTACAGTCCCATTTGGCCTGAATCTAGGACAAAAAGGGAAGTTCAATGGATCTTTCGTCTTTGGGAGCGGAGTGCCAAGCTACGATGCCAACCGCGTCCGGCCCATGCCCTGGTACATTCTCCCTGGATCAGAGGGCTTCCTCAAAAATGGCACTACAGATCTCGTCAGGCATAGTGGCTGTTCAAAAATCTCAGTCTTCGGGACTGTCCGGACCCCGACAAGAGTTTAGCGCAAGGCTCAACTTCAACAGCGACACTATCACATTCCGACGGGGGGCCGGTTTCTGCCAGTCCAACTTCTCAATTATCTTGAATGTAAACGACAGCCAGCACCGGGCAAAATGCCACCCTTGAAATCCCCGTTGCCGCTTTTCCGTCTGGTGACAAGGCTCGGTGCACCATGGCCTCGGGTGATTCCGATCTCGAGCTAGGGCTGCCCTTTCACCCATTGATGTGCTATGGTTGTGCTGCTAGACTCCCCAAAATTGGCCTTGAAAGACCAGATGGTATTGAAGTTCTTTGACCGGCGCAGCATGCGGAGACTGTGAAGCCAAGGGGAATTGCGGTCCGCAGTGCCTTGACAAGCCAAGCGCTCCATGCCAGAACCTGTGCAGCTGAAAAGAGGGAATTGAAAAGGGCACTCTTAATTTAAGGTGCAGATGCTCAGTGGGGATAATCTCGTTGACAGTGGAATCCCGGTGCTTATTCCGCTTTGGACCTCTATTCTTAGCCCATCATGGCTGAATGCCCTCGATTTGTCGATACTAGGGACACTTAGGTCTGAGTGTGGCTGCCCGAGTGATAATGATATGGTTCGTTTCGTCTCGGCAGTTCTTCTACTCGGGTTTCTCGCTGTACATTTACGTATCCTTCTAAGTACTGACAGTTTTCTGGACTATTTGGGTGTGCTCGGATCTATCGCAGTCATCTAGTGCTAGGCTAGTATAAATGACGTAACTGACGAGGCAGAATCAAGAATCAGCATAATTAATTACTGATTAAAATGTGCCTTGGATGTATATGGAAAAGGCTAAGTATAGGATACAAAAGAAAAAGAAAGATCATAACGAAAGACACTCCGCTCTCATAAAGATAACCGCCCACGCCCCATGAAGAATTGAATGTGCAAGAAAAGAAATCAACGCCAGACCGTTCCCTTGAAGACTCCGAAGCTGATCGTCACCTTCATCGGGGTGTGGAAGGCTGTAAGTGGGACGCTATCATCAAAGACCTGGGTATATCGAACGAAACTGGAAATGTAAAGGAAAAAGAAGAGAGAGTAATCCGGTTGAGTAGGGGAAGAAAGGGATATATCGTGCAATGGAAGAAAAGATCAGACAGGAGGGGTTTTCGCGACCATATACGAGCAGGGGCAATCACGTTCCAGCGGAAGCTGGCTTCTTGCGGGCAACGGTAATGCTCTTCAAAGCACCCAGCCAGCGGGCCAAAGATTCCTCGTCAGGCGCGCAGAGCCGGTAGGTTTTTTCCTCGGCGATAATCTGCAGACAGAATTTCTTGGATCGCGACATCGGGTCGACCTCAGCGGCATCGATCACCTGGGACATAGAAATGATTTTGATAGCGGAGTACTCCTGGTCATCTTTGTAGAAAGCCAGGCTCTTGGGCCGCAGTACGACCCAGAGTCGTTTCCACTGGCGTACAGTGCCCTTAATGCGCAGACCTTGCAGATACCCCTGACACACCACGCGTTCTGGATCACGAGCCATACATAGCTCCGATTGCCGACTGGTGTCGCGAGGCAAATTGGGTGATTTCTCCTTCTCCTTCTCCTCGGGCGCTGAGATGGACAAAGTATGGACGGAGGAGATGGACCGCAGCCGGCTGTGGGCTGTGGGCGGTGACCCATCGGAGAGTTCCGAGTAAGAGGTAATTTCGTTCCCCGAGTAGTCCTGGATGTGTGGAGGTTTGTAGGTGCGGCTGGCCGGGCGCGGCAACCGGGTGCGACCCAGCTCCGGGGAGCTCACGCGGCCGGGATCGAAATCGGAATGGTCCGTGGTGTCGTCGACGAGTTGCTTATGGATAGCGGGAGGGTCGCGCTTCTTGCTCAGGGCCAGAAATGCCGCTTCTTCCTCGTCCCCCGGAATCTCGGCGCGGATGCGATCGATCCAATCCTCGGCGTCGCGCTCCGATCGGGCTTCGAAGCGGTAGTTGGTGGAAGGGGTGAAAATGCCAAAAACATGGTGTCGATGCGAGCGCGGAGACTTGACCGACGCGACCGCTGTCACTTCGGACAAAGTGATGGAGACGCGAAGTCGCGTGGTTTCTTCGTCTTTGTACACGGAAAGGAGATTCGGTCGGAGGACGAGATAGGCAGGTTTCCACGAGGCTCGAAAGACATGTTTGTGCTTGACCCGACGGTAGACCCGTCCCGTTTTCAACACGCGATCGAATTCAAAACTCCCATTCTCATTCACGGGCGAAAAGGTATCCAGGTTGACGTGGCCATTGCGCGAAGGGGGCGCGTGGAGATGAGACGGGGCCTGGACGGGAAGTTGGATCGCGGGGGTTTTGCGAGGCCCTTCGAGCGAGGGGTGGTCGAGTATGGGAGTCATGACGGGGATAGGATTCAAGTGGGGGGAGAGAGACAGAGGGGGAGGTTGGAGGGTCTAGAAGAAAAGAAAAGAAAAAGGGGGCACCCCGCTGAATAGACTCTCCATGACGATCGTTGCCTTTCGTCGGGGTGAATGATTCTGGAGAGAGAGAGAGAGAGAGAGATGATTGTCGGATGACGGGGGCCTGAACTAAGCCTTAATCAGCTGAGATGTACCTAGGGCTACCTACGTAGCGGATTTCCTCTGACAATTCTTGGCATTCCCTTTCCGTTTCGGTGCTCAGCCCTCGCCGCTTTTTGCTCACTGAGTAGAACTGAGCACGCCCCTGAGCGGTCTGACCTGCTTAGGGTATTGATAGGGGCACCTCAAGATTTTCGCTATTGACACCTTATTATATTATATAATACTTATTTTGACTTATATAATCTTTTTTAATCTATTTTCTAATTATATGATCCTCTTATCCTAACCACCAAAAACAGATTACCCTATTTAGCAATAGGGCAACTTCGATATGTATACCTAATTTCGCCGCAATTCGAATACTTTAAGGGCGCCTTTCTTTTTTTGATTAATCTAGCCCCCTCGCTCCTATCTAATATCTACGTAGATTACCTTTTTAGGAAAGCAGCAGGCTAAATTCAGGGATTTAGCAGTAGCTATGTAAAGAATATACTTGTCAGGGTATAAGGCCTGTCGATCAGGTAAAGAAACAAGGGGAAGGAGTAAGGGAAAACAGTATATCCTTATTACTGTCAAGACTGAATCTTGTCTTGCCAGCTGGATGCGGGAGTGTCAATTTATCATACAGCATCTTCGTAACTCCACGCATCATCGATGATGTAAACGACTGGGTCTCTGTTATGTATCGTGATCATTCCTCTGTAGGGTGGATCAAGCAACAAGTTCCGACTTCCTTTAGGATCATGTGATGTCACCTGATTCACCCCTTCCGTCAGTTGGGAATAACTTCATGCCTTGCCATCTTGGTAGACCCTTTACAATTATCCCCCTTCTTAAGGTCAGGTGGCCTCAACTGACGCGTTTGTTTTATTGCTATGATGTAGGCGCGTCGGCGCGGTATCTTTTCGTGGGGTTTTCGTTTGCCTCACCGTCGAGGCGACAAAGAGATCATGTGGTTGACCAGCAAACAAAGACGCGTCGAATCACATGTTCGAGTCTTTGTTTATGTTTTCGAGTAGCAACTCTTTTCTTCTTCTTCTTTTCTCTCCCACGCTGTGTTCGTCGCGCTTCATCCTCTGTTTCTTGCTGCTTCTGCTGCTTCCCGTTCCCTTTCCGTGACTGTTACCATCGTCATGCCTCGTCGTCGTCGTTCGGGTCGGTTGTCACACCGGCCGGTGCGTTCCACCACTATTTCGCCTGCCTTCCTGTGGTGCACCAAGTGTTTTCGGACCAAGGTCAAGGCGTACGACTCCAAGTCGCCCTTCGTCGTCGAATGTGAACTGGATGCGGCGGCTTCGGTTACCTGTCGGCAGTGTTCCGCCCGCAACGCGTCATGTGACACGGTACGTTCCGCGGCACCTTTGTTTTGGCTTACACTGACGTTCTTCAGGTTGTGGAGGGCATGGTTGGGGACGCCTACGATCTGCAGGTGATCCTCAGCTGGCTGAATGAGGAATTTCTGGAGCCCCTGGCCAAGGGTACTCCTGAGGAGGGGGATGAAGAGGAGGAGAATGAATGGGAGGAAGGCGTGCTGGTCGCGGCCGGAAAGGCCACGATGGAGCTTGTGAAGGCCTTCGATGCGATGGAGTTGGCGCATCGCCGCCAGTTCTCTCTTGCTGCCGCCCGCAAGTCGACTGTGGTAAGTAGGATCGCCAGTACCGGTGTGATTTCGCTGACGTTCCGGCAGGCCCAACGCAAGGTTTACATGGCGCACATCGCCATTCGTCGCCAGGATGTGGCCACTTACATCCTTCCGCCCAAGGATCTCTCGGGGAAGCATCTCCGAAAGTTCCAGTCCCGGCGTCTTCTCCGCTTGGTTCCGGGAGATGATGGTTTTGTATGCTGGGCAGCGGCGAAGCAGGGGCTTCTGGAGGCCCTGCAGTCGGCATCCCGAGACGAGTACGGTCCCGATCCGGCGGTCTCCGATCCGACCAATGATCCCGATGCCGAGCGTCGCCTGAAGTGGTTGAAGAAGAACTTCCCTGTTCCCATTCCCGAGTTTTGAGTGGAGTTCTGTGCTCGTGCCGCCATTTTGCGGTGATGATAACGGTGTTGTTCCGGTGGAGTTTCGGTGGCTTTCTGCTTGGTTTGTAGGATTTCTTTTCAAGTAACATCTCATCTCTTTTGTCTTTGCTTCTTGTATTTTGTAATGGCTCCTTTTGCATTCGCCATATTTTCTTCTGGGATCCACTGATTGTACTCTGATGGCCAGCCCTTCCATTTAACTAGGAAGTGGGATTTTCTGTTGAAGTGTTGGTGATCTTTCACTTCTTCAATCTCCCATTCGTCATCATCTTGCAGTTCTGGTATCGGCATGCTTCCATCATCGTTTCGCTCTTTATCCCTCTGCTTCCAGGGTTCAAGAAGTGATACATGGAATACGTCATGAATTCGATCGTACTGGTTTGGCAGAACCAGTCGATACGCCTGCGATCCGATCTTCTCGAGAATTCGGAGAGGTCCGATGAACTTGGGTGCCAATTTCTTTGTCGTCTTCAATCTCAAGTTTCTTGTTGATAGGGCGACTAAGTCCCCACGTTTAAACGATATTTCTTTGTGGGTTTTGTTATAGTGTTTCGCTTGCGTTTCTGTTGCTTTTCGCCATTGTTCTGTCAAGTCTTGCCTCAACTTTTGCAGTTTTTCAGCGCGCGTTTCCGCTGCTGGGACCTCTTTCAAAAGCGTGTCGTCCTCGGCACGCAGTCGGAAATCAGGCGAATATCCTATCAAGGTCTGGAATGCGGATTTCCCTGTTGTTGCGCTGGGGGCATTATTGCATGCGAATTGCGCATTTCTCAGCAATTTTGGCCACGCGATCTGTTCTCTGTCGATAAAGCAGCGAAGATAGCGTTCTAGCGTCTGGTTTGTCCTTTCCGTTTGGCCATCGGTTTGTGGATGAAATGCCGTCGAAAGGCGGAGTTTGATATGGCTGATATAGCATAACTTTGACCAAAATTTGCTAGTGAAGAGTGATCCTCGATCTGAGACAATTCCGTCTGGTGGCCCATACTGTAGTTCCACTTCATTATGGAACAATTCTGCAAGTTCTGCAGCGTCGATCGTTGCCGATACGGCGAAGAACAGGGACCATTTCGTCAGTCTATCGACAATAACCAATATCGCGTCAACTTCTTGGGTTCCATTTCTGCTTGGTGGTAACCCCGTGATAAAGTCCATTGACAGTTCGCTGAAGGGCCGAGACGGTATCGGTAGCGATTCCAGTTTGCCATATGGGCGATGCCTTGGCATCATCATTCCTTGACATATTGCGCATGTCTGGACGTATTCTTTTACGTCATCCTGAAGTCCAATCCAGTGGAACTTCCTTCTCAGCAGCGTTTCGGTCCTGTTTCGCCCGAAATGGCCTGCTAAGGGGTCATCATGATAAATACTCAGTAACTTCTTTCTGAGGTTCTCCCCTGTTGGGATAAAAAGACGATTCTTAAATCGAAGAAGGCCTTTTGGGTCAATACCCCAATTCTTAAAGTTTTTGGATGTCTGATTTAACGCGGCTTTCAGCCTTTGCGTCTCTGGGTCCTCGTCTTGGATCCGTTTGATTATCGTCTGCAATTCGGTGCCAGCTTCTGCTGAGTAGGCATGCTCCTTTTTACAAGCACCCTGCACCTCATACTGGGGTATTCTCTTGTCCTTTGCAAGTTTTTCCCAGACAGCCCAGTCAGCTGCTTCTGTACCGGTAGACTCTCTTCTACTCTTCGCTATGCGGGTACTGAACTGGGGATCGCTTTCCCCTGAAGGCATCTCGCCAGGTTCAAACTGGGACTTCTCAGCGATAAGGTCCGTAACCGTAATCACTTGAACACTAGCTTTCCGTGGGCCAGACGGTAGCTCTTCGGTCATAATCCGTTCTTGTAATGGCACGAGCAATTCTTTTCCCGGAGCGTCCCCCTGAATAGAATTGGGTTTTCTCGAAAGTCCATCCGCAGGATTGCTTTTTCCTGACCGGTGCTTGATTATAAAGTCAAATGGTGTGAGATACATACACCAACGTGCCTGTCTTCCATTTAGCTTGGTTTGTTTCATAAAAGATTGAAGGTTTGAGTGATCCGATAACACTTCGATAGTGAATCTGCTGCCTTCCAAGTACTGTCTCCAATGTTTAAAGGAGTGTACGATTGCGAAAAGTTCTTGGTCTGGTGTACTGTAATTCAACTCTGCCCCAGAGAATGATTTTGACCAAAAGGCAACTGGGTGATACCGATCTTGGTCATCTGGTTGAGAGAGAATACCAGCCATTCCTCGATTTGACGCATCCGTTTCGATACGTATTGGGTGTTGGGGATTAAAGTATCGCAGTAGGGGTGCGTTGCGAAAGGCTGCGATTAGGCGTTGAAACGCCACCTTTTCATGAATTGTGAATTGGCAACTTCCAGGTTTTTTGCCGTTCTTGCTCCCTTTGAGTAATGTGGTCAAAGGTGCTGTGATGCGAGAGAAGTTGTAGATAAATCGTCGATAGAAGTTGCAGAACCCGATGAAGACTTGGATGTCGTGGTAACTTTTGGGTTCTGGCCACGAAACGATAGCGTCAACCCGTCGTTGGTCCATCGATACACCATCTTGGTTTATAATGAATCCAAGGAATTCCACTCTTCCTTGGTAAAATACACATTTCGAAGGTTTTGCGTAAAGTCCTGCTTCCCTCATTCTTTCAAGGATTTGCTGGATATGGCGAGTATGCGACTCGCGGTCCGATGAGAATATTAGAATATCATCCAAATACGCGATACAGGAGATGTCAAGTAATCCCCGTAAGGCGGTATGGATATAATTCTGAAAAGTAGCAGGAGCATTGGTCAAGCCAA